TCCCACTGCTAAAGACCCCTACGCGCAAGCGAATTATGGAAATAAAATTGAACCATATGTTAGTCCCAAAATGACCTAGTTTGTGTCGAGTGGACGTTAAACCCCATTTCTCTCTCTCTCTTTTATCACAATAAAAAAACCCCAACAAATCTAACCATGTGATGTGTAAACTAAAAGTAAAACATAAAAAAACAATAAAAGGTGTTTATTGGTTATATTGTCTGTTTTATATATTAACTAGTGATGTATGTCAACCCATCATATTAAACTCAACAATAAAAATAACATAAAATATATCCCCTTAGTTTATCATACCACTAACCACAATACACTCAATAATAACAAATTTAATACATTCAATAAAAACAATAACAAACTTCTAGTTAACCCCACAACATCTTACAATAACAAATGTCTTGTTAACCACAAAAAACATACAATAACAAATTTCTTGTTAACCACACCAAACCTTACAATAACATTTTTTTTGTTGACCACACAAAACCTTACAAATACAAATTTTTTTTTTAACCACACAAAACCTTACAATAGCAAATTTCTTGTCAACCACTCAGAACTCTATAATTAAAAATTTCTTGTTAACAAAACAACACCTTATAATAACAAATTTCTTGTTAACCACACAACACTCAATAATAACAAATGTCTTGTCAACCACACAGAACCTTACAATAACAAATTTCTTGTCAACCACACAACACCTTACAATAACAAATGCCACTATAGACTCTACAATAACAAATTTCTTAATTCCCAACCAAACCAGAATAAAGGTTAAATACAGAAGAGAGGAGGGTGGATGATAAAATGATACAACAGATATATAGAGGGAGAGGAGGGGGTGCACACCCTTTCACCACTTAATGGTCAAGCTGTGTGACATCGCAGTATTAAAGGCAATCTTGTGGTATGCTTCACTTAGCTCATTACTTAGATTCTAGGAATGGCTGCAAAGTCATAAGTCACCTAGACATGTTGGATTTGGGGGAGAAAGAGAAATGGGGTTTAGCATCCACTCAACACAAACTAGGTTATTTTGAGGGTAACATGACATGCTCATGGGTCATCAGCAATGAAAACACACCACTTCCCTCAATGACAGATCTTATGACCCAAAGCCTACACTTGTTACACCAACCAGCCACCAAACCTAGCGTGTTGGAATGGAATGTATATCAACTTATTAATATACCAGTGGCGTATATATCTATAATCCATATAATAAAATATACGATTAGAAACGTCCAAGCGTCATAATAAATAAGCCATGACCTTAGGCAACACGAATTAGAGGTGTCATAAAAAGAAGATAAATTTCTAAGAAGAATAATTGTGATAAAAGATATTTATCATTTGTATTTATTATCAAATAAATTGAGGAATAACTTCCTACTTTTCTGAACAAACTGGAGAGAGAGAGAGAGAGAGAGAGAGAGAGAAAGAGAGAGAGAGAGAAAGAGAGAGAGAGAGAGGGGGTTTAATGTCCACTCGACACAAACTAGGTCATTTCAGGACTAAAATATGGTTTAATTTTCTTTCAATAATTCGCTTGTGCGTAGGAGTCTTTAGCAGTGGGAGGAAACCGGAGGACCCGGAGAAAAACCACGAGGTTGGACAGGCGACCCTACTCCTTGTCACATACAACCAGGGATTCGAAACCACGCCAGTTGACTCAATGACATGCACGAACTGGACCAATGAAGACGGGCATAAGCAGGGTTCTTGATCCATTTTGAAACAAACCGGTCAATTTGTTGCCATGGTATTTGGAGAGTTTTGCCCAAATTGTCCTATTTCCACCTACTCTACACTGAATTCCAATTGTCTAGATTTTTTTTACATGGCCAGACTTATTTTTTCTTTCTTTTTGTTTCTCTGCCCAGGCCTCCATAACATTATTTTTTTCAAATATCAACAGGTTTAAAAAACTTCTGATAGGATGAGAAATTAGCAAAACTGTTTTATTTCAACGATAAACTAAATCAATACCTTAGAAGATTCATATTTTAAGATAAAAAAAGGTTTTGGGGGTAAAATATATGATTAAATTAAACGATGAAATCAGTATACCCTTTCTCCTACCTGGTACCTGTCACTAGGTATAACCAGTAGACAATGGCATGATTCTCCAATGTTGGGGTAGGAGATGTCTTCCAAAAATGTTTTCCAGAATTCTTATCCCAATTGCATCTTAGCATCCATCTGAAAGGAGGGGGGTGAGGGGGGAATTGCCTCATGTATATGGCTAGATTTGAATGTAAAGGACATATTATATTTTTTACATTGGATAAGGGATCCCGCAATAACTAAACGAGACAGAGGGATGGATGTCAGTCAAACCAAAACTGTTAAATTCTCTTAAATAATAATTATAAATACAGCGTATTTCTAATGTTTAATAAAAACTCTGTATACTACATGACATCAATAAAGAACTGTGCATTCCTGACATGTAAATTATGTAGATAGTTTACTGTGTATTACATCATAAATGTGATAAAAAGTGTGAATTATGGAAATATGTTCTGTATCAAATATTGGATCAGTGGGATATTAGTCCAGCATCACACTGTGTATTATAAAGTGTGTATTATATGTATAACCATGATAAAGCTGAGAATTATCAGTGTATATCAGATATGTATTATAAAGTGCGCATTACATGTATAACCATGATAGGGTTAAAGTGTACATCAGATACAGGTATTTCACTGTGTATTATAAAGTATGGATTATATGTATAACCATGATAAGTATCATCAGTGTATATCAGATAGATCACTGTGTATTATAAAGTGTGCATTACATGTATAATTATGATAAGGATTGAGTATTATCAGAGATCTCACTGTGTATTATAAAGTGTGCATTACATATATAACCATGATAAGGCTGAGTATTATTATAAAGCATATATTTTGTGTCATTTTAAGTCAGTGTATATTAGATAACTCACACAAATTGAAATGCCCAAAGAAATTATAATACCAAACCAAGACTTTGGCACACTGTTAAATAAAGTTTATTAGGATGTTAAATAATAATTATTATAGGGAAGGTTTTTACAGCGCTTATATATTTATCAAAAGAAATGCCCTTAAGCGCTGAAAAAATATTTCAACAAATAAACAGCAATGACATTGATAAATAAATGAATCGTTCATAGTTACATCAAATGTGAAAGAAAAATGAAGTGTACATGAAATACAATGTCTAAAAAAATTACAAGAAAATCTAAAAGCGTAAAAATTTGACAGCAGAGGTTTCAAAGTCTATAAATGGTAAAACAGATGATCAGCTAATTATTAGTGAGAAGCAAAACATGCTGTAGGCCTATTTTGAAAGATATATTTAAGTTCCAGGGGAATACATTATTCACAATCACCCCAGTTCCTTTATGCAAATTATAATAACATTTCATTATTTCTTTTCCTGGTAATAGAGCAGTCAAAAATTCAAAGGATGCGATATACTGTACTCTTTTTGATTTATAACAACCAATGTCAAGTCTTTGCATGATTATACGAAATGATTATATAACATTTCGGCTCGCGACATTATGGACCATATCCTTAGGCGGACAATTGCATTTGTGTGGGCTTAGGCTATTTACATAAACCCAAAAATTTTCTTTGTCACCTGAATTTTCTGAATGAATCAGTCATTAAGTAAAACAAATTTTTCACAAAGCTGTGATGGTTGTTTATTTTTAATTAATTACATAACAATATAAATTTACATTACATTCTTTGATGTTTATGCCCGAAAAAATTAAATACTTTGCCTGAAAAATGGACAGTTGACCGAATCTGGAGATGGGGGGTATCTACGTCTATGTTACGGACTAACAACCTTTAGGACTAAAAAAAATATGTCCTCAGAATTTCGGACTCTAAATTATGAAGTCATCTACAATCTTATTGAATTTTATAAAACTCCCAATTCCTCAAATAAGATGTTTGAAAACTCTAATTCTTTAATTAGTTGGTTAATAAAATAATGTGTTAATAATAAGTAGTGAGTAAAATAAACATTGGATATTATTCATGGAAAGTTTAAGTAAAGGAGCTTAAACAGATAGAATATCTAAGTTCATATTAAAGATACATTATGGAAGATTAGATAAAGAGCTGACAGTTCTCACAATAATAGTTAAACACTAGATAATTAAAGGGAATTTGCTGAAAATTACAGTCAAATTGATCCACCCTGAACCGAGTGTTTAGCTATTGAATTTTGGGCCTAGCTTCGATCATCATTACTAAAGTCGGTACGATAAAAAAACATAGTCTCGATTATCCATTTTTTGATTTAATCAGAAGCAGCAGACCAGGTTCTAATCCAGTAAATATCGCAGGCTAGCGATGCCATCGAGAGTTGATTATGGTCTGGATAAGTTAATTAATGTCTAATTAATAATTTAGATAACATTTAGCTCTTGCATAATATGTTTAACTTATTAGTATGATTGGGGGATTGGATGGTCGAATGGTTAGCATGCGCGCTGTATCATAAGGCCTGTCAATGAGTCAACTGGCGTGGTTTCGTATCCCCGGTTGTACGTGACAAGAAGTAGGGTCGTCCAGCCTCGTGGGTTTTTTTTCCGGGTCCTCCGGTATCCTCACACTGCTAAAGACCCGTACGCACAAGCGAATTGTTGAAATAAAATTAAACCATATGTTAGTCCCGAAATGACCTAGTCTGTGTGAGTAGAGTTAAACCCCATTTTTCTCTCTCTCTCCCTCTCTCTCTCTCTCTCTATTATTATGATTAAAATCTGATTTATGACCACAAATTATTCTTGCTGTAGATGGGCTGTAAAAAGAAATTGTTTGACAGGTGCTGTAATTGCTGCTGTAAAAAACCCCCCAAAAAACCCACAAAACAAAGATAGTCCTATACATATTAATACAATTTAGTTTTTGTCCCTTTTTTTAAAATAAAAAAAAAAATTCTTGCAAAAAATTTGCATAACTTACCTGAATGAGAGAGTTGTGAGAGGACGATATGACTTGTGACTGTTATTCAGATGAATTCTCTTCCCCCAAAAATCATTCCACCAAAATCCTGAAGCAGGTGCTTTACCGTTTACATCAGGATTTTTCTTAATTGCAAAAATATCATCATGAACGAATTCGCCATTTAAAGAATTATAGTAACATATCGCGGCTAGTAAAACTGGTATAGCGTATAAAGTTCCTCTATTCAGCCATTGAAAAGGTGTTTTAGGTCTCGACTTTATTTCACGAACCCCTTTTACAATGTTGTTATTGACTTCCATAGTCATCAAACATTTATCCGAGTTGTCTGTCAGTTCGTTAATTACTGATCATCAATCTGGATTGTCCGTAAAACACATCACGACAATCTTTATATATATCATAAACTATTAAACAGACAATTAACTGGCTAACAAGATACCCGCCTCTTGTTTTCAAACTGTCATTTCGAGCACATGTAAACGAGCTGTCAGTCAAAGTCACATGATCTCATTCACGTGATTAGCTAATCCAGTCAGATACTGTTACTAGAAGAATGGCCGGGTCAACGTCGAGAGCAGCTACAGCGGCAGCCAATGGAGATTTATCGGTAAAATCACAAAATGTATCAAGTTTTTTCAATTCTTTCGTAGATTTGAATAGACAAGTAATAAATACACAAATTTTCATTCATGATTCAGAACACTTTTCAGATTTTATTGGATGTGAACTGAGGAAAGAAAAGTTCGTTTATGAATGAATGGAAGAGGCGGGGCTTAGCATTGTTTTGTATAACAACAGAAACCTGAATGAACCGTATTTAATGTAAAAAGTACCCCTGAAATTATTTGATACTAAACTTCCCAAATAAAGATATGATGAATTTAAAAAGATATGATGGATTAAAAGTTTATTGACAATATAAACATCACATACATACAGGGTTGTTTTTTGGCACATTTGACCAATTTCCCCAAATTGGACCTCGCACTAAGGCACCCCTCTTATATCGAATTCCAACTGCTAAGGGATCTTTTACGTGCATTCCATTGTATACATGGGGCCTTATTTTTTCGGGGGGTTGGATGGCTGAATGGTTAGCGTGTGCGTGCTGTATCATAAAGTCTGTCATTGAGTCAGCTGGCGTGGTTTGGAATCCCTGGTTGTACGTGACAAGGAGTAGGGTCGCCTGTCCAACCTCATGGGTTTTCTCCGGGTCCTCCAGTTTCCTCCCACTGCTAAAGACCCCTACGCGCAAGCGAATTATTGAAATAAAATTAAACCATATGTTAGTCCCGAAATTACCTAGTTTGTGTCGAGTGGACGTTAAACCCCATTTCTCTCTCTCCCTTAGTTTTTCGTATCATCCGAATGACTACACAGCTGTCAAACTGTTGTATAATTAAATGATGTTAGAGGGTTTGAAATATTTAATAGATAATGATAAATATTTCAGGGTTTGAAGTATTTGATAGATAATGATATATATTCAGGGTTTGAAGTATTTAATAGATAATGGTATATATTTCAGGGTTTGAAGTATTTGATAGATAATGGTATATATTTCAGGGTTTGAAGTATTTGATAGATAATGATATATGTTTCAGGGTTTGAAGTATTTGATAGATAATGATATATATTCAGGGTTTGAAGTATCTGATAGATAATGGTATATATTTCAGGGTTTGAAGTATTTGATAGATAATGGTGAGAATATAAATGTCCGATCTTCAGATGGAATGACACCACTAGCTATAGCTGCCTTCTGGGGTTACGCAGATGTTGTAGAATTCTTGCTAGAAAACAGGTAATATAATAAACAATTTCCTTGGAGATCAGCCTTTCTGTCTGATTTATTTATTTATTTTTTTGTCCCCCGCCTTTCGAAGAAAGCAGGGGACTATTAAAATGGGTTCGTCCGTCTGTCTGTCTGTCCGTCTGTCCGTCTGTCTGTCCGTCTGTCTGTCCGTCACACTTTTTGGGACACAATAACTCTCTTCCTAATTGAGCTAGAATGTTCAAACTTGGTGTATGTGTTTATTAGGTCAATGCCTTGATGGAGTTCGAAGATGAGCATTTTCCGCTTAGGGTAAGCAGAGATAAGCAATTTGATTGGTTGATACTTTGGGGCACGATAACTCTCTTCCTAATTGAGCTAGAATGTTCAAACTTGGTGTATGTGTTGATTAGGTCAATGCCTTGATGGAGTTCGAAGATGAGCATTTTCCGCTTAGGGTAAGCAGAGATAAGCAATTTGATTGGTTGATGCTTTGGGACACGATAACTTTAGTTCTAATTAAGTGAGATTGATGAAACTTGGTGTATAGTTTCATTACAGTAATACCTTGACTAAGTTTGATAATGAGCATTTTCTGCTCAGGGTAAGCAGAGCGATACGCAATTTGATTGGTCGAGACTTTGGAAAACAATAACTCTCCTACTTTGATTGTTAGACTATAAGTAAAGATATACTGTTTGATTGTTCAATACTTTGTAAAAGATAATTTGTGATAAATTTATATGTGTCCTCTAATTATTTTCCTATTTCGGCGGGGGACATCAGCCTCACTGTTGGCTTGTTTAATTCCAAGAGATGAAACATTGCATATATTGACTGAGCAAGTAAAGCCTTTACGCCAGCACTGACAGTGTGTGTTGGCCACATTTTTTCATTCTGTCTAACTGAGCAGGCATGCACCACAAGTACAACCCATATTAACAAACACAGAGGTTTGAACTCTAGAAGAGTTGTTTCCCCTTAGTGTGCTTTTTGCTTCACTAAAATTTATATGAAGAGCCCCGGGGAAGAACAATCTAAGTCACTTTTTCAACGAACCCTAGTTAAAGGCGCCATCTGGTAGTAAATTGTATAAGCTTTCTGTGGAACAATCAATTTCAGGTAAAAATGATCAGTCATATCGAACCAAGGCCCTTCTGAAATGGCCTCCTGGACAAATACGTCCATCGTACCCTTTATTTGACCTTAATTTGGCAGAAAAATTGAAGTCAGTTGTTGTACTGGTAATTATGATTTGTATTAAACATCAGTTTGAAGATGTAATTAAACCCACTTGTTGTTCTGTTCGCATCAAGCATTCTTGTCTAAAAGTCTGTTTTGCCTTTTATGCGACAAAAATGTGACTTAGATCATTCTTTCCCTGGACTCTTCACATGTATTCACAGAATATTGTCATATTAAAATTAAAATTAAATTGAGAAACAAGATCTCAGTTTATTAGTTTTTCTTCCTATTCTTCCTATTCTGCTTCCAAGATGCTGTTATCTTGCCAGACACTCCATTTTTGCATCATGGACCGTAAAATCAAACTGCAGTCTCATTTCTCAAGTAGGGGTTGGATGGCTGAATGGTTAGAATGTGCGCGTTGTATTATAAGGTTTGTCATTGAGTCAACTGGCGTGGTTTCGATTCCCTGGTTGTACTTGACAAGGAATAGGGTCGCCTGTCCAATCTCGTGGGTTTTCTCCAGGTCCTCCGGTTTCCTCCCACTGCTAAAGACCCCTACGCGCAAGCGAATTATTGAAATAAAATTGAACCATATGTAATGTTAGTCCTGAAATGACCTAGTTTGTGTCAAGAATACCTTAAACCCCATTTCACCCTCCTTCTCTCTTCTCTCTCTCTCTCTCTCTCATTTGCCACCTAACATGTATATTTTTCTTACAGAGCCGATGTAAATCTGACCAATAAGGGAAACAACTGGACACCGTTACATTGTGCTTCTTTTCAAGGTCATGGAAAGGTCATATTAAATCTGATGCAGCACACACCTGATTTATATATCAAAGATAATCTCGGCAGGTGAAAAAATATATATCTATACTAATATTTGCGACTGTCGTTTGTTTGTTTGTTTGTTTGTTCAGGGTTGGTGGTTACACTAAGGCTGTCCCGAGGTTGAAATTTGGTGTATAGGGGTAGCTCGGAACGGGGAGGAACATGGACTAGGTAGCGTTGGCCGTGCAGCACTGGATCATCTGCTACTTTCAGTTTCGGAGTTATAGGCACACCCCATGCAGCACTGGATCATCTGCTACTTTCAGTTTCGGAGTTATAGGCAGATCCTGTGCAGCACTGGATCATCTGCTACTTTCAGTTTCGGAGTTATAGGCACATCCCGTGCAACGCTAGATCATCTGCTACTTTCAGTTTAGGAGTTATAGGCACATCCCGTGCAGCGCTGGTTCATCTGCTTCTTTCAGTTTCGGAGTTATAGGCACATCCCGTGCAGCACTGGATCATCTGCTACTTTCAGTTTCAGAGTTATAGGCACATCCCGTGTCGCGCTGGATCATCTGCTACTTTCAGTTTCGGACTTATAGGCACATCCCGTGCAGCACTGGATCATCTGCTACTTTCGGTTTCAGAGTTATAGGCATATCCCATGCAGTGCTGGATCATCTGCTAATTTCAGTTTCGGCGCACATCCCGTGCAGCGCTGGATCATCTGCTAATTTCAGTTTCAGAGTTGTAGGCACATCCCGTGCAGAGCTGGATCATCTGCTAGTATTATATAAATAGTAGGGGTAGGATCTACTGTTCAACCATGTGGGTTTTCTCCGGGGACCTCTGGTTTCCTCCCACTGCTAAAGACCCCCTATGCGCAAGCGAAGTATTGAAATAAAATTGAACCATATGTTAGTCCTGAAATGACCTAGTTTGTGTTGAGTGGACGTTAAACCCCATTTCTCTCTCTCTTTTTGTCAGAGATGTCCAAGTATAGGTATTTATGGAGAGAAAGTTGGTGAGTTTGCCTTTGATGGGATTCGAAACCCCTTTTGCAATAGGTCATCAGGAACAAACTTGAAAACTTTCTCTGTATTTTTCTATTTATTGTCCCTACATTATCCCCTATAATTTGGCAGAAAATTAAACATGGTCAACTGGCTTCAACTGACTGGCACTAGTTGCTTTGTGTGGTAAGAGGCGCTCATTCGTTTCGTTTTTTATAGTTCAAAATTTCATTTTAATTGTCTTTACTACAATAGGATCTGGAAGAGTTGTTATATTACAGGCCTTCTGGTTGAAGCGAGGGATTGGCCAATGAAAGGGTCTGTTACCGGCAAGTTCTTGGCGTGCGATGCACGGAACTGTGGATAAACCACTAGAAACGTCAATGCTGATTGATTAATCAATGTCTGACGTCATACGGTCAAAAGCCACTCGTATGACCCCTGATGCGACCTTCCAGTACAACCGGTCAGATCTTCGTGTAGTAAACAAAATACAGATCTGTATTTAAATCAGATTGTTTGCCGAAACCCTAGTTGCTCGCAGTTGTAAGGTCAAGCCCCACTTTACACATGTAACCATAGGCAAATAAGAATTTTTTTCTTTCTTTCAGAACTGCTGTTGATTTTGCCTCAGCTTTGGATGCAGTTTGGTCATTTTTTGGAGGTAGGTACCTGTAGAGTAACAGACTAGGTTATTTTGGGACTAACATACTGATCAATTTTATTTAAATAATTCACTTTTACTTATGCGTCTTTAGCAGTGGGAGGAATCTGGTGTACGCAGATAAAAAACCACAAGGTTGGGCAGGCGACCAGCCTATTCACAAACAAGCTTGGGATCAAAACCATGCTACTTGACTCAATGGTAGAGGGGGGTTGGATGGCCGAATGGTTAGCATGTGTGCGCTGTATCATAAAGCCTGTCATTGAGTCAACTGGCGTGGTTTCGAATCCCTGGTTGTACATGACCAGGAGTAGGGTCGCCTGTCCAACCTCATGGATTTTCTCCAGGTCCTCCGGTTTCCTCCCACTGCTAAAGACCCCTACGCGCAGGCAAATTATTGAAATAAAATTAAACCATATGTTAGTCCCGAAATGACCTAGTTTGTGTATCTCTGCCAGTGTTGTGTGGACACTGAACACCATTTTTCTACTTTTATTCACATTAAAATTCAAGATACATTATGTAAGATTTAGATAAAGAGCTAGCCATTCTTGCTATAATAGACAATGCAAAATGAATATATTGAAAATTTCATTCAAATTACTCTATTGCGAGCAAAGATATTAGCCTTTGAAGGTTAATATCAGAGATATCTGATGGTATCGAGTGTTGATTATGATTTTGTCATGTTAATAAATGTCTAATTAATAGTTTATATAATAATCTAAGACTATTGCAAGAATTTTTGCTCTTTTAGTTAGCAGCATTATATTAATTAATATTTTCTATTATGCATTTAAATCAAACTGAGTGAATAAGAGACAGATTGTTATATTAGAAAGAATATAATTTGGTAAACATTAGCTGGTTCCATGGGTATGAGAATATCATGTTTAACACATGACTGGAAATTTACGAATTGCATCATTTGGCTTGAGTAACCAATCTCTATAATTGTTTACGTCATATTTCACCAATTAGATAATTGAACGTCCAAATCCCAAAGCTAGAAGATCATCATATCTTTGGGCAATCGTCAGACAGCACTTGATTCTGGAAGGGAAAAGATGTAGCAATTTCTATCAGCAGGCTTGCCCCAGCGAGTCTGGCTGGATGGATGGAGTTTGATAGACTGACTTTACTGTTATTGTACTACGCTTGTATCTATGTATCCGGCTATGATATATAAAATGTAAAAACGAACTGTTGCATTGTTATTCCTAGTAAGAAAAACGTCTTAACTGAGAAAACAGTAAAAAGTAAATACACAACGTGAAGGGGAAGTAAAGACGACAAGGCTACTAAGATATGTAGTAAGAAAAGATGCATGGGTTATACGCCGGATGTGGCAACCGAGGTGTCGAAGGCCTGCTTTCCACGTCTGACAGACGACCCATTGTGCTACAACATTTGAGGCCTAAAGAAAGACCTGCAATAAGCAGATTTAGCTCTTGCATTATGTATGTTTAAATTTTTTCCATTTGAATTTCAGCTGCTGGATGTAAAAGAACGAGTAAATCTGATTTAATTAGAATGGATATCGTGAAAAGGGTCAAGCAAAATGATCCCGCTATAATACCATCTTCAGAACGAGTTCATTTTTCACGACCAGGATCAGCTTATGTAATTAACAGCGAAGGTTATACAAGATCCTATAAAGATCATAATATGGTGAGTTACTGACCCTGCAGCACCAATAGAACAAACAATGGGGTTTATACAAGATCTTGCAGCACCAATAAAACATAGTATTAGAGAGAGAGAGAGAGAGAGAGAGAGGGAGAGAGAGAGAGAGAGATGGGGTTTAACGTCCATTCGACACAAACCAGGTCATTTCGGGACTAACATATGGTTCAATTTTCTTTCAATAATTCGCTTGTGCGTAGAAGTCTTTAGCAGTGGGAGGAAACCGGAGGACCCGGAGAAAACCCATAAGGTTGGACAGGCGACCCTACTCCTTGTCACGTACAACCGGGGATTCGAAACCACGCCAGCTGACTCAATGACAGACTTTATGATAAAAATTTCACATACAACTGAGAAATCGAAACCACGCCAGTTACTATAATGGCTCTAATTTTAACTAAGACGAATTATTTCCATTGTGTTCGTTCAGGAATACAAGATCAATTGTCAAGAGTAATGTCTGTGGAGTGAACAAGGAAATTGTTAGTGGTCCTTTAAAACGGGCAAAAATTGTATAAACATGTCTTGCCTCCCTTTAACTACAGGGGAAAGTAATTAAAAAGTAAAGGGGTGCTTACTTTTTAAAGAACAGCTGATATCACTGACTTTGTATTATGTGGTATAATGGTTTTTAAAATAGAAAGGTTAACACTCGACACAAACTAGGTCATTTCGGGACAAACATATGATATGAATTTTGTTTCAATAATTCGCATGTGCGTAGGGGTCTTTAGCTGTGGGAGGAAATTGAAGGACCCAGAGAAACCCCTCGTAATTGCGCAGGCAACCCTAATTATTGCCACCTGCAAGTGGAGATTGAAACTACACCACTTGACTTAATGATCTAAAGTGCATATGTAATCCCATTTGATCACCCAACACCCGTTTTTGCAATTCAAGCAACTAAACACATTAATGGGAGACAACCCATAAAAAAACACATTAAGGGGAGACAACCAACAACACCTTTCCAATCAGAATTCAAAATTTGAGAATATGACCCAGCCTATTTTTATTTTTCAGGTTATGGCATCAGTGACGGGCGATGTTCTGGCAGGATTACCAGAAGACAAACCAATCAGGCGTGCCAATTATAAGCCAACTTTATCATTATTACAAAATTAAAAATCGTTATTTTTTACTCCTAGGATCAGCTTGATTCACTACTCTTATAGGCACGGTAGTGACAAGCGTGGGTTGCATCACCTGGGGTAAGCCAAGCATTGTAGCCCCTCACCTGTGTTCCCTTACCACGGCTAAAATTTTATGTGGGAACATTTATTTGTTCCACAATATTGAAAAACTGTGTAGAATGTTCGAACAATGGGAGATTTTCTGTGTTAATGGATATAACTAGACCTACCTCATTTTTATTTTTATACGGCATTTAGTAATTGAACATATAATATAAAAACACAAATTTATATAGAAAACAGTCACTGAGTGTGAAATAAACTCAGCAAGTTCCTCTTGTCGTTCTCAATTAAGTCATTACTTACATGGGAACCACAAGAGGAACTTGTTGAAACGTAGTGTGAAATAAACCCAGTGATTGTTTTCCATATAAATTTGTGTTTTTATATTTGTATTTTTGTGAAATTCTGACCACAGCCCACTGGATGGAGTACACTTGAAATATCTGCTGTATTCGTCCACTTCTATTTCCCATAATCATTATGTTAATTATTTGAAAATAATATTTGTTACCGCTGTGAGAAGTTGGGTTTGCGAGAACTCGTGATCGTCAAAACATTCTGATATAAAGACTAGTTACATTTAAAGAACGAGAATTACTGGATGTTAATTGGTAACTATTGTTTTTATGAGAGTGACGAGGATGTTAGCAGATGTCACGGCAAATAGATTTAGGCTACTATACTAGGGTTATGTTTGGGAATTTCCAATAAGAGATGGGAATAGAATTTATTTTATGATCAGTAGTGGAATACCGCGTTTTATCAGTGAAATAAAAGTGTTATTCCACTGGCTAGCAGTAGTCCATGTTGTTTTTACCTAAAATGATTGTAAAATCATAAAATAAATAGAACATTTGTCGTTTTGTCGTGAATAACATATTTTATTTCATCTCTAAGCAAGAAAACGTTTATATTTTCACTCATGCTACGCATTCGTGAAAATATAAGTTTTCTTGCTTCTCGATGGAATAAAATATGTTATTCACTCTAAGACGACAAATATCCTCTATGTATTCAATGTCGTAAACATGACGTATATTTTTAGAAACATGTTCTCCAGACGTAACGAATACAGCTCAAGTGTACAAATATAGAACTAAACTGAAAGTAGACTATATCAGTGATGTATAGTGGACCATATAGTTCTACCCGATTGTTATACATGTACTATCAAGTCGGCTCTATATAATAATAAACACTGCCAACCATATCATTATTAAATTTATATCATTTTTAATGTTGTCAGCTTGTAATTCACAGATTTTATCCGTGCAACATCATATCTTCATCAGATCACGTATGTGGAACATGTACTTGATGCCTAGCCCGTTGTCAGAAAATAATCCTTAAACATTTCAGTATATAAGACTGAAAGATAGGTTGCCAGGCAACGAAACATACACCCACAGCAGCTAAATCGGCCGAGCAGTCAACAAGAGTTGTCACATATTTTTACTTTTGTCAGTAATGAAACATTTATAATACACTAAATTCTGTGAAGAGTAACAACTCGTTCAGTAATTATCAGAAAATCATTAGAATTTGTTTTTTTTATAAAGTTCTGCCCCATACTAACGTTTAGCATACGAAACATTTAATATAGATTTAGCTGTTCAAGTTATCAAAATTCATTGAAAACCAATATACTTGTTCGTCTCAAGACCTTAAACTCTTTGTATCAATCTGAAGTCAATGGGATATTAACTTTAGCCTCTAGATCGTCCACAAGAATTTTCAAAGTTATCAATGCCCATAACTCTGGCAGTAATTATCGGAAATCGCTGAAAATAAATAGGCTTCTTCGTCAGGTGACCTTAAACGCTGTATATAAATTAAAAGTAAATCGGATATTAACTTTAGCCTCTAGAGCGTCCACAAGAATTTTCAAAGTGATCAAGGTCTATAACTCTGGCAGTAATTATCGGAAATCGCTGAAAATCAATAGGCTTCTTCGTCAGATGAACTTAAACGCTGTATATAAATTAAAAGTAAATCGGATATTAACTTTAGCCTCTAGAGCGTCCACAAGAATTTTCAAAGTGATCAAGGTCTATAACTCTGGCAGTAATTATCGGAAATCGCTGAAAATCAATAGGCTTCTTCGTCAGATGAACTTAAACATTGTGTATAAATTTAAAGTCAATTGGATATTAACTTTAGCCTCTAGAGCGTCCACAAGCAATTGTGGACGCCCGACAGGGGCGACGACAATATACACCACATTTCAATGTTGGCGTATAAAAATTAAGGATGCAGCTGGAATTGAAAAGTGTCCAGGGCCCGGTTCCTAGAAAATTCTTAAAGTAAGCACAAAGTCGTGCTTCACTTTTTCTTACTTAAGAAACTGATAAAAATACCGTCCCTAGAAAATTCTTAAGACCATTCTTACGTAAGCACAAGTCAAGTATAAGTCTAAGCACATTGTGACTGGTAAAGTTTACCATAAACTGAAACTACGACGCTCTTTAACGTCATATATATAAAATGTGCCAACAGATAAAAAAAACGCAGACACAAACTAACTGAAGAATTGTGAGAGCGCCCGATCTTAAAGTAGACTGTGTGTTTGTAGTCTATTGTTTACTAATTGGCAAATAAATAAAGTGGTTTCAGGGTAGAAGCGAAATTTTCTATAGCATTCTTAATTTCTTCTGGGGAAGGATTTTCTCTTTCTCTTTGGTATCAAAAGGTGTCGGAAATGTCGTCAAATAACTCAACGGTCAGCCATCTTTTTGAAGCAGAAACAGACTTAAGGTTGGTAAGCAAGCCCTATACCTTGCTTGGGACTTACTATGTTTAAGAACGAAGTTGTGCTTAAGTTTACTCTTGGAACGCATAATAACGTTCTTGTGCTTACAATGAAGTCTACTTAAAATCTAAGCACAAGAACGTTCTTAAGAATTTTCTGGGAACACAAAATAAGGTAAGTTTACTTAAATGCAAAGTCTACTAAAATCTAAGCACAAAAACGTGCTTAAGAATTTTTTAGGAATCTGGCCCTGGATTAAAACCTTTTCTGTCTTGTGTTGATTATTTTCTGAGGAATGCTGTGTTTAAGAACGAAGTTGTGCTTAAGTTTACTCTTGGAACGCATAATAACGTTCTTGTGCTTACAATGAAGTCTACTTAAAATCTAAGCACAAGAACGTTCTTAAGAATTTTCTGGGAACACAAAATAAGGTAAGTTTACTTAAATGCAAAGTCTACTAAAATCTAAGCACAAGAACGTGCTTAAGAATTTTCTAGGAATCTGGCCCTGGATTAAAACCTTTTCTGTCTTGTGTTGATTATTTTCTGAGGAATGCTGTTGCAGGGATTCTTCCACCCAGATTATGTAGGCCTACTTATCCATCTTCTCCATACTGCCTGTACAAAGGTGGAGAAGTGCGGGGCTTTAAAATATATATTTTACTGCAATGAAATCAATTAAATTGACTAAACTGTCCACAACCGTTGTCTCATTTATTCTTTAGCGAGTAATTGGCGCATTTACAATACCCCGAGATATAGCGTTCACATAATTTAGAATTAACAGAAATTGTTGATATTAACAAGGCTTCTTCATATCCCTAATGTAATCATATATTATTTTTAAGACAATCAGATAATTGTAGCCTGTAGAGTGTTGGCAAGAAATTGTGGACAACGGAGATGGGTGACAATATGCAACCACATTTCCATGTTGTGTAAAAAGAAATGGGGTCTAACATCCACCAACTCCACTCGACACAAACTAGGGTATTTCGGGACTAAGACATGGTTCAATTTTATTTCAATAATTTGCTTGCACATAGGGATCTTTAGCAGGAGGAAACCGGAGGACCCAGAGAAAACCCGCGAGGCTGGACAGGACTGTTGACCCTACTCATCACGTACAATTGGGGAATCGAACCCACGCCAGTTGACTCGATAACAGATCTTATGATACAGCACGCACATGCTAACCATTCGGCCATCCAACCTCCCCATGTTGGCCTATAAAAAAAGTATAAACAACTAATACTTCATGTAATCTTTATTAAGATGTTTTAATAGATTCTCTGGACAGGTCCCATAGAACTCTTAATATGAAGGGTTCGTACATTCTGCCAATTCTTCTTCAACAAGGAGACCAAGAAATTGATAGCCAAATTGACGTTGGTGTAGACCTCTTCTTGTGACATGTTGATGTGTCCGATACAAACGGACAAACACAATACCTGAAAATACAAGGCATTAAAATAAACAGGTGTACAAGTTTTGATTCTGAATGATTAAACGTGTTTAAACGTCTATTTTTCTGCATATACTGGGAGAATGAAGTCTGGAATATACCAGACAGTGTACTGTGAGCCAGAAAAAGAAATGGGGGTTAACGTCCACTCGACACAAACTAGATCATTTCGGGACTAACATATGGTTTAATTTTATTTCAATAATTCATTCCGCGTAAGGGTCTTTAGCAGTGGGAGGAAACCCGGAGGACCCCGAGAAAACCCACGAGGTTGGACAGGCGCCCCTACTCCTTGTCATGTACAACCAGGGATTTGAAACCATGCCAGTTAACTCAATTGACAGGCTTTATGATAAAGCACGCACGGTGCTAACCATTCGGCAATCCATCACACCCCCCCCCCCCCCCCCAGGCCAGAAAGCAATTGAATTCTACTATCAACATGTACAATTTATCTCATTTCTTGGGCTTGAAAGAACAAATAGGTGGTCCATGCCAGAGCCTCTGCCCAGCATCCTTGACAAGGAGGAACCACACCTAATCTTAAGGAATTTTCACAGCAAACACATGGATAGTACCTCCAGGTTAGCAACTGAGGCTCCCGATCAATTATCAACACATATGTTCTGCATTTTCTATAACGTCATTCTAATTGAATCCACGAGTTCCTGAGGTTTCAGCTTTGCTTGTTGGTACCATTCTCAGTGAGCGAAAGGATATCTCTTCAAATAATATCAGATCTAAAAATTGTCATCATTGAATGGTAGGTAAACAAGTCTCTGGTACTGTATATCTTAACGACTTCATTTCAATCAAAACTCAGGAATGTGGTTCAGATTCGGATAGGAGATAAAATTTGGTTTAACATCAGGGCTTGCCACGAGACGCGAGCAACTGCTCGCGCTCGCGTAAATCTACATTTACGCGAGCGGTTCGTTGCTCGCGCAAAATTTTAAGAAAACTCAGTAAAAATAATCAAAATATTGACAAGTTTATTGCCGAAACTAACCCAACAATGTCAATAACGTCATAAATTCGTCTGTCAAACTGAGATTCACCCAGCTGCACGCGTCATTTCCTCCTGAAATTTGATTGGCTAATAAAGTTACTCGCAACTTGTGTTACTAAAAATACACTTTAGACCTGAACGTCATGACTGGTTTTCCCACGAACACCAGTAACAAACACGTGATAATCGAGTCTAAAGTAAAGAATGTTTACATCCGGCATTTGGCATTCACGCTAAATGAACACGTCTCAAACTAATATTTATCGGTATTTCCTATTTTATCAGAACTTCGGTTTTTATTCCATTGTGCAGTCGTATAATTTTCAATCTAAGCGTAATAATGGCCAAAGGCAATCTGATTGCCCTATCCACATTTATTTCGTGGGGTGAAGAAATCCATACGGAAATTGGTTTTAATAAAGAAGAGTACGCATGACTATCAAAAACAGAAAGCGATGGTCACACATGTTTACTGCAAACTTTGTGCCAGGAATAGCAATTTTCTTATGATTTTAAATTGAAACAATGTTACAAAACGTGTGCTCACGCAAACAACATTTTGCGTGAGCAATTTTTATTGCTCGCCCAAACCTAAATTTGCGTGAGCAGTCATCTGCTCGCCATCAATTTATTCGTGGCCAGCCCTGAACATCCTACTTTTCTGCACCAACTGGGCTAATGAAGATGGGCATACATCACGCAGTATGGTATGAGGGATATTTTGCCCGTGACGGTAGCAATACGGCCTACACTTTTTTTCGAATTCTGTCAAAGAATTGACATCCAAATGACTAGACACCTGTCAAGACAATCGACCTGCACCAGTTACAAGAGGAAACCACAGGAAAATCCCTTGAACTTTCCCGTCTACACAGGAAGACAGAACTGAGGTTTAATGTCCACAACACAAATAGGTTATTTCGGGACTAACACATGGTTCAATTTTATTTCAATAATTCCCTTAGACACCAAGCCAATGCAGCTCTCATCTCCATTGGATTAGAAAGTTCTACTATATATAATGATACAAGTTTATACTTTATAAAGTAGGGTATTGTTTACCCAGAATAGAGGCATAAGGCCAGAATTCAACCTCAGAAAAAATTTATATATCACCATCTTTAGGTCTGGTAATACATGCAACAAAATTTACATCATAGGTTGATAATTCAGATTCATTGATCAGAATTCCTGCTCTTTGCTACCAAATACACTAGACTTAATGTTTTATTATCCGAACACATTGTTACGTATAAGTTAGAAACGGCCACTTGACCTTAAGATCTGTAAAGATCAAACCAACAGCTTAACCAAATCCAGAATTCGTTTAACAATATTTTGAAAATTTTATGAAAATCTTGGAGGTCTGCTAGAGTCATACATTTGAATTGTACAATATTCTGGTGAATTTCTAGTCTTGAATTATTATTGTAGTACCTACCTTTTTCATCTGGAATTTGATGGTTCCTTTGACCTGGTTGACCTTACTGACAATCGACTGATTGTGGGAGATGGGGGTGGGGAATTTACCAGCCTTGTTTAAACCGGGTCCCAGTAATCGAGGAATCTGTTTAATTAAAGTTTCAGACGCAAGGAAAGCATCGTATTTCTTGGCTGAAATGATAAATGACAATTTAATGAAATGAGTTTTTAACATCCTACTTTTCTACAATGACTGGGCTAATGAACCCAGCCATGCAGTGTGCTATGGGGGAATTATTGCCCGGATAGCGGCACTACGGCCTACTCTTATGTTAAATTCCAACTGCCAAGGGATCTTTTACTTGCACGGCAATATGTACATTGATCCTTGGTTTTTCATACCATCAGAATGACTATACATTGTCCCTTGTCAGGCCCTCGGTCCTGCACCACTGATGGGGGAACCCCGTCGAAAAAAATCCTGATGAACTTTCCTGGCCAATGCAGGGAAAGGACATGTGACCTCCAGGTTAGTGAAGAATTGATGTTGATAATTCAACATACCTAGTTTTTTGACAAGTTTCTTGTCTTTGTTGAGTTTTTTCAAGGAATCTGCGTCCATACAAGGAAAATCATTAGCTTTAGCCTGATCACAATGAATCTGATCACCAAGGACACATACTCTCATCTTAGGTTTTGGAACATGACGTAATCTAAAAAATAAAAAAAAATATATCCACATTAGAAAGATGAGTAGACCATCTAACATGAGAAATAAAACGTATTTATTTAAATTTAACATCAAGAATAACTAACAATGGATTGAAATGGAGTTTAACATTAACTCGTCACACGTCACAAACTAGGTCATTTCGGGACAAACACATGGTTCAATTTTAATTCACATGCCTGTAGGGGTCTTTAGCAGTGGGAGGACCCAGAGAAAACCCACATAATTCCAATTATCAGGGGTTTTTTTTCATGCAAATCAATGTGAATACTGGAACTTTTTTTAGGGGTCCCATCCCAATGACTAGCCACCATTCCTTGTCCTGAACGAAGGAGACAGGGAACTCACGCTGGAAATCTGGAGGTATTTTCTCCACCAACACTAGGATCGAACCTTCGCATCACTGAACCAACGTTGGGGGGGGGGGGGGTATACTAGAGGATATGAACATCGGAGTCAAGAAAAAAAAAAAAGAACTGCTCTCAAAAAGGAATCTTCAGCACCAAGGCACAGGTGGATTTTAGGAGCTTGTCTCACAGGGGGTGAGAATTTTTGAAATTTCGGCTTACCATAATTAAGACTAGTTCTGGCAAGTAAACGCCTAGTGCGTTGAGATTTTTACTTGCAACATCAGAATTGCTTCAATGCTTCTTTATGTTGGCACAAAGCAGTGCAAGAATTGTTTTTCAGCAGAGGAGCATTTGCCTCACCAAAGAATGCCAGTAGGACCCATTCTCAGGCTTCATGGCAAGTGTCGGTGGAAACGATCAATTTAAGATTTTAAAATAGAAATTGAATTTTAATACAAACCACGACATGTCGAGGTTGATAAAACACCCAGGACGTGGGTGGCGGATACTGACCGTAAGTCAAAGGTCAGATCCTACCTAATTATTTATTGACCCTAGGTAGGGGTCACGTTGACTCGAGAGCCAACTACCCTTTCAGTTTCGCACTGGCAGAGACAGATTCGAAAGAATTAGGTTCACTATGAGTTTTTATACAATTATTCTAAAACATTGTTCAATCTGACCAAAATTTAGAAGTGGTTCAATTTGGTGGTGTTTTTTTCAAATTTTGAAATCTGCCAGATAATTTAGTTCCATCTGCCATTACGAGACCTGCGGGTGGTTACAAGAGAAAAGAATTGTGTCCCAGGCGTACTGAATGGTTCCGGAGAAACGCTTGTCCTTCTGGGGATCGTAGTTCTTCAAACCAATTTGCAGTTCAATTGACTCGGTGAACTTTCGCTTCTTGGTCTTGGTAGCATACTCAAAGATATTTGTAATGGATTCCCTCAGATTTTCTCTGTTGATCTTACTGAAATACAAAATTTTATTTCACAGTTAAGTTTACAATTGATTAAGGACAGATAGTAACCATCAGACTCAGCAGACTGTCTTTCTAGAGGTGGAGACCAATCTTTGTGGAGACCAATCCGAAAGAAAACCTGTCTGCTAGTCTTCCGACAGGCTCTTCCCTTTCAGAAGTAGCAAGTACACAATTTCTTCAATCAAATCAACTCTAAATATTAATCACCAACAAAAATGGGCTCTATTTCAGTATCGCACCTCTACCAGTTCCCATGATCATAGAAACTTGAAATTTTCAGGGGGTATTCATGGGGCCTAGCCATGACCTCACACCAAATTTTAGCCGAATCTGTCAATAACTTTTTATTTTACTGTAGTTTAGCTTATACGAGAGAAAGTTTATCCGATTTTGGCGCCATTTTGTTTGTTGGCTATTTAGACTCGAATAACAAGACAGGGTTAGGGTTAGGGCTAGTCCTGTCTACATCTTGAGACTGACGAAATCTACAGGTCCTAGCACTTACCCTAACCCACATATGACGTCATTCGAGCCTAAATAGTCAACAAACAAAATGGCGTCAAAATTGGATAAACTTATCTCTTATAGAAGCTAAACTAAGGTAAAATAAAAAGTTATTGACCGATTCGGCTTAAATTTGGTGTGAGGTCATTGCTAGCCCACCCAAAACATCCCCTGAAAATTTCAAATCTCTACGACCCCGGGAACTGGTAGAGGTGCGATACTGAAATAGAGCCCAAAAATGATAGGCCTCCCTTTTTCCCCGATCACTTTCTGGCCTAAACAATTTCCTTTACGTTGGTCAACTTTGTGTGGGGTGGTTTCATGCAACTCCTAATTTGTTTATTCACGAAGCGACTACAAAGTTTGTTTTAAAAAATAATATTATTTTGTTTATTTCTTCTATATTCAGTGATTTAATCGAAATAAACAAAACTTATTTAAGATAATACAGAAAAAAGTTTGATTATTTGCAGGCTATTTCACAACAAGTTGTAAGCCATTTGTTCACCATTATTCAGAAATATGTCCATGTGTGTCATGGTCAACTTTTATCCAATATACATATTAACGACGTTAATGTCGAATTAAATACTATATGAGTATTAAAGACAAAGAATTTTAAGTCACAATATCGGATATTTTATTTTGCTAAACCATATTATTTCTAAGATGACTTCGGATTTGAAGACGAACTTTCAACACACCTCATCTTGAAGGCTGACACGCTACTAAAAGGCCGATAACTGGATAGAGTCTCGCGATCCAGGGGTGAATTCGGGCGGTCCAACTCGAGGTACTTGAGTCGACTCGATTTCGTTCGCGCGTCCCGAGTTTCGGTGATGTCGGGTCATGTGACCAACTCGAGTGACCTACACGAATACTCCCCATTCCACGAGGAGCATGTCGAATCGAGTCGAATCGGAACACGTGATCTTCTAAATGAAATGGCGGCGAACGAAATTTGTTTTAAATGTGAAGCCTGTGAGCTTATCACAGACACGCTAGATGAAATCCAGAACCACAGCTGTAAAGCTCCAATAAATGGTAATGAGAAAGCGAGTAAGGCACCAGTGCAGAGTACAAGTGGGATAGAACAGCATTTTTGGAGCGAGTCGGCAACTAAAGCCATGCTTAACATGCGTTTATCGATGAATAAAGAGTTTCTGAAAGCCCGCGCCCATTCAGTGCTTTGGAAAAAAGTTGTTCAGGCAGTGAAAAAACAAGACTCGGATTTTGAAGCTACAGAAACGCAATGTGTTAACAAGTTCAAGGCAATAAAAAAGCAGTATGTCCAATGTGTTGATCATAACAGCAAAACCGGTAATGATCCAATAACCTGTAAATTTTACGATGAGTTTGATGAAGTGTTCGGTACCTCTGACAGTGCAAAACCCCTGTTTACTTTGGCGAATGAAAAGCGAGAACCCCCAGCCCCCAAAAAGTTCAAGTGTATGGCTAAGAATCAGGGTAAAAATAATGCAGATACAGAGGACGCCGATACCAGTATTGAACTAGAGAAGGATGATGAGGGTGAAGATGTTCCAGGGCGAAAAAAGCGGATTAGAGGCCAACCCACTGCTGTTCTGAAATGGCTTTCCAATTACCAAGAAGATCAAAAAGAGCAATTCAAACAACGGGAAGACCGAGCTGAAAAACAACATCAGGATAAGTTGGAGCGATTTGATAAGCTCCTCTCACTTTTTGGCAATAAGGATAAGGAATGAACACAATTTGTTGCGATATTCGTCGTACACGTAAAACGATACATAACAAAAACTATAACTGTTTTATTCATATTTTATTTAATGGTCATATGTTCAAAGATTCGTTGAAAAACACTGTATAATTCTTTTATCCATATTTTAATGTACATAATTATCATGTTCAAAGATACGTTGAGAACATTGTATAATTGTTTTATTCATATTTTAATTTTCATAATTATCATGTTCAAAGATTTGTTGAAAAACATTGTTCATGTCAGTTGAACAGTGAGTCGTTGACGGTGTTTCTGAATTAGTTGATGTTCCAGTTAGGCCACATAATTGTATTTCGTATCTTAGTGCGTGGATGAAAAATTCACATTTTTGCTAGTTTAGCTTTTTTATTCAATGTATATTTTATTGTAATATCGGATTTATTACAAAAGTTAAAAATAAATGTTTTAAATAAATTCCAAACAAGTTTATTGTGAAGCTCTTTATAAGGCCTGTATTTTCGGAGCAAATTTCAATACAGGATCAACGATTTACGATGGCGACTAAACGGTTTCTCTTCTGATATCCAGCAGCCGCATTGATGATCTAGGTCATCATGAGCCAACACACACATATTGTGGAGAACACAAGCCGAAATGATGAATTCACAGATATGTTGCATCAGCCTGCTCCTATCTCCACACTGATCTGTGAATGGAATGTCTCGGAGTTTTCTAAATCGCCCTTTAAGGTGGCCGATTGCCCTTTCAACCACTTGTCGATCACTAGAGAGATTGTAGTTGAAATTTCTCCGATGGGTTGTCAACTGTCCATTGTCCTTGAATGGGGGTATTAGCCAGTTTTTCACAGGGTAAGCGGAGTCACCGAGCAAGTGGTCATCATCTTCGAAGATGCGATGGTCCTCCGCCTTTTCATAAATGGGACTATTCCGAAGAACACGGGCATCATGTGCTGACCCTGGATAACCGACAAAAACATCATTAATCATTAACATATCATCAACCACAACTTGTAACGCTACTGAGCAGATTTTTTTTCGGTTCAAGTAAGACCGGTCATTGCCAACTGGGTTCGTTATTCTTATATGTGTTCCATCGATAACACCAATGACGCCAGGTATTTTCGTAAATTTTCCTTTTATCTCTCTTCTCCTTTGATTATTCGGCCATTGAATAAACTTATATGATAAAGCTGATATAACTCCTGCTACGTGATGAACAATACTATGCTCAGTAGATTTTGACAACTTAAAGTTGAAGGCTATATTTCTCATGCTGCATTGGTTGCTCAAATACCACACAAACACGAGTAGTTGCTTCTTAGGCGGAACTGAATCATAACCTCCACCAACGTAATTAACATCTGGTACCAGATATGCTTCTACTTCTCTCAAAAGTAGCATGAATGTTTCTTTATTTAGTCGGCAATGATACCTAAAATCTTCTTCATTCAAATTAATCACAAGCTCAGTGAAACCCTCCACTTTTGGCACACTTGGTCTTTTGGAAATTAATGCAGGAATAATTGGAGCTATGTCACTGTCTTCATAGTCATCATTTTCATTCAATATTTCTTCCAGAAAAGCATAAATTGCAAATCTGTCTATTGGCGCTGTCATTTTGGAATTGGAAATTTACTCGAGAACGTTCGTACGATCAACTCTAGTCCCGAGTGACTCGAGAGCGTTCGGGTAATCAACTCTCGTAACTCGCGAGTTGGAAAACCCGAGAGTCAATCGGGTAGAACGCCCGAATTCGAACTAAGAAATCTCGCGTGAATTGACGCGATTCGGAGCAGCCATACTTTCTGTGATGAAGTAATCCTTCTTCGTGTGTCCACAATTTATTTCAAAATGAAAGACTCTGGCGTGAATGATTAAAAGCTTAATAATTATAAATATTTATTCAGAAAGATTTAAAAATGGTCACTGACTACAATACACAACTTGTCTCAACCGAGGTAAGAGAGAATCGGGTTGTAAACAAACATTGAAAATAAAAAACATTTATTATGAACAGGAACCAAATCTGAGTCTGAGTTTCAGAAGTGAAAATAACATTGCAACATGAAGTACAAGTTCAATCCATTTTCAGTTCCGGTTCGTTGACTTTTATTACATTTATTCCAACCTTTTAAAAACCTAATAAATGTACATATATGTATATAACCATGTTCATTAATTTGGTTTCTGAATAAAGTAGGCCTAGTCATTGGATTGAGATCAAAATGAATATACAGCAGTGTCAACAGCTTAAAACTGATCTAGCTATTTACTGTGTAGGCGTACCATTGGTCATGGTGTAAAAATCTCACCAGGGTGCTCGATTGTTTGTCTCAGTCTGTAATGTTTCGAATTGACTGAACTCCAACCGAATGATATAGAATTATAATATTGGGTTTTGTTTTGTCACATTTCTGCCATCTTAAATTAAAACTGTAGGTCTACGCTGTGGACATGGTCCAATGGTGTGAGCAGAAATGTTATGTAATCAAATGTTTCAGCTGTGCGATGGTGATTGGTTGTGATTCAATCAGATTAAAACACAGATCCCGTTTCGTTTTTTTATAGTTCAAAATTTTGTTTTATAGGTCTTCACAACACTAGGATCTGGAAGAGTTGTTATATAACACGCGTACCGTTCTGCTTAAAGTTAAGGATTAGCCAATGAAACGATCTGTTACGGCGAGTTCTTGGCGTGCAATGCACAAAACTGTGGATAAACCACTAGTAATATCAACTCTGATTGATTAATCAATGTCATTGTCTGATGTCATAGGGGCAAAAGCCGCTAGTATGACCCCTGATGTGACCTTCCACTAGAACCGGTCAGATTTTTATGTAGTGTAGGCCATCGAAAGTATAAAAAAAAAAGAAACGAAATATAGATCTGTATTTTAAACAGATTGGATGATATTCAGGGAATTCCATTTCGGGGCATTAAGTGGAATATCACCTTATCTTGTTAGGGCTTATAGACTGCCTGAAACCATCCTAAATAGATCTTATTAGACTGCCCAAACCACAAGCATAACATCGACGTTAAACGGTGCTAATTAGACAGATATTTATAGCATAAAACACTCTTTTCGGGCAGCATGTAAATTTTACATAATGATATAGAGATCAAAAATACATAAAAAGTGGATGATATACATTATTAAGAAAGTATATGTACAAGACTAATGATCGACTATAATATACATGAAAAAAAAAAATTCTTTATCGAGATGGCCTTGATAAGGAGTTTGGAGATGTGTTGCCAACTCGTCACCTCATTATAATTTAGAGCAATCTTGGACTTAAAGGTATCTAGAGTTGTATGTGTAGGTAAAAAAGACTACCGGTACATCCCAACATTTATACCTATGTATTTATTTTTAAGTGTTTTAAAGGGACAATAACACTCTTGCTGGCTTGACAGCTCCAGAAATAAAAAATAGCCTTATTCTAATTACTAGATGTGTTAGTGTCTTACCTGTTGTGTAAATTATCCATTAAATCCTATTTTACTTGTCCAGAGGATTCGAAAATATTTTTAAATCTAAGTTTCATTTGAAAAGCTATACGTCAGGCTTTTCAAATCATTTAGTTGAATTTTTCCAATTTTTTTAAATTAGGTGTGTTAAGATGAAATTTGTATCATCAATTAATTGGAATATTGTAAAATAGTACAATTTGTTGACTTGAATAAAGATTGGGACATATTATTCAGTTACAACAAGAGTGGTATTGAGCCTTTAACAGGTAGGGGGGTTGGATGGCTGAATGGTTAGCGTGCGCGCGCTGTATCATAAAGTCTGTCATTGAGTCGACTGGCGTGGTTTCGAATCCCCGGTTGTACGTGACAAGGAGTAGGGGCGCCTGTCCAACCTCGTGGGTTTTCTCCGGGTCCTCCGGTTTCCTCCCACTGCTAAAGACCCCTATGCGTAAGCGAATTATTGAAATAAAATTAAACCATATGTTAGTCCCGAAATGACCTAGTTTGTGTCGAGTGGATGTTAAACCCCATTTCTCTCTCTCTCTTTAACAGGTAGAAAATTTATGATAATGATAATACTAAAGATAGGAAAAATATCTTGGTAATCAGGGGTAAACAAAATAATTCAAAAACTGACTGGTTGGCAAACGTTTGAAATCAAAGCCCCGATTACAAAATCTATCCCTATTTTCTTTAGTTGTCTAAATATCAGTTATATGTTATTTTTTTTTATATACCAGAATGGAAGTACTGCTGATGAAATAAAAGTAACATGTATTATACGAAATATGGTCAACTCTCAAAGCTCGACTCGTCATACTGTCACATTACCCGTTTCCATGGGAATTACAGAAGCAACGGCAGAAATATCAAAGATCTGTGGATTCGAGAGGCATACCGTATCCATTAGATACGAGTATAAAAATGGTGAAAAAATGGAAGAAGTAAGAAAAATTGATTATTCCCTTTACAGGGGAAGTAACAAATGTTACAAGACCCTATGAATAATAGTTTGGGTAGCAAGCTATTTAAACATACATTATGCAAGAGATAAATCAGCCTATTGCAGGTCTTTCTTTAGGCTTGGAATGTTATATAAACTATTAATTAGATATTTATTAACATGAAAACAGCTTAATCAACCATCGATGGCATCGGATACTCAAGATTTTAACTAGATTAGAACAATTCACTATTTAAGAATTTAATTTAAAAATGGGAAAGCAAGGCTAAGTCTCGAATATACCAGTGCCCTGGTTACTACTATGCACACATCTTGTCAAAACTACAAACAGTGATAACTTTGCTGAGAAGTAATTTGAATGAAATTTTCAATATTTTCATTTTACATTATCTATTTTCGAGCTATTATAGCAACAATGGTCAGCTCTTTATCTAAATCTTACATAATGTATCTTTAAACTGAATGCATAATAAAAGTGATATCAATACCATATGAGCTCATTACCTGATATATGAAAGTTCAAGTACACTAATAGTAAGTGCAGGAGGACCGCACTACACGCAAAACAAAAATCTACAAGATAAACCTGCGGACAAGACAGAAAATAGACACTGCAAACAATAAACAAATATCAAATTAAGTGAATGGATCCGGGGGGGGGAGGGGCAGCCGTAAGCGTCCACTGCGCTGTACAGTACCGGGCCTGTTATGGTTCAGACTTCACTAACAATGATAAAAAATGATTTAAAAAAAAGAGATGTAACGGAAATAATATTAGTAGAGATGGTCGTGTGACATCACACAATGTTTATTCACACCATAAGATATATGTGGTTATTTTTCAGGTATTTTTAGATGACATGCCAGATCAACCATTATCAATGGTGTGTAACGTCGACTGTAAACGTCAAGATTTTTATGTTTTTGAGAAAGATGGTGTGGAACCTAAAAAACTAGAGGTACCAATAGTTTTACATTTTTCTAATGTGTCATTCCTTGATTCTCCAAGGTTTGGTTGATTTGAAGTTTAACTTTGGCTATACCATTAATAAAATAAATTTGGTTTTAACATCTTACTATTCTGCACTTACTGGGCTAATGAACACGGGTATGCACCGTACAGTGTGCTGTTCTTTGCCAGGCCCTCTGTCCTGTATCACTGACAAGGGTATAACAAATACACCAAAAATTGACAACGTAACAAAATTAAACATACATTATGCAAGAGCCAAATCTGCATATTAGACATTGATTAACTTATCCAGACCATAATCAACTCTAGATGGCACTTCTAGCCTGCGATCTTAAGTGGATTGTGAGCCGATTTACTGCATAACTTTCCTTCTCGATTTAAAGATTAAATGGATAATCAAGACTATGCTGTTTATCGTACTGACTTTAGTAATGATGACCGAGGCTAGGCAGAAATTTCATTCGCTTAGTTCTCGGTTCATAGTGAATCAATTTGAATTGCCATTACGTTATCTAGATTTTAACTATTATACTAGTGAGAACTGCCAACTCGTTATCGAATCTCCCATAATGTATCTTTAAATAAATGTATTGTCACTTAAATAAAAAGGGCTCCTTGAATTTCTTCTGAATCTAATTTTTGCTTGTCGTTACTTGCTGCAATTCAAGGGGCACATTTTCAGAAGGCCAAAAAAGTCTATGTTTATTTTAAGATGAAATTTCATCCCCGATAGACTAATGAAAACGGACTAAAAAAGTACAACATCCTTCAATGAATATCCCCAAAGAAATGTGAAGTGGTATCGGGTGTTCTTGACAGGCTTTCAAATACATTTACTTGTACAATTATTTAGATTTATTATTTTATCTCTGCTAGTAGTCATTATAAAGTCATTATAAAGTCATTATAAAGAAAAGATTACTCAGTATTAGGCAATACTTGTATTCCATAGAATTATGATCTGTATATACTTGTACCAATACTTTATAATTATTATTTCAAATTATTTTGATTTTTTATTTCGAGCAGGGGGGGTTGGATGGCCGAATGGTTAGCATGTGCGCGCTGTATCATAAGTCTGTCATTGAGCCAACTGGCGTGGTTTCGAATCCCAGGTTGTACGTGACAAGGACTAGGGTCGCCTGTCCAACCTCGTGGGTTTTCTCCGGGTCCTCAGGTTTCCTCCGGGTCCTCCGGTTTCCTCCCACTGCTAAAAGACCCCTACGCGCAAGCGAATTATTGAAATAAAATTAAACCATATGTTAGTCCCGAAATGAGCTAGTTTGAGTCGAGTGGACGTTAAAGTGGAAATTGCAAATTTTTAAGTTATATTTTTAAAATGTATTAAAATAAAGCCTTAAAATAGATGGTATCCATAAACAGTCCTACCTTGTTAAAGAATAATCCTATTAATCCTATAATTCGCTATTGCCAGCTGAGAAATTGGCAAAAATATCATTTTTAACTTCAAATTCCAACGTTGGAAAATGGCTGCCCCATGTTGTCAATAGCAAAACAGAGGAGGTAATTGTGTTGTTATTTCCTGTGTCCTAGATTTTTAAGGGTGGGAAATAATGCCCATGATCGTATAATAGTGATTTGATAACCTAGTATTGAGCAAAAGACATAGAAATAATTATGTTTTGACTTTCTTAGAAAATTTGAAATTCTCGATTTAAACCCCATCTCTCTCTCTCTCTCTCTCTCTCTCTCTATATTTCGAGCAGTAATTGTATTCCATAGAATTATGACCTGTATATACATGTACCGGTATTTTATGATTGTTATTTCAAAATATATTTTCTCTTTATTAGACATCATCTTCAAGTTCGGATATGTCGATGGGTGAAGCATCTGGTTATAAAACGATGTCTAACAGTTCGATACCTGGTAGTTCCACCACCTTCAGCGATACGTCGTCTGTAGGCATCGGTTCGTCGGCTTCTGATTTCAGCTGTTCCTATTCTCAAGCTCTCTTGAAATCAGATACAGGTCAGTAGATTCTATTTTATTTTGATAACAGAGCTGGATAATGTATCATCATGTATTCCCTACCTACTTTCACTTTCGTTTCTCTTTAAAAGATACATTATGTATGATTTAGATCAAGAGATGACATTTCGTGCTATAATAGTTCAAAAATAGATAATGGAAAATAAAAATATTAAAAATTTCTGTCAAATTACTTTATTCTGAGCAAAGTTATGAATGTTTGAAGATTTAATCTAAATAATAGTCTTGATTTTCAAGTACCATTGCTATGATAATAAATAGTCTTGATTGTCCATTTTAAAATTGACTATGAGCTTTTGATGTAAATAAAGGTCTAAATAAAAATGCGTATAACATTTTTGGAAATAAAAAAGGGTCATGTAGGTTGTTACAGTTTTTATAGGACTTGTTAGTCAAGTTGTTGTATTTGTTGTTACAGGTTTTATAGGACTGGTTAATCAAGCTATGACGTGTTATCTGAACAGTTTATTACAGACCTTGTATATGACACCTGAATTCAGAAACGCTTTATACAGGTATGTTTGTTATCTTGTGTTGCTAGCCCCATACAGGTATGTTTGTTACCTTGTGTCGCTAGCACCATACAGATATGTTTGTTACCTTGTGTCGCTAGCACCATACAGGTATGTTTGTTACCTTGTGTCTCTAGCACCTTACAGGGATGTTTGTTACCTTGTGTCGCTAGCACCTTAAGAGGTATGTTTGTTACCTTAGGTCATTATCACCTTACAGTGTCCTATTCGGTGCCGCCCTCTTGTGAACAGTTTGTTTGTTACCACTGTCAAATGTTACAATCTCCCTTCTTCTGTTGTGTGGGGTGGTCAAGTGGTCTAACGTGCACTTTAGATCATAAGTTCTGTCATTGGATCTGGGAGTTGGGTTAATGGTTAATGCGTGCACGTTAGGTCACTAGGTCTGTCAAGTTGCGTGATTTAGATCCCAAGCATGTACGTGACAAGGAGTAGGGTCACCTGTCCAACCTCATGGGTTTTCTACGAGTCCTCCGGTTTCCTCTCAGTGTTAATGCCCCCCTATGTGCAAGCGAATTATGGAAATGAAATTGTACCATATGTTAGTCCTGAATGACATATTTTGTGTCTAGTGGACATTAAACCCCATTATTTGGCTTGTATTCAACACACACCCATGGAAATTAATGCTGAGGACAATTTTGCTATTTTCATCAAAATATATCTATGTTTATTTTAAGATGGGAATACGATGGAACAGAAGAAGATTCCGTTAAAAATATACCGTATCATCTACAGCGTCTTTTTCTACAATTACAGGTATGTTGAAAGCTTCCAAGTATTTATGTTTTTCGGAAAATATCAAACACCACTAAATTTATTCAGATGGATTATTATTATTTAACATTTCATTAAGAAATCAATTTAAAACAGGCCCATCAACTTGGTTCGCAGCATATAAAGATGACAGTTATTCATCGTATCTTTGTAAATACTGAATGGAAGTGAACAAATTTGGACTGATATTTTATATTATAGATCCATCCTTCACAATATTGTAGTTGTGAAAAAATAGCGTCTTTTATTTTCGCATGCCAAAAGCTCCCTGTAACAGACCGTTTCATTAGTTAATCCCTTACATCATCCAAAACGTGTCAATGATAACAACTCTTCCAGATCCCGGTGTAGTAAAGACAAGTAAAATGAAATTTTGAACTATAAAAGAACGAAACGAAATAGGATCTGTGTTTTAATCAGATTGGTAACCTATCCAACGAATCTTGAATATGATAGTCTGGTAAAACTTGTGACTATGATCGTATTCTACCTACATGCCCAAACCCACAGAGATATTGTAATTTGGCACAGAAATTAAAGTTTCATTGCTTCCTTTTAGTGCAATATTGAAGCCATTGCAAACAACACCGGAAAATCCTGATGAACTTTCCCGGCCAACACCAGTATTGAACCTGCGACCTCCGTGTTTACTCTGTTATTGTTTGTGAACATATTTGATGGGCCTGGTTTAAATCCGAGCTGGGAGATTATCTAGCGATGTTATTTAAATTTGGTCTGCTTACTATTAAATCGGGGGTCATGGTGGCTAAGTGGGTGAAAATGCTGGCTGGCTAGCCTGGAGTATATGCACCTTGCCTTTGATCTTGTTGTTGTCATGCATGATTTCTGATTTGTCCATAAATAAATAATTGGCCTACACATTTGTTGCTATACTTGCTTGAAAACGTTGAGGGAATACTCTTCGAAACGTTGCCTAAATAAATCAGTAATTGTTCTTCCATAAGTATGTGTTATAGCTCTGTAGAACTAATGATATCTACATTACTTAATCTTATGAATTGCTGAAAATTAATATTGGCTACATTATTATGGTAATTATATTTTGCCTGTTTTTTTCAGACATCCAAGAAACGTTCTGTAGAAACGACTGATCTGACTAAAAGTTTTGGTTGGGATAGTAGTGAAGGTAATTATGTTAAATAAGTTTAAAAATGCCTTTTGCAGATCATTTTGTTTAAGATACATTATGTCAGAGCTAAATCTGCCTATTGCAGGTCTTTCTTTAGGCCTGAAATGTTATATAAACTATTAATTAGACATTAATTAACTTACCAAGACCATAATTATCTCTCGATGCCATCGGATGCTCAAGATTTTAACACGATTAAATTAATGATTTAATTTAAAAATGGAGAAGTGAGACTAAGACTCGAACGACCAGTATGGTGATTGCGATCAGTGCACACATCTTTTGAATATGTGTCGTCATCTAATTTTGAACTATTATAGCGAGAACAGCCAGGTCTTTATCTAAATCTTACATAATGTATCTTTAATATAGATGTAATGGAAAAGATGGGTTGGCTGTATATTTGCAATTTCATATTTAGTCTGTCGTTGAATCAAGTTGGGGATTTTGAGCCCACATGTGTATGTGACCAGGAGTGGAGTCGCCTGCTTAACCTCGTGGGTTTTCTCTGGGTCATTTGGTTTTCTCTCACTGCTGAAGACCTTTATGCACAAAAATATTATTGAAATAAAATTCTACCGAATGACCTAATTTATGTTGAATGGATATTAATCACAATTTCCCTCTCCATTTCAGTCTGGCAGCAACACGATGTCCAGGAATTGTGCCGTGTAATGTTCGATGCCTTGGAACAAAAATGGAAGAATACAAAACAAGCAAATTTAATAAACCAGTTATATCAGGGAAAATTGAAAGATTATGTGAAATGTTTAGAGGTAGGTTTAATGAAATGTAAGAACAAATATGTAGGCATCTGTAATCGATCATTACACAGTTATCAAGACAACAACGGTCATTTTGAAAAGGGGAGCTGTGCAGCACAGGCCTATTGAGTCAACTGGCATGGTTTCGATTCCCTGGTTGTAAGTGACCCGGAGTAGGGTCGCCTGTCCAACCTTGTGGGTTTTCTCCGGGTCCTCCTGTTTCCTCCCACTGCTAATGACCGCTATGCGCAAGCAAATTCTTGAAATAAAATTGATCCATATGTTAGTCCCGAAATGACCTTGTTTGTGTCAAGTGGACATTAAACCCCATTTCTCTCCTATTGATGAGGCATTAAACCCTTTTCCTTTGCATTCTTTAGAAATAGAGTAGTTGGTCATGCAACCATAGAAACTAACAGAAACCATAGCAACTAATAAGTACTCATTAAATTAAACATCATTCCAGGCATAAGTCCAAAGAAAGTTACCACGTGAGTCTTTGAGTCTTCGAAGGTTAAATGGCATTGATATATAATATAATATTTTGTTTTTAGTGTGGATATGAAAGTGCTAGAACTGATGCGTATTTAGATATACCGCTAGTCGTACAACCATTTGGTTCAAACAAAGCTTATGGAAGCGTGGTATGTATGACTTCATTATAAAATATTTCTACATATAATAGTTTCCCCTCGTCAGTGGTGCAGGACAGAGAGCTTGAAAAGGACAGCTGTCTAGTCATTCGGATGATATAAAATACCGGTCCCATGTGCACATAAAAGATCCCCTGACACTTTGAATTTGATATAAGAGTAGTACCGCTGTCGGGTAAAATTTCCCTCACAGCACACTGTATGGCGCATGCCTGTCTTCATTAGCCCAGTCATTTCATTTCTAAATGTAATATATTTGGTTGGCATACATGTATGTCTCGTTTGACTAAAAAACACATATCAAAACATTTTCTAGATAGTGCTACATTTATTCGCAGAGTTATTGTTATTTACTATTTGTATGTTCGTAGGGCACATACGCTTTGTGAGTAAGGCATGGTCTCACTAACCAGGCCACAAGTTTACAAAACATTCTCAGACTTAGTTAAGAATTTACTCCAAATTGTTCGCCTTATTTTAACTAAGATATAGCTCTTGATAAAACTTTTGTTGTTTTAAGGTATCAAATATGTGCAAAGTTTTGTGTTTCTGCATCAAAGATATTTCTAATTAACAGTGATTGAAAGTCTGAGAATGCTTGTGAACTGGGGGGTTGGATGACGGAATGGTTAGCACGTGCGTGCTGTATCAAAAGGTCTGTCATTGAGTCAGCTGGCATGGTTTCAATTCCCCGGGTTATACGCGACAAGGAGTAGAGTCGCCTGTCCAACCTCGTGGGTTTTCTCCAGGTCCTCCGGTTTTCTCCCACTGCTAAAGACCCCTACGTGCAAGTGAATTATTGAAATAAAATTGAACCATGTGTTAGTCCCGAAGTGACCTAGTTTGTGTCGAGTGGACGTTAAACCCCATTTCTCTTTCTCTCCCTCTTGCTTTGTGAACTGTTGGTCTGGAGGTCCCAGTTTGAATCCCAGTGTTGGCCAAAAAGTCTCTCTGGATTTTCCAATATGGTTTCCCCATGTAAGTGGTGCGGAACAGAAAAATATACCATATATACCATTGGCAAAACGTTACTGTCAGGCCAAATTTTCCCTCAGACACACTGCATGGCAAATGACTGTCTTCATTAGCTGTCAAACCCTATTATGTTATTGTTTCGTTATTATTTACAGGAAGAAGCCATGAATGCGTTCGTACAACCAGAAACATTAGAAGATTCCAATCAATATTTCTGTGAAAGATGTAATAAAAAATGTAATGCTCACAAGGTAACCATTATTTTAAAAACAAAGTTTATTTCTTTATTGTTAAAGATATTATACATGTTATTGATCTCTGTGATCCTGTATGCACGTTGGCGTGCACGTTAAAGATCCCTGGACAGTTGGAATTTCATGAAGAGTAGTTGAAAACGGCTCTGAGTAAAATTTCTCTCCTAGCACATAAGGTTGCAGCGATAACCCGGGGATGCCGATTAATCGCGATTATTTTTTTAATTATGATATCGTATCGGCCCAAAATAGATAATCGCCATCCCCGGTATATCGGGAAATTTATTCAGTTATCACGATAAATCTAATAATCGCCAGATCACTGATTATCGAAAGAATAGAAGTTATTTTAAATAAACAAAATTCATCGATGGTATCAAAAGTATATATAAGCTGATATTTTCGTATTTAGACAATTACGCTTATTGGAAACACGGACAATCACACTGCCCAATACACCGACATATTAGAATCTGGTCAATGCTCAACACCCTGGATGTTTCAATTTTCTTTCTCATCATGCCATCATGGATCATTTTTATCGCGATTAAAGAGAACTATCATGATAAAATACATAATCGCAATACTACTATTTATCGCGATAATTCGAAAAGCTGTTATCGTGATTAATCGTGATAAAATAATTTGATATCGTTGCAACCTTACTAGCACATTACATTTTGTATATATGCCCGTCTTCATGATAACTCTAGTTAGAAGAAAGTGGGGGGGGGGGTCTAGTGGGTTAACAGTATAACACAGGCTCGTGAAATCACAAGATCTGTCATTGAGTCAAGTGCTGTGGTTTTGATTTCCAGCCAATCCAACCGCGTGGGTTTTCTCCAGGTCTTTCAGTTTCCTCCCGCTGCTAAAATTGAACCATATGTTAGTCCCTAAATGACTTAGTTTGTGTCAATTGGATGTTAAACCCTCAACTCTCTCTCTCTCTCTCTCTCTCTCTCTTCTCTCTCTCAAAGTTTATTTGTTTTGTTTTTTTTTGTATTTTTAGGGTTTAAAGTTTATAACGTTTCCGTATTTACTGACGATGCAGTTAAAAAGATTTGATTTTGATTATTCTACGATGCATCGTATCAAACTGAACAACAGGTGAGAACTATTATAATATTGTAGCCCAGGTCCACAATAATACAGAGATCCCATGTACACGCATACTAAACTTAGTGTGTCTGGCTACAGATACTGCCGCTTGAGTACAGACACTCAGCAAGTTGACTGATATTTTGAGTCCTAAATCGATGATTTTAGTTGAAAACACTACTTATAATTTGAGAATTTTGTTAAGTATTTATTCTGCTTCCATTTGAGAATATTGAAAAAATTTATTTAGTCTTTGTGTGTATAACAGATGTGGGGGGGTTGGGGTGGCCTAGTGGTCTAGAGTGCCGCGCTTCGACCTCTGGCTGGCCGGTCACCTCTGGCTTGCGGCTGTGGTTTCGAGCCCTGGTGTGAGCGTATGTGGCATGGACATAGGGGCGCCTTCTCAACCTCGTGGGTTTCCTCCGGGCACTCCGGTTTCCTCCCACTGCTAAAGACCTCTACGCGCAAGCGAATTATTGAAATAAAATTAAACCATATGTTAGTCCCGAAATGACCTAGTTGTGTCGAGTGGACGTTAAACCCCATTTCTCTCTCTCTCTCTATAACAGATGTGAAACGGAGTAGAACCACGTTATAAAACAGTATGCTAATTTTTGGATATGGCGGCCATTTAGAGCAGAGATCTATTCTCGAAGTATAAAGTAGATGGATCTCTGTGTACAGAATGCTGTACATGTACTTGCAATTAGAACAACCTTGCACGAGCAAAAAATCCTGCAAATCACACTGCATGGCTTAAACATATATTATGCAAGAGCTAAATCTGCCTATTGTAGGTCTTTCTCTAGGCCTCAAATGTTATCTAAACTATTAATTAGACATTAATTAACGTATCCAGACCATAATCAAATCTAGATGGCATCGCTAGCCTGCGATCTTAAGTGGATTGTGAGCCGATTTACTGCATAACTTTCCTTCTCGATTAAAAGATTAAATAGATAATCAAGACTATGCTGATTATCGTACTGACTTTAGTAATGATGACCGAGGCTAGGCAGAAATTTCATTCACTTAGTTTTCGGTTCATAGTGGATCAATTTGAATGAAATTTTCAGCAAATTGCCTTTACGTTATCTAGTTTTTAACTATTATAGTGAGAACTGCCAACTCGTTATCGAATCTCCCATAATGTATCTTTAATGTTTGTCTTCATTTGCCCTGTTGGTGCAAAAACATAAAAGCCGCATTTCATTCAACAATTCAGTAAAGAAATAAATATGTATGTGCAAATGCCCCTGTGGGTTATGACAACATTTCTGTCTTGTTGTGCCAGATTAGATCAAATTATATCCTATTTATTACAATTATCAAAACGTACCGGGTACATTAATGTGACAGCCAGTGGCTTTAAGAAAAAAAAGACAGACACTGACTGAATATGGAGCTATTAATGTTTTAGTCTAATTATAGTTTTCAATGATTTTGATCCTCTTTATGCAAGGTATTGGCTCGCTAGTCAGAAGCTCATGGTGTTAGCCAGGTAACCAGGGCCCTGTTTCTCGAAATTTTAACTAAAGATAAAATCCAATTTTGATTGGCTAAGCACTAAAATCAATCTAATATTATCCAATCAAATTACTAAAATTTGGGTTTTATCTTAGCTAAAATTTTGTGAAACAGGCCCCAGGAACTCATGGTGTTGGCCAGGTAACCAGGAGCTCATGGGATAGATCATGGTGTTGGCTGAGAAAGTATGCCAGCCTTTATTAGCCCAGTTGAAGCAGAATAGTCAGTGGTTCAGCCCGATTTTAATATCATGTTTTACTCTTCTTTACAGAATGACATTTCCTGATCTGTTGGACATCAACTCCTTTATTGAAGACAGTGATATCAAGAATAAAGAGATAGAAGAAGAGAATGGGGAGGAATTAGATAGAAAGAAGGATGAAACATCTAATGGTCCTGTTGATAGCAGTGATGAAGGTAACATATTTATCTATTTCATTTTTCTTCCAGAAATGTTGTTTGGATGGGACAAAAAAAACCTGAGGTCCCGCATGTAGTAGGCATGCAAGTTAAAGATCCCTTGACATTTGTTCGATCTGGATTTTCTGGCGTGGTTTCCCCCTTGTCAGTGGTTCAGAACGGAGGGCCTGACAAGGACAGCTGTCTAGTCCTTCGGATGAGACGGAAAACCGAGGTCCCGTGTATACATTGGAATGCACGTAAAAGATCCCTTGGCAGTTGGAATTTGATATAAAAGTAGGCAATATTGCCGCTGCCTGGGCAAAATTTCCCTCATAGCACACTGTATGGCGTATGCCTGTCTTAATTAGCCCTATATAGGAGCAGAACAGTAGGACGTTAAACCCCATTTCATTCCCTTGACATTTGGAATTCGATATAAGATAAGACTATAGCACCAATGCCAGGACAAAATTTCCATCATAGTACACTGTATGGCGTATCCCTGTCTTCATTGGCTAGGTTTTAGCAGATCCTTTCAGCCAGTTGAACATTGTGACGTTCGATGTTTATATATTTACAGGTACAGATGAAGGTGTTTGTTTATTTATTACAGGTACAGATGAAGGTATATGATTTTATATTACAGGTACAGATGAAGGTGTTTGTTTATATATTACAGGTATAAATGAAGGTATATGTTTATATATTACAGGTATAGATGAAGGTGTTTGTTTATATATTTACAGGTGTAGATGAAGGTATATGTTTATATATCACAGGTATAGATGAAGGTGTATGTTTTTATATTTACAGGTATAGATGAAGGTATTGAAGTAGAGAACAGTTTATCAGGGACTTCATCTAGCAGTGATTCATCTAGTGTAGGCAGTGAAGCTGCTGTATCTGATAAAAATACTACAGATACCCACAAAAAGGTAAATTACAATGTAAATTACAAAACACAAAAAGGTGTATCACAAAATACACACAAAAAGATGGATTACAAAATACACACAAAAAGGTGTATTACAAAATACATGCAAAAAGATGTATTACAAAATACATGCAAAAAGATGTATTACAAAATACACACAAAAATGTAAATTACAAAAAATGCACAAAAATGTAAATTACAAAATATATAAAAAAGGTTAAATTACAAACGAAAGACTCAAAAGGCTGAACTATAAAATACATGCAAAAAGGAATTTATAACATACACACACAAAGGTAAATTACTAAATACACATAAAAAGGTCAATTAATTACAAAATAAACACAAAAAGATACATTGCAAAATAAACACAAAAAGGTGAATTACAAAGTTCACTCATAAATAGGGGGGTTGGATGGCTGAATGGTTAGCGTGCGCGCGCTGTATCATAAAGTCTGTCATTGAGTCGACTGGCGTGGTTTCGAATCCCCGGTTGTACGTGGCAAGGAGTAGGGTCGCCTGTCCAACCTCGTGGGTTTTCTCCGAGTCCTCCGTTTTCCTCCCACTGCTAAAGACCCCTACGCGCAAGCGAATTATGTAAATAAAATTAAACCATATGTTAGTCCCGAAATGACCTAGTTTGTGTCGAGTAGATGTTAAACTCCATTTCTCTCTCTCTCGCTCATAAATAGGTAAATTACAAAATACACACAAAAAAGTGAATTACAAAATACATTCAAAAAGTCAATTTAAAAATACACAGATTCACATCAAAAGGTCAAATTAAACAAAAAATCCCGAACAAATATCAAATTAAGAAATCAGACGAATCTCATGAAAAGGTCAACTCAGGAAATTCAAATACATCACAAAACACACAAAATGGTAAATGAATAAACTAAAGGCAACTATTTGTTTATATTTTGTTTACAACCACCGTTTTTCCTTTCCGGACATGATTTGTTCATCTAATCCATGGATGGAAAATTCTTTGATGTATTGTAACTGTTTTGATTCAAATTATTGTGAGAAGAAAGATGCTGACGTGCCATGATGATATTGTTTTGTTGAGTTTTAATTTCTTTTTTTCAGGGTCCGTATCAGTATGATTTATTTTCTGTGATGATACATTCAGGAAGCGCGGCTGGCGGCCATTACTATGCATACATCAAGTATGTCGATCTTTTATATGTGATACTGAAATTAGTTTGCTAACCTGGTTGTCCCATGTTCAATCTTGGTTTGCCTTAGAAATTTCATTGTGATTTTCTGGCGTGGTTCCCCTTGTCAAGCATTCAGGGACAATGTTGAGTTGTTCTGTCAGTGGTGCAGAACAGAGGGCCTGGCAAGGGACAATGTATAGTCCTTCGAATGGGATGAAAAACCGAGGTTCTGTGTAGACATTGCCGTGCAAGTAAAAGAACCCTTGACAATCAGAATTTGATATAAGAATAGACCATAGTGCCGATGTCCGGAAAAAGTTCCTCCCATAGCACACTGTATGGCGTATACCGTTTTCATTAGCCCATAGGAGCAGAACAGTAGGACGTTAAACCCTATTTCATTTTCAATCTAGTTATTGGTAAACAAAGTTAATTAGTCAATACACCCAGCATACAACCGATTTATCAATAAAGACAGATTTTTGTTTCCGTAGTGATGGTTAACCATTATGTCTGTACACAACTGTTATAATAAAATTCAGAATTATTTTTCCTTGCTAAAACCTCTATCTTTGTTTGAACTTTAGAATTCCCCAAAACTATATAAATACCAATTTACACTGAATGTTACTAACTATATGAATTTTCCAATTGACAATAAGATGATATCAGATGTTAGCATACTTTATCTTGTGTACTGTACTCATCGTAATTATACATCTATATTAGTAATATGATAATGAATATATTATAACTTTTATTGATATCAACAGGTCATTATGATTATACATCTATAAGGAATATATAACTTTTATTGATATCAACAGGTCATTTGAAGATGGTCAGTGGTATAGTTTTAATGATCAACAAGTTTCTAGGGTAAGTCGAACCTTCACCCATATAATTTTAACCTTGTTTGTGGTTTTGAGTGTGATCAATTGTTCACCATGCAGTTTCATTTTTTTATCCAAAATGATAGCTACTCATGCTTTGTTGCAAATGCTTTTTTAGGTTCTTTTTTTTTAAAGATATGTTTGTTTCAGATAGTATCTGAATAGGGATTGGTGAACAGGTATAGTCTGTATTTGAGCATATTCTATCCAGAAACTTAAAAACATATTTATTTCAAATAATTGTTTTGAACTGGTGTGAATGTATTGAAGCACTATATGGATCGAACAATAATAATATTAAACCCCTCTCCCTGGTCAATAGGGGTGGGTGGATTATTGGGATGGATGGATGACCTAAATTCTGTAATTGATTTAAGTGGCAAGGTTTCGATCTGAAGCTGTACAATTGGGTTTTCTCCGGATCCTCTGATTTTTCTCCCCCACATCTACAGAAAATCCATATATGGACAAAGGATATTATTCAGATAAAATTGTACTAATGTTTTAATAAATGTATATTGAATATTTTGTAGATAACGTTTGATGATATTCGTAAAGTATATGGTGGTTCAAGCGTAACGAGAGGTTTTTATTCTTCAGCTTACGCAAGGTAATTATAAACAATTTATTATCTTCATCAACTTATTAAGCCCATCCCTCCCCCCCCCCCCCTAAAAAAAGTTTGTTTAAAACAAGGATATATTACCTTCTAATTTGTGCTTAAAAGCATCGACTTCTTCTCAGAAAAATATGCTAAGTCCGGTTTTCTACTTTTGTTTTGTAGTTCTACGAATGCTTACATGTTAATGTATCGACAGAGAGACAAGAAACGTAATTCAGGTCAGTTACACTCTTTATTCATCATAGTACGACGGAGTGCCTGGCAAGGGATAATGTAATATCATTCAGATGGGGCAAAAAAACCGAGGTATCGTGTATACATTAGTTTGCACGTTTAATATTTGAGTATGTGCTCATGTTCAAGTATCTAATATTAGAGATTTGTTCATATTTTTCTATGTGATGATATTAAGTATCTAATATTAGAGATTTGTTGATATTTTACCATGTGATGATATTCAAGTATCTAATATTAGAAATTTGTTGATATTTTAGCTTTTCTGTCACCTGAAGAATTCCCGTCCGTACTAAAAGATGAATTAAAACGACAACAAGTTAAAGAAGAAGCCGAGAGACGACAGAGAGAAATAGATAAATCTACCTGTAAGGTGAGTGGCTGACACGTGACATTGAGTAGGGCAGCCTGTCCAACCTGGTGGGTTTTCTATGGGTCCTCCAGTTTCCTCCCACTGCTAAATACAGTAAGAAAGGGATAATACAGTCATATATAGTAACAGAAAGGGGTAAATACAGTCATATATAGTAACAGTAAGGGATAAATACAGTCATATATAGATATAGAAAGTGATAAATACAGCCATATAAAGTAACAGTAAGGGATACATACAGCCATATATAGCAATAGAAAGTGATAAATACAGCCATATAAAGTAACAGTAAGGGATACATACAGCCATATATAGCAATAGAAAGGGATAAATACAGCCATATACAGTAATAGAGATGGATAGATACAGCCAAATATAGTAATAGAAAGGGATAGATACAGCCAAATATAGTAATAGAAAGGGATAAATACAGCCATATATAGTAATAGATAAATACAGCCATATATAGTAATAGATAAATACAGCCATATATAGAAATAGATAAATACAGCCATATATAGTAATAGATAAATACAGCCATATATAGAAATAGATAAATACAGCCATATATAGTAATAGATAAATACAGCCATATATAGAAATAGAAATGGATAAATAAGCCATATATAGTTATAGAAATGATTTTATTTTTCAGATTAAGTTATATTGTATGCATCCAGTTCAACTGAGAAAGATGGATGTTAGATTTGAAATACATAAAGATAAAACTTTACGAGAAGCAACCAAACAAGCTTACACAGTAATTATTATTGATATTTTAAGACAGCAGTCCTTGCATTGAACTAGAGTGATATTTTCTACTTTTATTCTTCTATAATGGAAAGCCTGCTTTCTTAAAATACTTTAGTTTAAACATACATTATGCAAGAGGTAAATCTGCCTATTGCAGGTCTTTCTTTAGACCTGAAATATTATCAATTTGACATTAACTTATCCAGATCATAATCATACTCTCAGTGCCATTTGATGATTTAATTTAAAAATGAGAAGCGAGGCTATGACTCGAATGAATAGTACGGCAATTACGATTAATGCACACACCTTGTCTAAACTACAACCATTGATAACTTCACTCAAAAGTAAAGTAATTTGAATGACATTTTCAATATATTCATTTTGCATTATCTATTTTTGAACTATTATAGCGAGAACGGCAAGCTCTTTATCTAAATCTTACATAATGTATCTTTAAATATGCTAAAAAAAAACCTACGTGCAAGCGAATTATTGAAATAAAATTGAAACACATGTTAATCCTGCAATGACCTAGTTTGTGTCGAGTGGACTTTAGTGCGTGGGCGGGAACAAGATAAAGAAAAAGATTATATTTATTTATAATATATATATTTATTTGTTGTAGCTATTTGACCTAGATACTGTATTACCATTAGACCAATGTCGACTGATTAAATACGATGAACATTCAGATTCTTTAGAGAAATCGTACGAAGGAGAAGAAGATACTGATATGGGGTCATTATTAGGGGGAGTTAAGTCTAGTTACACCTTTGATCTATTATTAGAAACACGAACAGCTGATTCACCATTCCAAGAATACAAACCAGGAGGTAGGTCACATTCCTCATTTATTTAAATCTCCAAGGATATGTAAAATTAAATGAAATTAAATGGGGTTTAACGTCCTACTGTTCTGCTCAGGGGGGGTTGGATGGCTGAATGGTTAGCGTGCGCACGCTGTATCATAAAGTCTGTCATTGAGTCGACTGGCGTGGTTTCGAATCCCCGGTTGTACGTGGCAAGGAGTAGGGTCGCCTGTCCAACCTCGTGGGTTTTCTCCGGGTCCTCCGGTTTCCTCCCACTGCTAAAGACCCCTACGCGCAAGCGAATTATGTAAATAAAATTAAACCATATGTTAGTCCCGAAATGACCTAGTTTGTGTCGAGTGGAAGTTAAACTCCATTTCTCTCTCTCTCTCTGTTCTGCTCAGACTGGGCTACTGAAGACGGGCATACACCATACAGTGTGCTATGAGGGAAATTTTGCCCGCACAGTGGCACTATGGCCTACTCTTATATCGAATTCCAACTGCCAAGGGATCTGTTATGTACATGCCAATGTATACACAGGACCTCCGGGTTTCATCCCATCCGATCCAACGACTACACATTGTCCATTGCCAGGCCCTTTGTCCTACATCACTGACAAGGGGGAAACAACACCAGAAAATCCTGATGAACTTTCTCAGCCAAAGTAGGGTTCGAACACGGGACCTCCAGATTAGCGAGCCAGCGCCTTACCCACTGAGCCATCGTGGCTCCCTGTACATGTAAAAGAACTGTAGAAAGTAAGAATTTGATAAGAGTAGCCCGTAGCGCAGCTGTCAGTCGTCTTCATTAGGGTGTGTGTCAAATAGGTTAACACATGCTCGTTGCATTGTAAGGTCTGTCATCAAGTCAAGTGCCATGATTTTGATTCCCCTCTTGTATGCAACAAAGTGTAGGGTCTCCATACTGGTAGGTTTTCTCCAGGTTCACTGGTTTCCTCCCACTGCTAATAAAACTGAACCATATGTTAATCACGAAATGACCTAGTTTGTGTAGATTGGACGTTAAACCCCATTTCTCTCTCTACGTAATAAATTGTATAACAGAATTCTATTATTTTGGTTTTTGTAAATTACCTTGTTTATGTTTGTAGGTGTAACTGTGAAGGTATACAATGTTGATATAGAAAGGGAGATAATTCATGCACCTGTTAGTATACGAGCCTACCATGTACAAACTATTCAAGAATTCAAACACCTTGTAGCTCAGGTAATAGTTGACATTAATTATTTACAACACTGTCAACCAAAGTCGGTGATTTATCCCCTGGTTGAATTGCCGAATGGTTAACACATGCGCCCTGGACCATGAGGTCTGTCATTGAGTCATGTGGCGTGGTTTTGAATCTCTGCCTGTACGTGACAAGTAGTAGGGTCACCTGTCCAACCTTGTGGGTTTTCTCCAGGTCCTCCGGTTTCCTCCTACTCGCAAGCGAATTATTGAAATAAAATTGAACCAGATGTTAGCCCCGAAATAACCTAGTTTGTGTTGACTGGACGTTAAACCCGATCTCTCTCTCGTTGATAACACATGGACAAAACATGGATGTATACCTCATCACTGGAGCATTAAGGGAGTAACAGTGGCTCAGTAAGCTGCTAGTTCATGTACCAGGTGGTCCTGGAATTTGTTGCCCCTTGTCAGTGGTACGGGACAGATTATTATGGTAGTTCAACCCTCCGTTGTCTTTGACAAAACATTCAGTGTCTATATCTGGTTCTTTTGATACTAATAGTTAGTGTAGTATGTCATATAGAAGTGGACTAGTGAAGCCGTGTATTTATGAACCCTGTGAACTAGTGACACACTGTTGGATTATCTTTATTCTGTTTATTTCAGAAATTACAAGTGAATGTTGATAATATTCGACTTGTGTTTGAAAGATTTCATAATGATCTACGACTACTAACAGTACCCAATAAAACACTGAAAGCTGAAGGTTTCTTTAAAAGTAATAAGGTAAACATCTAATCAATATTCTTATTCGCCCTGTATTTCCAACCCAAGTGGACATTAAGCCCCATCTCTCTCTCTCTCTCTCTCTCTCTCTCGCTCTCTCTTTTTCCAACCAGGCTAGCCCTTAATCACAACAGGTCCTTTAGGCAAACTTCTTAGGAAGCCTTTGTCTGAGTTATCACCCTTGGTGGAAGCACACGAATGAACGAACCATCTTCCTGTTTTCTTCTAATCTGTCTTGGACTTCACCAATATTGAAAAAGCTGATAGACACGACTTAATCGATGCTAAAATATACTAAAATCCCATCAAAGATTTTCATGAAGATTGTAGATAGACTGGTTTGCTTTCACCATTCCAAGTTAACAGGTTTTTAATTCATCATATCTTTGTAAGCACTGTACGGAATTGAACTTTACAATATTGTAGTTGCAAGGGATTTCTGAATCCCTCAAATCATCTTTAGGGGTTTGAAATGGGGAGAATCTTTAAAAAATATTTATCAGATAAAATGTTGACATTATTTTACAGGTATATAAAATGTTTGATAAAATGTTGAAATTATAGCTTAGAAATATTTTACAGGTTTACGTGGAATGTAGTGATAATAAAGATGAGAATGCAGAATGTTTTCTACGCAGCAAATTTTACCAGCTATTAGATCGCCATCAGAATACCATCAGAATATATGTCAGTTTACCAACAGAAGGTACAACAGTACTATCATTATTTTCTTCTCTATGTTGTTGTAGTTGTTTCCTGCTCATATGAGACCAACTAAATATGTCAAAAATAGACTTCCGACGTGGTTTCCCCTTGTCAGTGATGCAGGACGGAGGACCTGACAAGGACAGCTGTCTAGTCCTGCGGATGAGACGAAAAACTGAGGTCCCGTGTAAACATTGGAATGCACGTAAAAGATCCCTTGGCAGTTGGAATTCGATATAAGAGTAGACGATAGTGCCGCTGCCCAGGCAAAATTTCCCTCATAGCACACTGTATGGCGTATGCCCGTCTTCATTAGCCCAGTATAGGAGCAGAGCAGTAGGACGTTAAACCCCATTTCATTTCATTTCAAAAATAGACCAAATGGCAAAGTTTTGAAGTAAAAACCCTGGGCTCGAAATCTAAACTAAAGATAAAATCCAATTTTAGTAAATATTTATTTCAATTTTGATTGGCTAAGCACTAAAATCAATCTAATATTATCAAATCAAATTACTAAAATTTGGATTTTTATCTTAGTTAAGATTTCATGAAACGGGCCCCAGGTTTATATCATGGAGTAAACTAATCAGACAGGACCTTCTTCATCTTGATTATGACTTAGATTGTTTCCAATAATCCAGGGTTGGTTTTAGGAACATTTTAATAGCATATTTTGATGTATTTGTAAGGAAATCAACAATAACTGTCATTGGAAGTATTTTGAAATACTGATATCCAGGCAAAAAGAAACCAATTTTATTATATATATAATAATTGAGAATCATAATAACAACAAGCACCTGCCATTTGTTAACTAATGACAACGAAATAGAATTTCAATATCACTGATCATGTTTTATTTTCAGATGAAGTACATGAATATCTAAAAGATCTACGGGAAAATCATCTTCGGCATCAACAAATTCTACGCACGTTGTCGGAATCGGATGATATGAGCCCCGATGATATTACGCAGACTACTAGTGAACCAATAATGGAATTTGAAAACGATTATCTCAGGACATTATCTATTCATGGTAGTCATAGTGATCCGTCTGTTTATCATAGTTGTCGTGACAACACAGACTTAAGTCCGGCAGGATCTGACGCTCGTAGCACGAGTCCCGTAGGTGCGGGTTCCAGCAGCCAGGACATGAGTTCAAGCGCTGACTGTAGTCTTAGTTTAAATTCAAATCAAGGCAGCCAGTCGCTGTCTCCCGACGCTCCCAGCGATAAATGTGATGACCTTGACACTTGTGATATGGACAAATCAGACGATAACGGTGATAATTGTGATCTAGGTAGTCATGACGATGGCGTACAGCGATCGAGTGATAAAGATTCAAGGACGTATAAAAGCTGTTCTCCAGAAACGGTTGTCGAACATGCGGAAACAGAGAATTATCATTCTAGTGCTAGCTATATCTCTAGTGGTTCCATGGTAACACAAGAAACTCTTGTATCTAAAGACAATGAAAACTGGGATTTAGACACGATTCCCACATCATATACCTCGAGTTCTAATAGCCAATCAGAAACAAGCTTTCAAGACGAACCTTTAGAAGAAGTTAAATATTATTTCTACGCGTCGTTTGACGAGTACCAACCAGACAAGTGGAGAAGTAAGTTAATATTTATATATCATTTAAACATACTTGTACGTGACAAGGAGTAGGGTCACCTGTCCAACCTCGTGGGTTTTCACCGGGTCCTCCGATTTCCTCCCACTGCTAAAGACCCCAACGCGCAAGCGAATTATTGAAATAAAATTGAACCATATGTTAGTCCCGAAATGACCGGGTTTGTGTCGAGTGGACATTAAACCCCATTTCTCTCTCTCATTTAAACATACAAGAGCTAAATCTGCCTATTGCAGGTCTTTTTCTTAGGCCTGAAATCTTTTCTAAATTATTAATTAGACCAGTGGTTCTCAACCTTTTTTTTTTTTTGATTCCTGCATTGGCCTAGAAAGTTCATCCAGATTTTCCGCCGTGGTTCCCCCTTGTCAGTGATGCAGGACGGAGGGCCTGACAAGGACAGCTGTCTAGTCCATCGGATGAGACGAAAAAACGAGGTCCCGTGTATACATTAGAATGTACGTAAAAGATCCCTTAGCGGTTGGAATTCGATATAAGAGTAGGCGATAGTGCCGCTGCCCGGGAAAAATTTCCCTCATAGCACACTGTATGGCGTATGCCCGTCTTCATTAACCCAGCATAGGAGCAGAACAGTAGGACGTTAAACCCCATTTCATTTCTCAACCTTTTTTTTGCTTGCCAACGGCACACCATGGAACACATGATAAAACAGGGGCACACCTGGCTAAATATATATGAAAGATATATGAATTTTGCAAAATAAAAACATGGTAATTCAGATGGAATACAACCATAGACATAGACTAGTTATAGTAGGGTGACCCATGTACTCACAGAAATACAGTCCACCGCTGATAGTTCGAGACTACCACTGAAGCGTGCACATTCGCCGTGCCGAGACCAACTTTCTGACAGTATGATACTATAAATAGCCATGGCACGTGCAATTCTCTACAAATCTATCAACTATTACAGCCGTAAAAAATTTATTGTTGACGATTTTGAATAGCAGTTAAATTAAGCTTCTTGGTTATTACAGCAGATTTAGAAATTACGTTTGTTTCATTTTTTAAATCGCTTTATCATTAACTGTACCGTTAAGAGCGGCATCTTTTGGTTTAGTACAAATAATATCTCTGAATCACTCGGGTTAGGCAGGAACATGAAACTAGCAGTAGTTTCATTTTACTTTTACAAGCTTCTTAAAACGATTGTTGAGCTACCTAACGTGCTTATTTCTAAATTCAATTTCTTGTTCTAGCTTTCTGTTACGTTTCGTAAAAAAGTAGTCTTGATTATCCCGACCTGTCAATCAGACGTAGAATGGTCGATAGACTGGTTAAGCGAGACTAATTTCAAAACAAGGGCACGTAACCTATCTTTTACTCAAAAGTGTCTGGATGTTATGGACGACTCTTGGAACCAGTTATCAGTCTATTATTTATACATGATTAATGGTCATAGCTTATTAAGTACAACATGATCGTTTATTTAGTGACTATAATTGTGTGAAACTGATTTGAGGCTTGGCATATATATAAATATTGTGGCGTAATGGTCGAGATATATGGAGATATTTATTTATGGTGGGTCACCCTAGTTATAGACACATAGAATGACTCAAACTAAATAAAGAAAAACACAGCTATGAACTTATCAGTAGACACCAGTGAATACTCAGTTGGGATCACATGGTGTTTCACATTTTCCTAGTTTGCCGTTCAAAATTTCGCTGCACACTCGTTGAGAATCACTGAATTTTAGACATTAATTAACTTATCCAGACTATAGATAATCAACTCACAATGCCAACTTATATGTCCGATTTTCATTGGATTTGAATCTGATCTGCTGTTCAACATCCATTGATGATTCAATACAAAAAACAGTACTTTGTTAATTATCGTGACAGTGCTAACAATGACAATCGAGGCTAAAGTGATTTTAAAATAAGGTTTCTTGGCTTATAGTACAGCAGTTTGACTGAAATTTTCAGCAAATCCCATTTACATTATCTAGTTTTTAACTATTATAGTGTGAACTGCCAGCGCTTTATCGAACGCTGAAACATGTGTTAGTCCCAAAATGACCTAGTTTGTGTCGTCAAGTGGATGTTAAACCCCTCTCTCTCTCTCTCTCTCTCTCTCTCTCTCTCTCTCTCCTGATTGTTCTGAGTGTTAGAAACTATTTTAAATGTTTTGTTAATTCTATATTAACTCCAGGTGTAACCGTGTTTGTTGATAAGAGAATCAGTCTTGGTGCGTTTAAGAAAGAAATGGAACCTTTTGTTGGAACGATCTCAGAAAATTTTAAGGTAAGATAAAAATAGAATTATTTGTACAGTTGAATTCGTAATTCTGATAGACTGGTTTATTTAAATTGTGTGTTTATCATATGCAAAAACTAAATCTGCCTATTGCAGGTTTTTATTTTGACTACAAATGTTATATTAACTATTATTTAAACATTTATTAACTTGACAAGACCATAATCAACTCTCTAGATTGTCAGATGGTCGTGAATTTTAACGGATTGAAACATGATCACAATTTATTAATTTCATTTAAAAATGGATAATCAAGACTTTGTTTATTATTGTTACAATATAATAGCAATGAAAATCGAACCCACACTATTCTTATCAAAATTTTAAACTTATAGCTTCGCACTGAATAAAGTAATTTGACTGAAATTTTTAATATATACATTTTGCATTATCTAATATTGAACTATTATAGCAAGAACGGTCTGCTCTTTATCTAAATCTTATATAATGCCTCTTTGAAGTTATTATATTATTTGTGTGATTCCAGTTATTATTTTTATTGTTTATCAACAGGTATATCGTGTTTATTCTAATAACCAGGAATTTGAAAGTATCAGATTATCAGATACCTTGACCTTCTTAGAAGATGGACGGGTTAGTATTATTAATTTACAATGATTCATTCTAGGGTTGGTGGAGAGGATGGGGGCGTAGTCAAGCAAATGTGGTTTAATTCAAAAACAATTCTTTCGAATTAATCCTTTATAAGCATTTAGTAACTAGATGGACCAATAAACTACAAAGTTATGACAAAGTTTTTTTAAATCCTTATTTTTAATCAATCTTATTAAAATACAGATCTATACTTCGTTTCGTTTTTTTTTATACTTTCGATGGCCTACACTACATGGAGATCTGACAAGTTATAGCGATAGGTCACATCAGGGGTCAAAAGACCGGCTTATGACCCTATGATGTCAGACATTTGATTAACCAATCAGCATTGATGTTAAAGCTCGCCGTAACAGACCGTTTCATTGGCTTATCCCAAACACCATTCAGAACACGAGTTAAATAACAACTCTTCCAGATCCAAGTGTAGTAAAGACAAGTTAAATGAAATTTTGAACTATAAAAATGAAACGAAATAGGATCTGTGTTTTAACCAGATTGATTTTTACTGATTAATTTAATGAATGAAAATGATAAATAAAATATAATATTTGTTGTGGTATTTCTTTGTGATCTTTATAACTTGGTCCGAGCGGTCTAACATCTTGACCAGTGATGGGATTTTGCCCGTATATTCCGGACTTGTCCGAATCTTTTTTCCAAACGCCCAAAATTGTCCGACCGGGAATATGCCCAATCGGACATCAAGACATGGTGAATAATATTCAAAATTCTGAAATTAATAGTTTACTGATTGTATAACTACCACTCAACCCGATTATCGTCGATACGCTGGATTGATTAGGTAATTAAGTGATCAACGTATTTATCGTTTTATACCGTCTATAAATAACCTACCTTGATTAACTACTTAATCTGCCTTGATTGACCGACTTAATCCTTTGTCGGACAGTTCATCAATCTAGTCGTAAACAGAAGTCATTGTTTCCCCTTTGTCGGAATATTCATCAATCCAATAACTGTGATTATAATTTTAATCCTCGTGTTAACCTCGTGGTTTCTGCATTGTCGGACATATTAATCGCATTGATGTGAGCCGACAATATGTATAAACTATAGATGTCACATATTGTAATAGACATCAATAGACAGTCATTATAACTTTCAACATGCTTCGATTCAATATACATTGTATCCGATAACTTGTCTGTGATATTCCTTTGGTGGAAGCCAAAGTTAAATAAAGCTATTTCACACACACGCATGGTTCTAGTAAAGTAACTCAAAATGAAAGTAGTCATATCGCGAGACACGTGAAATTAAGAGATTTAAACGTGCCGAATCTAATAAGTGAGGTTTCTGTTTTTAAATAAATAAATAAACACGCTAAGAAATGTTGACGACTATGTCGATTGGAATACGGCTAGAGTCGAATGCGATTATTTAGCTGCAGTTGGTGTCCCTCGCTCGTTTTTGAGCGACGTTTACTTCGAAATAAATTTCGGGATGTCATATTTTTCCTTTCGTATATAAATCGAAACGGAGTATGAGATGAATGCCGGTTTTTGCTGAAAAATGTATCGAAATATGACCCGAAAAATACAGTAATTTGGGGGGAATTTGAAACAGGTACCGATCGACAGTAGTCGTCACACTTTCATTCTATGGTATTACGATGTCATGTAATTTTGTAAGAATATTATTGACATAAATTTTAATACCGTACGGGAATTAAGCATGAAAAATTACGAGGTGAAGATATTTTTTTATTACGTATAAATTTGAGTATTTTGTTGACACGTGATTCTTAATTGTGGTTTGAAAACGTCTGCTTAAATAACGATATGAGTTATGCCCCTTTATTTTCGGAAAAAATGTCCGACAAGAAAAATTTTGAAATCCCGTCACTGATCTTGACCCATGTATTAAACCAAGCAAAACTATTTTGGGATGTGTGTTTTTTGGGGACTTGGGATGAGATGTCTTCTAACTTGGGATGAGATGTCTTCTAACATGGGATGAGTTGTCTTATATTGGGATGAGTTGTCTTGGGATGAGTTGTCTGTATACCTGTTTTTTGATGTATAAATGTTTTTCTTTTTGTAGTTAAATATAAAACTTGGTCGGGCACTACAACCAGATGAACATCGAGTTAAAGTTTATCAACTTCTAGTCAACCAATCAGAGGTAGGTTTACGTTTCATTAACTTCTATAACCAATCCGAGGCATTTTTACATTATATCAATTTCTTGTCAACCAATCAGTGGTAGTTTTACATTATATCAACTTCTTGTCAACCAATCAGAGGTAGTTTTACGTCATATAAACTTCTAGTCAACCATTGTAATGTAATTCTATGAAGAATAGGCAGAAATGCTGCTATCCAGGCAGAATTCCCCTCCGCAGTCTACACATCCTTGGTACCCCCAGTGGTATCATATCATTCTACTCCACTAACCCATGGGTCCATTAAGGGGGGTTGGATGGCTGAATGGTTAGCGTGCGCGCGCTGTATCATAAAGTCTGTTATTGAGTCCACTGGCGTGGTTTTGATTCCCCGGTTGTACGTGACAAGGACTGGGTCGCCTGTCCAACCTCATGGGTTTTCTCCGGGTCCTCCGGTTTCCTCCCACTGCTAAAGACCCCTACGCACAAGCAAATTATGTAAATAAAATTAAACCATATGTTAGTCCCGAAATGACCTAGTTTGTGTCGAGTGGACGTTAAACCCCATTTCTCTCGCTCTCTCTCTCTCCCATTCAAATTATCTGCCCTTGATGATTTCATTGGCCACGTAGGTTGTTTCTACGCACCAGTCGAAAAACAGATTACATACCTGTCTTAGCATCATTGTTTAGGTTCACCTCATTACAACAGCCTGTATGTTCGATTATTAGAAACTTTGTAAGAAATTAAATATCAAAGAACTGACATTCACACAAAAAGATGTCCTAAAGTATTTTGACAAAGTGTACAACAACGATTCAACGATCTTAGTTTCAATAAAATGGGAGTTACTTCCCTTCAACCACTTGCTTTCTATTTTTACTTGTTTACAGTTCTATTAATATTTTATTTTTTCAGCCGTGTAAGTTTCTGATTGAGACGATATTTGCCAAAGGTATGACAGTATTAGAATCTAAGAAGATAATATTACCTGAAGTTAAAGAGAAGATTGGATTAGATATTCCATTAAACAGGTTAGTTGTAATTCATCACTTATAAAAGCGATTATCAGATACCCAAGTGATTTAAAGATACGTTATGGGAGATTAGATAAAGAGCTGGTAGTTCTCACTTTTATTGTTAAAAACTAGATAATGTGAAGGCAATTTGCTGAAAATTTCAGTCAAATTGATCCACCCTGAACCAAGTATTTAGCGATTGAATTTTGGGCCTAGCCTCAATCACCTTTACTAATACATCGTCTCGATTATCCATTTTTTGATTTAATCAGAAGCAGCAGACCGGGTTCTAATCCAGTAAATATCGCAGACTAGCGATGCCATCGAGAGTTGATCATGGTCTGGATAAGTTAATTGATGTCTAATTAATAATTTAGATAACATTTTAGGCCTGAAGAAAGATCTGCAGTTGGCAGATTTATCTCTTGCATAATGTATGTTTAATATACAGGGGGTGCGTGTTTCATTACCTGGGAACCTATGTTTTATATTATTTATATAGTTGTACAAGTTTTATTTATTTCCTGTGCTGGTTCGCTGGTTCAATCTCAGTGTAGACTGAGAGAAAGTTCATCAGGATGTTCCGGAGTGGTTTCCCCTTGTCAATGATGCAGGACGGTGGGCTTGACAAGGACAGCTGTCTAGTTGTTCGTATGGAACGGAAAACTGAGGTCCCGTGTACACATTTGCATGCACATAAGAGATCCTCTGGCAGTTGGAATTCGATATAAGAGCAGGCCTTAGCGCCGCTGTCCGGACAAAATTTCCCTCATAGCATACTGTATGGCGCATGCCCGTCTTCATTAGCCCAGTCAGTGCAGAACAGTAGGACATTAAACACCATTACATTTCATTTCCTTAAATAATTGTTTTATATTTCAGATGCCGATTACGTAAGAAAACCTGGAAGAATCCTGGTAACGTGTATCAAGATACATTGATCTATGATAAAGATATTTCTATCTTTCCTAACTGGGAAGTTTTCCTCGAAGTACTCGATGGTAAGATTATTTTAAACCCCATTTTTCCCTCTAAATTTCCTAACTGGAAGGTTTTCTTGGAAGTACTTAATGATAAGATTATTTTAAAACTCATATCTTTCTCTCCCAGTTTCAAACAATTAACTTTCCTAACTGGGAGGTTTTGAAATGTGATGTTTATGAGAAGTCATTTAACCCAGTAGTGTTCTTTTGACCCAAAAAAACCCACAAAAATAAAAACAAAATTCGATTTTATGACAGGATTGCCTGGGAACCAGAATAATTCTTTTGTATGATCGTATGTTGATTATTATTATAATTCATATTATGAAAAGGCAATTTACAGTATTGTAGATATTATACTGTATATAGATGTAATATGATAGATAAATATATACTACCCATTATATAGACTAATATAATATACTAGCTTTATGTTATATCTTAATATGTGGGATACAAACACATAGGCGTACGAGCCAGGGGGGCAGGGGGGTCAGCTGCCCCCCTAACTTTCGGGCGAGCTGACTTTTCGGGCAGACGGGTAAAGTGACAAAAAATTTTTATTTCATCTACTTGGGCTGGAAGAGCAGTAAAACGCGTTTTCGGCCGTCAAATATTCCAAAAATTTTCTTGGGGGGTCCTTACAAGGTCAGCTCCGCTTCTTCGCCTCTCGAAGAAATCCGGTGCCGCTGTGTAAACCTGAAATTTTTTCGGGCATTTCTAGTTTTGCTTCCCTGTCTCCGAGCCCTAATAAAATACTAATTTTACTTATCTTTTAATTGAATACCACAAATTTGTACTGAGTTGACTATGGATTAAAACATTTTGTCTGGAGCCACTCTACTTTGTGCGACATTTTTCGGGCATCGATTATTATTTGTGAATGCAGCTGCAACAGTCTGATTGAATGGTTGGAATTCAAAATGGGATTTAGGTTACAAAACCATTGGATACTGTTGGAGTTGCTTACACGGGCTAGAATAGCAGAAAACGCATATGCGGTGGTTAAATTTTCCAAATTTTCTCCGGGAGGGTGAGGCCTCCATACTCCGCGACGATTGATTGGTTGTTTGGAATTCGGGTCAGCCAGGTGGGCTATATTGGACCAAATTGAAGTTGCTGTATTCACTGGCTGGAATAGCAGGAAAACACGTTTGCGGCAGTTAAATTTTCAAAATTTTCTGCTAACGGTCCCGTCTTCGTGGACTGTTAATGATTGATCTTTTGATAGGAATTCGAGTCAGCCATCTTAATTAGGCTATAATAGACCACTTTGTTCAAGGACTGAAATAGCAGGAAAATGTGTTAGTAGCCGTCAAATATTCCAAAATTTTCTTTTTTGGGGGTGGGGGGGGGTCTGTGCAAGGTAAGCTCTGCTTCTTCGCCTCTCGAGGAAGACAGATGCCGCTGTCTGTTAACCCGAAATTTTTTCGGACATGTCAGGTTCTACCCCCCTAACTGTCATCGAGCCCGTACGCCTATGTACAAACAGATACATGATATACTACCCTAGACTGATATGTGGGATACAGACATACATGATATACTACCCTACAGACATATACCACCCTAGACAGATATAATATACTAGATATATCCTTTTATTTTATGATCAGTAGTGGAATACCGCGTTTTATCAGTGAAATAAAAGTGTTATTCCACTGGCTAGTTGTTTTTACCTAAAATGATTGTAAAATCATGAAATAAATAGAACATTTGTCGTTTTGTCGTGAATAACATATTTTATTTCATCTCGAAGCAAGAAAACGTTTATATTTTCACTCATGCTACGCATTCGTGAAAATATAAGTTTTCTTGCTTCTCGATGAAATAAAATATGTTATTCACTCTAAAACTACAAATATCCTCTATATATGTGGGATATAAACAAATATACATGATATACCACCCTAGACAGATATAATATACTAGATATATCCTTATATGTGGGATATAAACAAATATACATGATATACCACCCTAGACTAATATAATATACTAGATATATCCTTATATGTGGGATATAAACAAATATACATGATATACCACCCTAGACAGATATAATATACTAGATATATCCTTATATGTGGGATATAAACAAATATACATGTTATACCACCCTAGACTAATATAATATACTAGATATGTCTTAATATGTGGGATATAAACAGATATACATGATATACCACCCTGGAATAATATAATATAGCATACTAGATATATCTTAATGTGTGGAATACAAACATATACATGATATAATACCCTAGACTGAAATAGTTATGTATTAATATGTGGGATACAGACATATGTATCGCAGCTGAAAATGTTATTGTAATAAATTGCAACGTTTATTTCCTCAATGATCACTCATCAATGAGAACAATTTTGTTTATAATTGTTTACATTTTAAATAAAATTTTAGAATAATTTGAATCTATGTTTAAGATTTAAGATTCTATCAAGGTTTGATATGTTTTTCAGCTCCTGATGAAAAATTGTCTTCATCCCAGTTAGCGTTGTATGTTCGACGATGGCGTCCATCTTTATATGAGTTTCAAAGTTTCCAGGAGGTTGTATTAAATCATGAAACCATGGATGAACTCAAATCAAAGGTTTGTTAAACAAATTTCTTATTATAGGATTTGTATGACCTTCAAATGCCCCCGATTTTAGCATTGCCCCCAAAACTCCTTTAATTTTTCCACTGGCTTCAAATCCCTTGAATTTTAACACTGTCTTCAAAACCCCTTGTTTGTTAAACAACTTTGTTATTATAGGATCTGTATGACCTTTAAAAGCTCTTGGATTTTAGCACTGGCCCCCAAAACTGCTATAATTTTTTATCTGGTCTCAACCCCTTGAATTTTAACACTGTCTTCTAAACCCCGTAGGCTGTAGCACTATTTCAAAACCCCTTGAATTACATATTCCTGAAGCAATGGCCCGAGAAATCCCTCCTTGGCCATTGCTGGATTGACTTCTGATACTTTTGAGAGAGTGTGTCTATTCTTCCCGTTCAATCAAATCTATCCCAAGTACAGCAACATGGCAGCACTTCGTTTACTCTGGGGTCTTCCCTAAAACTTTGGACAGTGATTTAAGGTATTAAAACTGCGTGAGCATTGTTCGTCTCCAAGTTATATTGTTTACATTGTATCCGTGTTGATAGCCTTGTTTGTCACACAATTACTGTTTCTGCAATATTCTACTATGCACTGGTCAACTGGGCATAATAAAATCGTGAGTCATGACCTAATGTTATGTAAACATATTTGGTCCAAATTGGAGCTCTGTTTAAAGCGTAATGATATTGTTACGCAGTTAGCTATTGGTTGTTAATCGGACTATTGACCAGTCATAATTTGGAACAGAAATTTGCTTCCACTACAGTAGTTTAAGTGAGATTAGCTCTAATCAAACAAACACTGCAAGGAGTATGCTTGAATTATAGCACTGTCTTCAAAGCCCTTTCAATCTTAACACTGTTTTCAAAACCCCTTGAATTTTAGCACTGTCCTCAAAACCCCATGGATTCTAACACTGGTTTCTAAACCCCCTTGGGTTTAGCACTGTCCCCTAACAACTTGTGTATTGGTTTTTAAAACAACTTGTTTTTATGCACTGTCCTGAATAACCCTTTGATTTGGTCTGTGTATGAATATCCCTTCATTGTCTCTAGACATAAGGGGTTTGCATGGTCGAATGGTTAGCACGTGCGCTGTATCATGCGGTCTGTCATTGAGTCAACTGACGTTGTTTCGATTCTCTGGTTGTACGTGACAACAAGTAGGGTCGCCTGTCCAACCTCGTGAGTTTTTCTCCAGGTCCTCCGGTTTCCTCCCACTGCTAAAGAACCCTACGCGCAAGCAAATTATTGAAATAAAATTGAACCCTGTGTTAGTCTCGAAATGACCTAGTTTGTGTCGAGTGGATGTTAAACCACATTTCTATCTATCTATGTCTATACATTTTAACGTATTACCATCTGGAAGTCTATATCTTTGTTTTAATCTGGAATATTTGTGACTTTATTTAATAATAAAACTGTTTGATATGTTTGTTTCAGATATCTGATATCAGTGGTATACCATTAGAAAATGTTGATGTAGCTAAGGTAAATAAATCTTTAATTATTTTATGAATGTATTACATTTAATTAATGATAAATTTGTGCCCACGTTGCCAGGATTTTCTAGCTTGATTTCATCTTGCCAGTGTCTTGTTTTTCATATGGTACGGGGGAGGGAGGCATGGCCAAATGGTTAGCACGTGTGTGCTGTATCATGAGGTCTGTCATTGAGTCAACTGGCGTGGTTTCGAGTCCCCGATTGTACGTGACAAGGAGTAGGGTCGCCTGTACAAACTCGTGTTTTTTCTCCGCGTCCTCTGGTTTCCTCCCACTTCTAAAGACCCCTACGCGCAAACGAATTATTGAAATAAAATTGAACCATGAGTTAGTCCTGAAATGACCTAGTTTGTGTCGAGTGGATGTTAAACCCCATCTCTCTCTCTCTCTCTCATATGATACATAAATCCCAGATCACATATACACGTTGTCCTGTATGTAAAAGAATCCTTGGCATTTTGAATATATTGAAGATTAGTTGGTTATAAATTATTAATTAATTGATTGATTATACTGTATTGAGTATACTGTATTGATTAATTGATTGGTTATAATTAATTAATTGATTGGTTATAATTTATTAATTAATTGTATTATGATGTATTTATTAATTGATTGGTTGTTATGTATTTATTGATTGATTGGTTACGATGTATTTATTAATTGATTGGTTACGATGTATTTATTGATTGATTGGTTATGATGTATTTATTGATTGGTAATGATGTATTTATTGATAACTTGATAATACAATGTTATTTGATTGATTATACTATATTAATTGGTTGATTAATGAATTGATTTATCAACAGGGTAAAGGAACGTTCCCATGTGAAATGTCTGTGTTAGAAGCTCAGTTAGAATTAGATTGGTCACCACAAGCTGTCAGATTAAATGTAGGACCTCTCTATATTTGTGATGACGGACATGTCGTTTATTACAGGTACGTTAACATCAATATTCATTACCTTTGTAATGGGGGGGTTGGATGGCCAAATGGTTAGCATGTGTGTGCAGCTGTGAGCCTCAGTTGTCAAAGGTAAAGCACACTTTCAGATGTGTGTGGAACTGTGAGCCTCAGTTGTCAAGGTAAAGCACACAGTCAGTTGGTGTGCAACTGTGAGGATCAGTTGTCAAGGTAAAGCACACAGTCAGATGTGTGTGCAGCTGTGAGCATCAGTTGTCAATGTAAAGCACACAGTCAGATGTGTGTGCAGCTGTGAGCATCAGTTGTCAATGTAAAGCACACAGTCAGATGTGTGTCCAGCTGTGAACATCGGTTGTCAAAGGTAAAGCACACAGATAAGAGTGTAGCTGTGAGCTTCAGTTGATTTTGTATTTTATGAAATACTTTGTCTTTTTCAGAGATAAAACTGAAGAATTGGCAGAATTATCAGAAGAACGAAAGAAAGAAATACAACAAAAGGAAAATATCAGGTACAATTGGTTTAAAGTTTCATCAATAATTGAATTTAACGACTGTTTTTCATCAACAGTTTAATTTTATGACTTTTTTTTTTCATCAACAAAATTTTATGACTATTTAAAATCAATCTTATTCAGTTAATGGAACTAATGTGTTTCAGATTTTCGATTTTGGCCTTGTTATTGCCTAAGTCAATTCCACTTGAGTATTGTCGATAGCCAGATCTTATAGTGTTTTCTCTAGATTTTATGGTTCCCTCCATTCAGTTGAAATCTCAATTTAATGTTGCGAAATGAAATGGGTTTAACGTCCTACTGTTCTGTTCCTACTGGGCTAATGAAGACGGGCAAATGCCTTACAGTGTGCTATGAGGGACATTTTGCCTGGACAGTGGCACTATGGCCTACTCTTATATCGAATTTCAACTGTCAAGGGTTCTTTTACGGACATGCCAATGTATACACGGGACCTCGGTTTTCCATCCCATCCGATCCAACGACTATACGTTCTCCCTTGCCAGGCCCTTTGTCCTACACTACTAAAAATTGGGATCCACACCGGAAAATCCTCATGAACTTTATCGACCAACGCAGGGATCGAACACGCAACCTCCAGGTAAGCGAACCAATGTTCTACTCACTGAGCCACCGTGGCTCCCCCATCAACATAGACTTTTCGCCTACATCATAGATGTTGACATGTGACAAATGTTTTTTTAATGTGTATTTTTTTTTTATTCTTCAGGATAGCCAAATATAGTCCCAAGATGTCAACCTATTCACCAAGGAAAGAACGAGCCTTGAAAATCTACACGGATGACGATCCACCATCTTCTAGTAAACTTTCACCAGATCTCGATTAGCGTGGTTATAATAAACCCCGGGGCGTATTCCCTGATCAGATGATTCTACCCCATCTCATATTCCCTGATCAGATTAAGGCAGGACACTACCTTATAAAAGACTCTGTATAGATTGATCTGTCAAATTTTGATATCGGCTAAAATTGCCCAAAATAGTTAAAATTTGTTGATTTTTCAAGTCGTGTCCAGCCTTTATATTATATAGTGTTAAATATTTAGTCATTTTTTTAGGTAAATCAAACTTTAACTTTTAACTTGCTTTTTTCCGTACTCAATTTTTCACCCATATCAGGTCTTAGAAAATCAAATTCTCAAAATCTATGAGAGATAATGGTCTCATCTTTGGAATACGATTAGTGCTATAGCTACTGTGTGCAATAAGGTGATTTTCAATGTGTTTGTTATACAGTTGGACATTTTATTGTACAAAATCTTTTTAGTGGTGTGTTCGGCCACACCCACTTGTTTTATGTGGGATGCAAAATGTTCTTTATTAACATTCAAATAGTAAAATTTATGCCTTATTGCACTTTTTAATGCCTATATATGTTATTCCAAATCACAAATAGTTTGTTTCAATAAAATTGTTGAAGATTTTGATTTCCTAACATAGCCACCGTGAATATATAAAAAAAAATCCAATATGGCCACTATTTCCATGGCAACAAATAAACATTTTGCGCTCAAATTATCAAATCTGATTTGGGACATCATATACTAATATTACACTAAATGGCAAGTTTCTGTTATCAATGTAAAATTCTTAGGTAGCGTCCTGCCTTAAACCAAGACCCATATTTTTCAATCTATTAAACCCTTGTTTTCCCTAATCAGAGTTCGGCCCATATCTTCTGATCTGGTGTATCAAACTCTAGCCAATATTTTCTGAACTTAATACATCCAGGCCCGTAATCTCTGTCAAGGCCCTTAATCTCTGACCTTATTAAACCCAGGCCCATATTATCTGACCTTATTAAACAAAGGCCCATATTATCTGATCAGGTTAAACACAGACCCATATTATCTGATCAGGTTAAACACAGACCCAAATTATCTGATCAGGTTCAACCCAGGTCCATAATCACCCATCTGGTTAAATCCAGGCCCATAATCACCCATCTGGTTAAAAAACCCAGGCCCATAATCACTGATCTGGTTAAAAAAAAAAACCAGACCGCTACTGTCTGATATTCCTGTTAAATCAAAGATCCTGTTTTGTTAAGTCATATAATAGTTTAGTGTTTGTTAAATATTTCTTCTAGACAAATTTTACATAAACAACATCTTTCTGACGTTAATCAACGAAATACTCTGTTTTATTTGAACCTCGTTTATTTAATGTGTAAACTGCTGTTTGGGTATCGCCCTGTCATCATTAGCCCAGTCGGTGCAGAAAAGTAGGACACTTTTTTATTTCTTAGTACCACTGTTTATCTAATCGTTTAGAGGCATTTAGGAACTGGCTACAGTAATAGTCTATAACACATACTTATGGAAAAACAACAGTAAATTAATTTGGGCGCCGTTTCGAAAAGTATTTTATCAAGTTAAACATAAGAGGTCTTTCTTTAGGCCTGAAATGTTATATAAATTATTAATTAGACATTAATTAACTTATCCAGACCATGATCAACTCGCTATGCCATTTTATTTCTCCGATTCTCATTGGATTTGAATCCTATATGTTGTTCATTGTCTGTTGATGATTAGACGCAAAAATGGATAATCAAGACTTTGTTAATTATTGTGACAGCGCTAACAATGACGATCAAGGCTACAGTGATTTTTAAATAAGTTTTTCCCGGCTTAGATTGAAGCAATATTCCCTTTACATCATCTAGTGTTTAACTATTATAGTGAGCACTGTCAGCTCTTTATCTAATCTTCCATAATGTATCTTTAATCACACGTTGAAAGAATACTCTTTGATACCTCGCCCATATAAATTAGTAGTTGTTTTTCTAGAAATATGCGTTAAAGTTTATTGTGTTATTCATCTGTAGTAAAATAAAATAAAGCCACCAATCATCATTTGAATGATTTTGAATTCTTTGCAAACTAAAAAATGGTGAAAGTTAAATCTCTAAAAGAAAAATCAGTCCAAAAAATGGTTCAATTCCGTTCAGTTTTTACAAAGATATGATGAATTAAAAATTATACATCATTTGTAATCAACTACAAATGATACAAACAAACCAGTGCCACACGCATGGTTAAATGATACAAACAAACAAGTGCCACACACATGGTTAAATGATACAAACAAACAAGTGCCACACACATGGTTAAATGATACAAACAAACCAGTGCCACACGCATGGTTAAATGATACAAACAAACCAGTGCCACACACATGGTTAAATGATACAATCAAACCAGTGCCACATACATGGTTAAACGATACAATCAAACAAGTGCCACACACATGGTTAAATGATACAATCAAACCAGTGCCACACACATGGTTAAATGATACAATCAAACCAGTGCCACATACATGGTTAAATGATACAATCAAACCAGTGCCACATACATGTTTAAATGATACAAGCAAACAAGTGCCACACACATGGTTAAATGATACAAACACACAAGTGCCACACACATGGTTAAATAATACAATCAAACCAGTGCAACATACATGTTTAAACGATACAAACAAACCGAGTGGCACATACATGTTTTAATGTTCAGTAAAATATTTTTTGATGGGCCTCTTTTGAATCTGATTGAATCCAAGCCAGGATATTTTGATTTTGTTTTGTTAATTAAATGTTAAATAATCAACTTGAGTATTTTTTATGAATGGATTAAGCCATGAACAGTAAGAACAAATGCAGATCAGTGGCTTTATAAAGATTGATAACGGTATCTAAATGGTATGCATTAATACTGTGAGTACGCCTACAACAATCTCCTAGAGATCACGTGTGTTAACGCTGTAATTGCACCCATAACAATCTCCTACAGATCAATGGCTTTATAGAGATTGATTATGGTGTGTGTGCGTTGATACGTGACCACACCCATAAATGGCTTGATAGGGATTGGTAACGGTATCTAAATGGTGTGCGTTAATACTTTAACTACGCCTATAACAATCTCCAATACATTAACACTTTGACTATACCCATAACAATCTTCTATAGATCAGGGACCTGTTTCACGAAATTTTAACGAAGACAAAATCCAAATTTTAGTAATTTGATTGGATAATATTAGATTGATTTTAGTACTTAGTCAATCAAAATTGAAGTATCTACTAAAATTTGGATTTTATCTTTAGTTAAGTTTTCGAGAAATTGGGACAGCTACACACAAGCGTTGCACCTGTAGATGTGCTCTAAGTTCAAACATGTATTAGACATCAGATATTAGTTTTATAACTACCACGATGTGTAGGTTATGACCATAATAAATAAAATTAACCATGTGTTAGTCTCAAAACTACCCAAGTCATGTATTAGCTAAAAGTTAAAGTTCATTATTTCAGTGTTCACAATATAGTTTGTTTTATCAATGGCTTCTAAATATAGTGCTACCATATGTTATACCTTCACACACATCACAATACATTAGGTAACGGCTAAATGTGTCTATTGCCGGCTAAATGTGTCCATTGCCGGCTAAATGTGTCCATTGCCGATCTTGTTTTTAGGCTTCAAATGTTATATAAATTATTATTTAGACATTTATTCGCAGGACAAGCCCAAAATCAACTCCCTGGACCACCAAATGGATTTAAACACCCACGTGACTAATTGATAAAATGGACAATCACGGCTTAGTCTTTGTTGTCAAGTATCATTGCTACGATAATCTTCAAACTGTCATAACTTTGCCCAGAATAAAGTAATTTGAATGAAATTTTCAGAATATTTATATTTCATTATCTTTTTTGAACTATTATTGCAGGAACGACCCACGCGTTATCTAAATCTTACATAATGTATCTTTAAATTACACGTTTATTATGTAGGGTAGAAGACATGTCCTCTAATACTCGTTATACCTTCACGAATAACACAATACCTTAAATTACATGCTTATTATGTAGGGTAGACTTGTCCCCTAATATACATGTTATACTTTCACAAATAACACAATACCTTAAATTACACGCTTATTATGTAGGATAGGCTTGTCCCCTAATACTCGTTAAACCTTCACAAATATCGCAATACCTTAAATTACACGCTTATTATGTAGGGTAGACTTGTCCCCTAATATACACATGGTATACCTTCACAAATTTCACAGTAAGGTACATTTATGTAAGATTAAGGTAAAGTGCTGTCCATCCTTGCTATAATAGTTGTTCAGAGATTTGATTATGGGCTTGTCATGTTAATAAATGTCTAATTAATAATTTATATATCATTTGGAACCAGAATAAAGACCTGCGGTAGATTAAGTTCTTATAAAATGTATGTTTAAATTACAAGCTTATTGTACACATGATAGCTGACCATTAAAATAACCCCATAGCTTCAGACTGATGCACTTGATTAAAGGTTTCACCAGGCCTTTATACAGAAATATTATTATCTTGGATGTTTGCTTTCAAGGGATGTTATAGAATTGTAGCACTTGCGACTTTACCCATGTCTGATCATAATGCTAGTTATCTCCCTTTGTAAATAAACAAAAAAAAAAACCTGAGTAAATATTGTATATTATATATATATATAGTTATATGTATATTGAAATAAACTGTTTGTTAAAATTATAACATATTGGTTTATTTTTATTCCTATTTTTGAAACACGTACCAACAGTGGCACAGTGATGAGTAAGGCGCTAGCTCACATACCAGGTGATCCAAGGTTTGGTCCCGGTGAAGGCCAACAGAAGTCCCCAGATATTTTCGAGAGTGGTTGTCAATGTTGTAAGGAACTGTGTCTAGTCTTTGGGATGGGACAAAAAAAACCCCAAGACCCTGTGTACATGAAAGCCGTATGGCTAAATTTATCTCATAGCACACTATATGGTGTATGCCTGTTTTCATTAGCGCGGTCGGTGCCGTTTAGTATGACGTTAAACCCCCATTTCATTTTCAAAACATGATAAGTAATGCCAGCTGAATTTACTGTTTCTGAAAACCAGGTCAACACTCGAAGATCAGAGTTTTTGATTTTTTACTCCACATGCACAAACTAGGTCATTTTGGGACTAACATATTGTTCAATTTTATTTCTATAATTCACTTGCGCATAGGGGTCTTTAGCAGTAGGAGTAAACCTTGCTTCCTGGGTCATACAAGCAGGGAATCGAAACCAGGCCACTTGACTCAATGACGATCTTTTAGAGGCATTTAGTAACTGGATAGAGCAATAAACTATAACACATACTTATGGAAGAACAATTACTGATTTATTTGGGCGACGTTTCGAAGAGTATTCTCTCAACGTTTTCAAGCAAGTACAGTAACAAATGTGTAGAGCAATTATATATAGACAAGCAATAACAACAATTCAGAAACCATGCATGACAACAACAAGATCAAAGGATTAAAAAACAATATGACTCAATGACCTTGTATTTTCAAGCTATGGGTTAAACCATTACACCACGCAACCCTCCAGTGAGGTTAAGACATGGACTTGAATCCAGCTGTTGATCTGAAAAACTTTCTGGCACGTCTGACAAGGAAAGGGAGAGAAATGGGGTTTAATGTCCACTGGACCCAAACTATATTATATTGGGACTAACATACGGTCCAATTTTATTATTTTTTCAATAATTGAATTCGCTTGTAGGTAGGTAGGGTTTGTTGGCACTGAGAGGAAACTAGAGGACCGAAAGAAAACCCTTGAGGTTGGACAGACAACCTTACTACTTGTCACAAAGAAACTGGGAATCAAAACCACACCACTTTACTCAATGACAGACCTTATGATCTAAAGCCCAGGCCTTAAACCATTCGGCCACCTGGTGCTGGATGGTTAGGTGTTGTGTGGTAAAGACAGGGACTAGAATACCGGTGTTGAATAGAACTGTCAAGATTTATTAACACTAGCTCTCGCTTGTCAATTGAGGGGGTTGAATGGCTGAATGGTTAGCCTGTGCGCATTGTATCATAAGGTCTGTCATTGAGTCGACTGGTGTGGTTTCGAATCCCCGGTTGTACGTGACAAGGAGTAGGGTCGCCTGTCCAACCTCATGGGTTTATACAAATAAACAAAAGAATACAAAGGAATAGTCAAGTTACAATAATTAACTATCTTTTAAAAAACATGTTATAGTTTCTGATATAAGTAGGTATAGGCAACGGCTAAGACAAAGCGCTGGAATGTGTGACATTGTCGCTAATTAGTAGAAAACATGGTTATATTTCCATGATCGTCACTAAATAACTATCGTATCAATTTTGAAATAAATTACACCATTGCAATAGTCTTTTCTTTCTCTTTACCACTGATACACTATTTATATATTTATTGCAAGAGAAACAGTAAAAAGGGAATTTTAAAAGACTCGTTTCAGCCGCAAAGGCCGTAATCCATGTCAACTTTGTTTTTTTGCAAAGCATGGGTTCTAGAGTTTCGTAAAGCGCTCTCTTGCAAATTCTCAATGAAAAATGTATTGGCTACCATATTCTAGCATGTCCGTAGAGCTTTTACCACATACCACATTGTCCGGCCGTTGGATGCCAAAAAAATCGAAAATTTTAAGTAGTTTATAAAACCTCAAATTTAGCAGCAAAATAAGCATAGAACCCATCAAAATAATACAGAAAAACTAGGTACAAAAATGTTCGTTATGATCTTTAGATTTTATATTTTTTCCGTTTTCTCCGGCACCTGTTGTTCCAAGGTAGCGCAAGCCAAGAGCTATCCTGAAATAATAAAAAATATTTCTAAAGTTAGGTTGCCAGGCAACAAAAACATACACCTACAACAGCTAAGTCATCGGAACAATCAACAAGGGTTGATTATTATTCTTTTGTAGGTAATGGGAGCATTTACAAGACACTGAAATGAAATGAAATGAAATGGGGTTTAACATCCTACTGTTCTGCTCCGAACTGGGTTAATGCATATCAAATTCATACAGATCGGATGATAACTTTTCTCGTTGGAGCATTCAAAAGGTTCTACAAGGACACTAACTCCAAAGTTATTTGACTTTAGCATTGATATTGACTGAGATATCACCGTTTGAACAGGGGTACCCTTTCACAAGTTTTGAAACAACTATTCTCTGACTTGATTCGGTGTACTGATTTAATTTATATCTTCTAGAGAGACAATATCCTTGAAATTTTGGGGTTTGTATGAGAATATTATATAGATTAAGAATTCACTATCAAAGTGTTAAGAACAAGTACTGTCAACTTTGCATGGAGTGCCTAAAGTGCCAAAAATTGATATCAATATTTTGATACAGTGTAGAATTTGTGAGAATATTGAAAGAATTACACGGCCAGTAGTCTCAACCATTAAATGGTGAGGGAAAAATGTTGGCAGAAAATAAACCAGGAATTTACTTCTAGGCTTCAATATTTATAGTAAATGGACAAGAGACTATCGACAAATACAAGCTAAAAATGGATTCTCCTCCAATCAAGTCATATGATAAACAATGTTGAATAAAAAAATGGAGTGGTTTTCTTGTGTCAATGGATAAACTTTACTCACTGATTTTCTACCGGTAGCGTATAACCAGTATTATTGATACTATGACCGCCACAATAGAAACCACAAGAAGAAAGATAACCCACGGTGGTAAAGGTTCATCTTGCACTACTGGTGGTGGATCTGTAACATTGCGATTCTCTGTAAAATAATGAATAGAGTTTATCATAAAACAATTATTTACAGTAATTTAGATCTTAGCAATTGTGATTGTCATGGTTTCGTTGGCTCGGTGGTTGAATTATCTACACTTTCATCTGCCCATCAAAATACAATTCAGTTTTAAATAGTTTAAGGCCATATACTATAACATATATTTTTTATAATTTTTTCGCCTACAAGCCAAGATTCTTAATGGATTGTCTTGGAAGTTGTGCATACATATTCCTTATACCCTAAGAATGATCGCTATTGTTTTTTGTGTGACCAACCCCCAGGGGCAGAGCCACGCCTATTTTTTCTTTGTGTGTCTGTGTGTTTTGATCATCTTGAAAACTTTTCATATTTATTCCTTATACCTTTAGGATGACCGCTATTATTTTTGGTGCATGCCGACCCCCAGGGGCATAGCAACGCCCAGGGGCATAGCAACGCCCATTTTGTTTATGTTTATCGCCTAGGGGCCGCAATTCTGAATGGATCTTGCAGCCTTTGGACGATAACACTAAAATCTGGTGTTGCTGTGCCCCTGGGGGTCGGGCGGGCATACACCAAAAATCATAACAGTCATCCTTTGGGTATAAGGAATATATATGAATAGTTTTCAAGACGATCCATTAAGAATTGCGACCTGTAGGGCAAAAAAACACACAAAGAAAAAATGGGTGTGGCTCTGACCCGGGTTGAGCAAGCACCAAAAACAATAGGAAACATCCCTAGGGTATGAGGAATAAGTATGCAGTTTCAAGATCATGCGTTAAGAATTGCGGCCTGTAGTTTTCAAGTGTTCAGTGATAGTGTAACAACACTACTGTACATGTACTTCAACTTTCTATGCAGACAAAACTAGTTTTCCCCTGTGTTGGTCAATATCGAAAGCAGAGGAGATCTTTTGGGGGATAAACCTATATTTCAAGTTTTGTCAAAATTGGATAAGAATTGTGACCAGATGGACAGGGGCGACGACAATATACGTCCACATGAAACTGTGGGCGTTTAAAAAGACTCTCAGATAAAAACAGTCTCAGGTGAATTAGCTGAAAAAGCAACTATGGAAGGCAATGTGGCGCAGATCAGTTGTGTTGCTTACAGTCCCTCTCCCCCTTCTCTTTAAATACAAAGGTATTTAGCTTACCTGGTATTTGTGTAGTGGATGTAATTTTGTCACGACAAGTAGAATTTCCTACCCATGCGACATATTTACACCTTGTATCTTCAGGTGTTATTTTCGTAATCGTCAGATTCGCTTTCCTGTTCTCAACATTAATGCTTGCTCGGTGTTCATAATGTTGGCCATATTTCGGCTCTCGTCCCTCTTTATATGAGACCACAACAATAGGCTGGAATTAAAATAATATTATAATAAATTTAGTACAAGAATAATGAATAATCAGTGCACATTATTACATCGCCAGTCACGGACTCAACTATAGCTGTCCTGACAAACTGATACCAGCTTCTTTACATGCCATTCAATTGGAATTTCAAAGAATTTTCTACCTTAAAACACAAGTCTTTTATGAGTAAAGACACTGAATAAAATGGATTTATAAATAGAGATAATTCAACAAGTTTATCAATACATTATATCATACATGTCTATACTGCAAGTAGCGTCACTACTATCACTTAATTAGAGTGAGACTTTGAAATGGAGTTTAACGTCCACTTGACACAAACTAGGTCATTTCGGGACTAACACATAGTTTAATTTTATTTCAATAATTCGCTTGCACGTAGGGGTCTTTAGCAGTGGGAGGAAACCGGAGGACCCGGAGAAAACCCATGAGGCTGGACAGACGACTCTACTCCTTGTCACGTACAACCGGGGATTCGAAACCACGCCAGTTGACTCAATGACAGGCTTTATGATACAGCACGCGCACGCTAATCATTCAGCCATCCAACCCCCCCACTTAAACATGCATTATGCAAGAGCAAAATCTGCTTATTACAAGTCTTTCTTTAGGCCTGAAATGTTATCTAAATTATCAATTAGACATTAATTAACTTATCCAGACCATAATAAACTCTCGATGTCAAGGCTAGCCTTTGATGTTGGCTGGATTAAATTCCTATATGCTGCTAACGGCTGTTGATAATTAAATCAAGAAAAGCGCATAATCGAGACTTGCTGTTTATATTAATGATTTTAGTAATGATGACCGAGACTATGCCAAAATTTCACGAGCTTCTATCTCGGCTCATGGTGGATCAATTTGACTGAAATTTTCAGCAAATTACCTTTACACTATCTAGTTTTTAACTATTATAGCGAGAACTGCCATCTCGTTATGTTATCTCCCATAATGTATCTTTAATTAGAACCAAAATTATTGTGTTCCCAAACATCGACACGTCATTGGTTTATCTCTAAATAACCTGAGCAGAAAATCATCATCATTGAACTCAGCAAAGATATTTACACCCAAACCAAATTTAAACATTCTATCCCAATCAAAAGCAGACTAAAAAGTGTGACAAATGAACCGACAAGCCTATTTTAAATAAGCATTATGTAAGATTAGATAAAAGAGCTGACAGTTCTCGTTATAATTGTTAAAAAATAGATACTGAAAAGGTAATATGTTGAAAATGTCAGTCAAATTACTTCACTCTGGGCCATGTTATTGTTGTTAGAAGGTTTCCTCCCACTGCTAAAGACCCCTACGCGCAAGAGAATTATGTAAATAAAATTAAACCATATGTTAGTCCCGAAATGACCTAGTTTGTGTCGAGTGGACGTTAAACCCCATCTCTCTCTCTCTCTGTTGTTAGAAGAACAGTGTTGCCTTGATTGTCATTGTATTTTATGGAAACTGCATCAACCGCAAAACGTGTTTAAATCTATTTGAGATCTAGACTATCCGATGTCATCGAGAGTTGAATATGGTCCTGGGTAAGTTATTTAATGTCTAATTAATAATTTAGATAACATTTAAGGCCTAAAGAAAGACCTGCAATAGGCAGATTTAGCTCTTGCATATTTGCTGTTTAATAGTACTCTGTTTTCTCCAAAAAGGGGATGTAATGAGAGGTGATAGGTGTAATGAGAGATGTAATGAGAGGTGATAGATGTAATGAGAGCGGAGATGTAATGATATGTTAGAGTTGTGATGAGAGGTATGATGTGTAATGTCTAATGAGAGATGTAATGAGAGGTGTAAAGAGAGATGTAATGAGAGGTGTAATGAGAGATATGAGGTGTAATGAGAGATATGAGGTGTAATGAGAGATATGAGATGTAATGAGAGATATGAGGTGTAATGAGAGATGTAATGAGAGGTGTAATTAGAGATATGAGATGTAATGAGAGATGAGAGCTGTGATGTACAATTCTGATGATGCTAATTGGAAATAAAAGAGTTTGTCGTCTTGTGGACATGAAAGATTAGCCTCTGGAGTGTCCACAAGTTTTCAAATTATCAACAGCTATAAATTCCAACATTAACTACCACAAATTGTTGAATATAAATAAGATTTGCTGTTTGTCTCCTGAACATAAAGACTGTTTATATGATCGCTTGACGGACAGGAGAGACCACAATTTGCAACAAGATTTCAATGTAGATGTATATCAAAATTTGTTCCACGGTTTTTAAAGCTAGACAATATTATTTATTTGAAATTTCATATCCATATTCCTAATGGTGTTAACAGAGTCTGAAGAGGGTCAAGAATGTGCTGCACAACAATTAGCAAACATCACAACTATTGTTGATCAAGTATTATAAACACTATGTACTTACAGTTGAGCTATGTCTACATAGAGACACAAACTTCAAATCTTTCCATTCTGACTGACAGCTGATCTCAAATTTAAACCCATTTTTATTTTTTTCATGAGTTACTATGCAATTATAATCTGTAATGAAATGAAATGAAATGGGGTTTCATGAGTTACTATGCAATTATAATCTGTAATGAAATGAAATGAAATGGGGTTTAACGTCCTACTGTTCTGCTCCTATACTGGGCTAATGAAGACGAGCATACGCTGTTACAGTATGCTATGAGGGTAATTTTGCCCGGGCACCGACACTATCGCCTACTCTTATATTGAATTCCAACTGCCAGGGGATCTTTTACGTGCATTCTAATATATACACAGGACCTCGGTTTTCCGTTTCATCCGAAGGACTAGACAGCTGTCCTTGTCAGGCCCTCTGTTCTGCACCACTGAGAAGAGGAAACCACATCGGAAAATCTGGATGAACTTTCTCGGCCAATGCAGGGATCGAACACCCGACTTCCAGGCTAGCGAGCCAGCGTCTTAACCACCTAGCCACCGTGGCTCCCTAAGATCTTCGAAACAGGTTTCTTAGTTTCTATACAACCCAATTATAAATTAATTTCAATATCCAGTAGATTAATGTGTATTTTTGTCCTGGTTTCTTTTCAAGAATCTTAAAGAAAAAAAGAATTATTTAAAGTTGTCAAAAAGTCGCTATGTTATATAGAAAAACATTTCAGATGGTGACAATTTTCTGTTGGTTTTTTTTTTTTAAAAAGTTTCACATAACCTTTGTTTATCATCCGTTTGTGCTAAAACGTTCAGAATAAGCACCAAATGGCTTAGTTAATCGTTTACCATCAAAATTTTACCGGATTTCAAAATTTGATTTTATGACGTCACTTAAAAAAACCACCCAGCTAGGTCAAATATCAAAATTCTTATTCCGCAAATCGATTGCTAATCGAGAATGGTTTCCAAAAATATAAAGATAGTGAAAAACGAATATGAATTGTAGGACCAGATAGATTCTAAAGATTCATTTCCATTGACAAATGGAGGCAATTCCGGTGAATTTTAAATTGTCTAGATTATTCTAAAAAGGTGATAAACGACAGATATTGACAAATATTTTTAAATAAGGAAAAAATAAAGAAAGTGAAAATCTGACGTTTTCATAAGGGATTAATTTGAGGGAAAACTATAATTTACTAAATTAATTTAATTTCATTCTAGAAGCACTAAACCCATATTTTGGTTAACATTTAAAATGGTGTCCCACACTAAAGGTCCTGTGCCATACTCTCAAATTATTCATTTTTTAAAGTTGCACAAAATCTTTGTTTACAAAACTATTTTGATGACTTTTTCAGAATAAGCACCAAATGACATTATTAATTTAGTAGCTTCAACATTTTACCTGATTGTAAATTTTACACTTTTTTCAAAAAAATTAAAACTGTGACGTTAATTTAAAAAATAATCTAAGTCAAAAATAAAAGTTCTAATCTCAGTGATCGATTGCCAATCGTATATGTTTTCCAAAAATATAAAGATATTGAAAATCTGATAAGAATTGTAGGAGATGGATTTTGAAAAATGAAATATGTTTTCAAAATGGATTCTAACTTGATGAGGCAACTCTAAAAAACTAATAGCCGACTCCTATTGGCAAATATTTTTAATTAAGGCAAAATTAAAGTTGATAATCTGACCTCGTTTCAAAAGGCTTAAAGATACATTATTTAAGATTTAGATAAAAAGCTATCCATTCTTGCTATAATAGTTTGAAAATAGATCATGTAAAATGAATAATTTGAAAATTTCATTGAAATTACTCTATTGCAAGCAAAGAAATTAGCCTTTGAAGATTTGACAACACGTGTGCAATAATTTCAACTATCGTACCGGTTGTTCGAGGTTAAGTCTCATTCCTCTATTTTTAGCTTAAATCAGAATAATATGGCTGAACTGTTCTAATCTATTTAATATAGGAGAATCCGATGCCATCGAGAGGTGATTATGGCCTGGATAAGTTAATTAATGTCTAATTAATGATTTAGAAAACATTTCAGGTGGGTCACCCTATTTATAAAACTAGACCTGTGATGCACTTAAATTTATATGCATTATTACTCAAAACATCTTATGGACTTAACATTTCCAGTGCCAAAGGTCTTTTAAAATAATCTCTTTCAAGATAATGCATTATTTAAGATTTAGATAAAAAGCTGACCGTTTTTGCTATCAATACAAAATGAATATATTGAAAATTTCATTCAAATTACTTTATTCTGACTGAAGTTAGCACTGTTTGTGTGAGAGAGAGAGAGAAATTGGGTTTAACGTCCACTGGACACAAACTAGATCATTTCGGGACTAACATAATGGTTTTTAATTTTATTTCAATAATTCGCTTGCGCGTAGGGGGTCTTTAGTAGTGGGAGGAAACCGGAGGACCCGGAGAAAACCCACGAGGTTGGACAGGCGACCCTACTCCTTGTCACGTACTACCGGGGATTCGAAACCACGCCAGTCGACTCAATGACAGACTTTATGATACAGCGCGCGCACGCTAACCATTCAGCCATCCAACCCCCCATCACTGTTTGTAGTTTTGACAAATTGTAGCATAGATTTAAAGCCAAAATAGAGACCTGCAATAGGCAGACTTAGCTCTTGCACAATGTATCCTTAACATATGAATATTAATTTAAAAGCAAATATGCACTAAGAGTTTAACTTTTGAAAATAAATCAATTATGCAGTTTTTGTCATAATAATTTTGTTTCTGTTGTCACCAAAATATTCTTACAGACTGGATAATAAAAATATTCTAACAGGCTGGATAATGGAAATAATAACTTGACCTGTAGGCAAGATCTAGGAATTACCTATAGGCTTGAAAGGCTGAAACCTATACTAGGATCTCATAATAGGCTGAAGTCTAGGGCCTCAAGATCAGGGAATCCTCCTCCCAAGGTGTATAATATATTTAACATGGCCATAATCCTTTCTGTACACATACTCTAGTCTTAAACATGCGTCATCACCCTCGGCTTTACTCAGTCATGTTTAAAACACACTTACACCTTACTCTAGTTGTGATGGTGGGGAATTGGGAAGGGCCTCATACGTGGAATAGCCTAGGGTCTCCTTTCACCTAAGAGCAATTAATGAGTTTGTCATGTATAACAATTATATCGGATAAATATTATGACCTCTATAGGGTCCACAAGATAAAAACGCAATTTTTCGTACAATCAGGGGCTGCCAGGCAGGATACGCCCACAATTTTGAGAGATGGATAGAGAACAAGCTAAAATGAAAGTGATTTTTCCTACAATCAAGGGCCATAATTCAGGAAATTACAATTCGATATGCGTAAATATTGAAAGAAACCGAGATCTTTGGGTTATAATCTTACATTTCAAGTTTCAAGAAAATCGGATAAAAATTGTGACCTCTATAGGGTCCACAACCTTGATATACCATATTTTTACGCTATTTGAGAACGTGTTGCGGCCATTTTGTCTGTCCGTTTTGGGTCGATTTTCATGAAATTCGAACTCAGCCGTCCTTAGGGTGTAACGGTGATATAATAATACGTTTTTTTTAAATCGGATAAAAATTATGACCTCTATAGGGTCCGCAAGCTAAAAACGTTATTTTTCGTACAATCAGGGGCCATAATCCATTAAGTTACAACCGATATGCGCGAATATTGAAAGGGACCAAGATCTTTGGGTGATAAACTTACATTTCAAGTTTCAACAAAATCGGATAAAAATTGTGACCTCTATAGGGTTCACAAGCTAAAAAAGGGATTTTTCGTACAATCAGGGGCCATAATCCCTGAAGTTACAGTCCGATACATGCTAATGTCGACAGGAACCGAGACCTTAGGGTGATAGACCTATATTTCAAGTTTCATTGAAATTGGATAAAAATTGTGACCTGTAGACTGTTCGCAAACAATTGTGGACTTCCGGACGGACTGACGGACAGGGGCGACAACAATATACTTCCACATGAAAATGTGGGCATACAAAAATACTTATACGGCGGATCTACTACTTCTGAATTTATTAACATGCTACGTTTAGATACACATATCGTTATCAAGCAAATAATGATATTTAAAATTTGTGTGAAATAACTTTATTTAACGTCCGCTTCCACCAAGGTGATATCACAGACAATGATATTTAAAAAAATGTGGTGCAATATATAGATGACAATTGGAAACCATATAACAGATTAATCATTAATTAAGAATTAACAAGATGAGAGAAGTAATAATTTGGATAAACAATTACAAAGGATTAACAAGATGAAAGACTGTAATGTATTCATAACAATTAGAAACGAGATGAATTTAGCAGATAAAACTAATAATTATAAGAGATTAACAATTAAACTCTAATTAGCAGGTGAAACCATAACTACAAGATGAAAAGGGTTAACCGCACAGGCAAGAAATTGAAAGGAAGAGGAAGGAAACCATACACTAATGAAAAAAAAACACACACTAATTAGGGCTTAAATAAATTGTTACAGATAATAAAACTACATAAGAGGAAACTTCAGTAAAATTGCAATAAGATATGCGTTTTACAAAATATAAAGATAGGTTGCCAGGCAACGAAACATACGCCCACAGCAACTAAATCGTCCGAGCAGTCAACAAGGGTTGTCGCATATTTTTACTTTTTTGGTAATGAAACATTTATAATACACTAAAATCTGATTAAGACCAACAACTCACAAAGTAATTATCAGAAAACTATTAGAATTTGTTTGGTTTTTATAAAGTTCTGCCCCATGTTAACGTTTTGTATGCAAAGCTTTTAATATCATGGATTTAACTGTTCAAGTCATAAAAATTCATTGAAAATCAATACACTTGTTCGTCTCAAGATCTTAAACTCTGTGTATCAATCTGAAGTCAATCGGAATATAACTTTAGCCTTTAGAGCATCACAAGATTTTGCAAAGTGATCAAGGGCCATAACTTTGGCAGTAATTATCGGAAATCGTTGAAAATCAATAGGAATCTTCGTCTCATGACCTCAAACACTGTGTATAAATTTAAACTCAATCGAATATTAACTTTAGCCTCTAGAGCATTCACAAGATTTTTTGAAGTGATCAAGGGCCATAACTCTGGCAGTAATTATCGGAAATCGCTGAAAATCAATATGCTTCTTCGTCTCATGACCTTAAACACTGTGTATAAATTGAAAGTCAATCGGATATTAACTTTGGCCACTAGAGCGTCCACAAGATTTTTTCAAAGTGATCAAGGGCCATAACTCTGGCAGTAATTATCGGAAATCGCTGAAAATCAATAGGCTTCTTCGTCTCAAGACCTTAAACACTGTGTATAAATTTAAAATGAAATAAAATGAAATGGAGTTTAACGTCCTACTGTTCTGCTCCTAACCTGGGCTAATGAAGACGGGCATATGCCATACAGTGTGCTATGAGGGAAATTTTGCCCGGACAGCAGCACTACGGCCTACTCTTATATCGAATTCCAACTGCCAATGTGTACACGGGACCTCGGTTTTCCGTCCCATCCGAACGACTAGACAGCTTTCCTTGTCAGCCCCTCCGTCCTGCATCACTGACAAGGGAGAACCACGCCGGAAAAACTGGGTTAACTTTCTTGGCCAATGCAGGGATCGAACACCCGACCTCCAGGCTAGCGAGCAAGCGTCTTACCCACTTAGCCACGTGATCCCCGTATAAATTTAAAGTCAATCAGATATTAACTTTAGCCTCTAGAGCGTCCACAAGCAATTGTGGACGCCGGACGCACGGGGGCGACGACAATATACGACCACAGCCAATGCGAAGAAATATGGATTTCAGGTAAATTTCAGAATAAAACCCCAAAAATATGTTACTAAAGGAATATGTTGATGAAACTTTGTACATTTTGATGTAGGCAATAGTTATATATATTGCTATGGGTTTTATTTTGGCTGTTTTAAGAGGCAAATTTCTCATTATTTTAATTTGGCAGACCGCAGATGGTGATAACTCAGTCATCAAGCAGTTTCAGTCACCTTTAAGATAAGCATTAAATCACAATGTTTAAAAATTGGGACATGTGCCTGGTTTTGTAGTGGAGCAGGGATAGAACTTTATTTGAAAACACACAAGCAAAATTTCGCTTGTTGATTTCAAATGTACAAGCAAAAATAGGATTTTGAAGAAATTCAAGGGGCAATTTTTTTCTTTAATGAAAAAACATAAAAAAAAGTTTGTGTTTATTCGGCCGTACATATTTTTATAGCTACCCTTGAAAACTCGTTTTTTTCTCATTGAAGCGTATACCTTCTTGAGGATGCATTATTTAATACAAGGATAGTAAATTAAACTATAAAACATAAGTACTATGTCAAAAAGTGTCCATTGATTTAGCAATTTTTCGGATCACGGACAGCTATGCATGACACGTACGTCCGACGCTGAAGTGAATGATAATTAAATCAGTCTACCGGAACTCTCGGAATTATTTATATTTCTGCTTTATTAAAATTTATTTCAATCTGAAAATCAATGATTCCTTTAGAAAATCAAAGTATCAGTATAAACAATTTGTCAAGATTTATAGAAATTGAAAAGAAACGGATAATGCTAACGGGTGGAAAAGTGAGCGATAAGTCACGTGACGTAAACAAAGCTCCTTAAATTATAGTATTTATTCATCATTAAGCAATAAAATGTCGTAAATAACATCAAAAGGTAAACATTTTTTCAATATTTGTGTTAAATATCATCCAGAAAAATCAAAACCGCCATATATCCCCATGGCGGTACGTGTTTTTTTACTATTAATAAACTGTTTGTCAATTTCAAGAATTTGTGTCCGTGAAAGCAACGTATATTTTTGACCGATGTCGGAGTTTGCTTGATGGAATATAACGACAATAATGAAAGGACAGATAGTCGAACACTAAAAGAGGTCATTTATGATATGTGTGTATTGTTTTTATTGAATAGGGAAAACTCCAAGCCGATAAAATAAAAGATTTTTACCCCGATCAGTTCGGGGGAAAAACGCATGCGCAGATGTCACAAAACGCCGGATATAGACATCGCTTTACATTTTGCAAGGAACTTAGGGCACAATACTGGATCTTCAATGAGTTACATTCTATTTTTCACGAACTTAGGACGGAAAATAATCTATAGAATTTCCGTTTTTTGTCATAATTATCGTCTTGATTTTGCGTAAAAGAAGAAATCATGTTATTCAGTAACAATAAGCGAAAGAATGTTACACGCATTTTTTTTCGTGTGACATATTTTGTGACACGCAGTCTACAAAATCAACACGCATTTTGTGTGTTTGCGTCCGTCAAATTCGATCCCTGTAGTGGAGGGTCACATATATAAATACAAACTGATCAGAAATTGTTGAAATTTGACAGGCTTTTTCGTTTTACTAACTTAAATAATGCATATAAATTTCATACAGATCAGATGATCACTTTTGTCATTCAAACGTTCAAAAGGTTCACAACCACCATAACTCTAGAAATCATTGACGGAAATTGCTAAAATTCAATAGACCTCTGTTTCACAAATTTAAATGATGCATATAAATTCCATACATATTGGATGATAACTTTCATCAATCGAGCATTAACAAGGTTGAACAAAGTGAAACAAGGGCCATACCTCTAGACGTAACAAACAGAAATTGCTGAAATTCAATAGGATTCTTCGTTTCACTAATTTAAATAATGCATATAAATTTCAGAAAGATCGGATGATAACTTTTGGTGTTAGAGCGTTCACAAGGTTCAATAAAGTGGGCGTATAAAAATAACCTAGTTTTGAGATCCTCATTTTCTGCACCGACCGGGCTAACAAAGATCACCATACGCCCCATGTTGGACAGGCGACCCTAGCTTGTCACGTACAACCAGGGAATTGAAACCATGCCAGTTGACTGAATGACAGACCTTATGATACGCACGTGCTAACCATTCGGCCATCCAACCCCCTCCACCTCTCTATAAATACACAGATGATGATAAGCTTACCTATTAACAGTGAAATAGTTGAACTACAAATAGGTTTAGGGCAATCAGAATATCCAAACCGAAAGGTATAGATACGCTCTGTATCATCCATTGTTATGTTTCTCACTGTCACATGCAATTCATCGGTCTCAGGATAAAATTTAAGGCTCATTCTTTCTCTATAATAATCACCATATGATAGGTTCTGATAGGCATGAATATCAAAAGGAACCAAGATTTTTTGGTTATAAATATACTTTTCCAAGTTTCATCAAAATCGGATAAAAATTGTGACCTTTAGAGGGACAAGGTATAATCGCCCAAATATCGAAAGGAATCGAGATCTTTGGGATATAAACATATATTTTAAGTCTCATTAATATCAGATATAAATTGTGACCTGCAGAGTGTCCACAAACAAATAGTGGAGAGACGGATGTCCAGACGTATAGGAGCGACAACAATACATCCACATGAAAATGTGGGAGCATAAAAATAGATAATGCAAAATAAATGTATTGAAAACTTCATTCAAATGACTTAATTATAAGCGAAGTTATCACTGTTTGAGGTTTGGAAAGGTGTGGCATAGATTGTTTATTATCGTGGCAATGGTACTTGCTAATCGAGACTAAGCCTTGATTCACCATTCTTAAATAAAATCATTAAATAGCAATCTTGTTTAAATCTCCGCTGATCTCGATAGTTGATTATAAACTCGGAATGTGAGTATTTAGAACATTTGAAGTCAAAATAGGCAGATTTAGTTTTTACATAATGCATCTTTATTATATGATATAATATTAATTTACAAGTAAATATACCCTAGGAGTTAACCTTTGAAAATTAATCAAATACGCAGTTTTTGTAAAAATATCTTTGTTTCTGTTGTCAACAAAATATTCTTACAGGCTTGATAATAGAAATAATCGAACAGGCTGGATAATAGAAATAATCAAACAGGCTGGATAATGGAAAAAACAATATTGACAGTGGTAGGATTTACCTATATAGGTTTGGCAGGCTTAAGTCTAGGCCTCAAGATCTAGAATTTACCTATAGGCTTGGAAGGCTGAAGTCTAGGGCCTCAAGACCGGGTGATCCTCCTGCCAAGGTAATAATATTTTTGACAAGGCCATAATCCTTTTTTCTGCACAAAATCGAGTCTTAAACATGTATCCATGCTCGACTCGATCAATTTAAACACTTTCATCTTTTTCTAGAGGGTGGGGGATTGGGAAGGGCCTCATAAGTGAAATAGCCCAGGGTCTTCCTTCACCTAAGAGCAATTAGTATGTTTGATTCTGGACCTGGGCATCTTGTCATATAATCAAGTTAACTTACCGCATCCATCTGACCCAAGGACAGGAGGCCCATCTGAGGCACGGACAAGAGGCATACATAAGATGAAGAGTACCAGAAGTTCCTTCCAACGGCTAAATATCCTTATACAAATGACTGAAATAAAATTTAACCATATGTTAGTCCCAAAATGGGGATTAAACTCCATTTGTCTCTCTATATATATGCTTTACACTATTTGCTTTGAGGGGAGTAGCTTGACAGGATGTTTTAGTCTGATTTTCACGAAATTTGACAGAAAAAGAAATGAAATAAAATGGGGTTTAACATCCTACTGTTCTGTTCCGAACTGGACTAATGAAGACGGGCATACGCCATACAGTGTGCTATGAGGGAAATTTTGCCCGGACAGCGGCACTACGGCCTACTCATATACTATTCAAAAAAAGTAGGGGATATTTGATTTTGGGGGCATAATACTAAAATATGCAAATGACTACGAAAAAAGTCACTATAGAACCTAACAGAAGAAACATTTCCAGTTACATGTGACGCCCAAACGCACCAATAGCTACCGCATGGAATGCAGGTGATGCTTGGGATCATCATGGGGGTCCAACCCAAGATTTGCACGACTCTGACTTTGAATGTTACAGTCATTGTGGCATTGAATTCCAGGGTGGAAACATCAGTTTTATTGGTTTAGTGACCAGAAAACAAATTTTGATATGCGTCGGCTTACCCAAAATGAAAGGTTACGTGCCCTTGGCATGCTACAGATCGGCACAACACAGGCGGTTGTGGCGCGGACGATGAATGTTTCTCAGTCTGTCATAAGCAGGCTATGGTCCAGATACCGTGATACACAATCTGTACAGGACAGACCACGCTCAAGTCGACCAAGGGCGACAACTCAAGCCCAGGATCGATTAATCCGTACCTTGGCCTTGAGAAATCGTGTCATCACAGCAAATCAGATCAGCGCTCGTCTTCAAACAGACACTGGTGTGAGAGTGAGTGGCCAGACGATTCGGAATCGACTGCATAGGGGTCACCTTCGCGCTCGACGTCCTCGCGTGATCCCTTGTTTGAGAGATCATCACATTCAGGCAAGACGTCGTTGGTGTAGGGATCGTCAACACTGGGATAATCGACGCTGGAGCAATGTGATGTTTTCAGATGAGTCAAGGTTCACTGTTGATTTTTTGGACAGACGTAGGAGGGTGTGGCGTCGTCGAAACGAGCGCTTCCAAGACGTTAACGTCATCAGACATGATCGATTTGGGGGTGGTTCTGTTATGGTGTGGGGAGGCATCACTGTTGCTGGAAGAACGGCTTTACATGTTGTTGCAGGGCGTGTTACAGGCCAGTACTACCGGGACAACATCTTGGCAGTCCATGTTGTGCCGTTCGCACGACGTCATGGCCGCCGTTTCATCTTCCAGGATGACAACGCAAGATGTCACAGGGCCAGGATCGTTACAGGTTACCTCCAACAACAGACCATCACCACATTACCTTGGCCAGCACTGAGTCCCGACCTCTCCCCCATCGAGCATGTCTGGGACATGCTTGGACAGAGGTTACGTCAACGTCAACAACGTCCTGCCAATGTCCAAGAACTTGCTGCTGCGTTGCAACAGGAATGGGACAATCTGGACCAAAATGACCTTAGACGTCTCATTAGGAGTATGCCACGTCGGATCAATGCTTGTTTGGCAAACAGAGGAGGATTTACCCGTTACTGACTTGGTTGTGATGCTGTGGTAACTTTGCTGTTTGACCCTGGGTATCATTTTACCCTTATAATGGTCAGTCTGTGCCTTACTTAGTCTAACGATCATTTGGAATAAATCGATGAATGTGAACTTCATTTCATTTTGTCATTTGTTTCTTCGTCAGTTTCATAAGGTGACTTTAATAACACTTAAAAATCAAATATCCCCTACTTTTTTTGAATAGTATATATCGAATTCCAACTGTCAAGGGATCTTTTACGTGCATGCCAATGTGTACACGGGCCCTCGGTTTTTAGTCCTATCCGACGACTAGACAGCTGTCCTTGTCAGGCCTTCAGTCCTGCATCACTGATAAGGGGGAAGCAGGCCGGAAAATCTGGATGAACTTTCTTGGCCAATGCAGGGATCGAACACCCAACCTCCAGGATAGCGAGCCAGCGTCTTACCCACTTAGCCATCGTGACCCCCCTAAAAGAAACAGTAATTTTCGTACAATAACATAAGGTGCCATAATCCAGGATGTTACGGTCAGAACATGCATCAATATCAAAAAGGATCTTTTAAGTTCAATCAAAATCAGATAAAAATTGTGACCTCTGCTAGAGGATCCACAAGCTAAAAATTTGATTTTTCGTACAGTAAGGGGCCAGATCTATGGGTTATAAACATACATGTCAAGTTTCATCAAAATCAGATAAAAATTGTGACCTCTAGAGTGCCCACAAGCTAAAGAGGCCATTTTTTGTACAATCTGGGGCCATAATCCATGAAGTTAGGATCCGATGTATGCCACTAATGAAAGGAACAAAGATCTTGGGATATAAACCTATATTTCAAGTTTTGTCCAAATTGAATAAACAACCTTGGCATTACATGCTTTTACACTATTTGCGGAAAGGGCAGAAGCCATTTTGACAGAAAGTTTCATCAAAATCTGATAAAACCTCTGACCTGTAGCGTGTCCTCAAACAAATGTGAACGGACACGCAGCCCCACAGACCAGGGTGACAACATAATATGTCCAAATGAAAATGAGGGCATATATATATAAAAACTACAACCTCTATTGCATTCACAAAATCAATAGGGCTTATCCAAGCATGACCACAATGCTTCATACCAAATTTGTAAAACATCTGTTAAACACTACGTACAGTCCCTTTTGTTTTCAAAAGGTCAGTAAAGGGGGATAACTACGGCACAGAAAATTGCAGAATGCTGAAAATCAATATGGTTCATCCTCTCATGATGGTTCGAACTAAATCTAAAAAACATCTGTTGAAATCTTCAGTCTCTATCGTGTTTACAAGGTTTTATGAAAAGTGGGCACAACTCTGATATGAAATTAAAACTAGGAATCTATAGATGGTGGGTAGCCGTCCCAGATTTTCTCATAAAGCGACTAGTTTGGTTCAGTTCAAACTCATCAGGCTTAAGTCATATTGTGCGGCTGTTCCCTTTATAAATTGAACAGCAAATTAATATCAGAGTCAAAATACTTGGTAATTTGAACAGCAAATTTAGCCGATTGGATCATTCCTATGCATCGTAGATGCCACAATGTCTGAAATAATATCGATTACCATCATCATTTAGCCGGCAAAATTTTCTGGCTCAACGCCTTATAAAAATATGTATGCTCAAATTCTGAGTCAAAACTATTTTTACCTCACCAAAACGAAAGTCGATCGTTTATATAACGGATTATAATCGAACTATTGTTCAATTTAGTACGCTCATTCAAGAGGAACGGCATATATCCGAATCTTCCAAAAAAACAGAAAAGCCAATCAAATCATTTAGAAGTCTGATATGTCTGCAGCAAATTAGACAAATATTAGTACTCTATTATCATTATTAGCCTACTGTACAAGAAATCTTCCTGTCAATTTTACGTTAGGCTAGAAATATAGTTTACCTATTGCTCACCGTGTTATAATCAATATGTGGGAAAGAGAAAACACATACTTTTTTTTTCAAAGCGAATCAAAGAACAATTTGCAGATAAAGGACAGAAAAATGTTCAAATACCTTTTCTTCTCACAGAACACGAGAGTAAAAATGTTACGATACAAATAATTGGGCTTTTCAGAACTGATCCCGACTGAGACATAAATGATATGTAACCAAGGCCAGTTGGATAACATTTGAATCAATTTAAATCAAAATGGATTCACACTTAAGAACTTTCGCAACGGATGTCTATATTCTTAATTTATATTTGTCTAATATGAAATGTCGCAGATATCAAGAGGGTTTGTTATCTCATGACCACAATGCATCACACCAGATTTGAAAGCATCCGTCATAAACTGTAGCCTCTATCACGTTCACAGTGAAATAATACATAAATCACTTTTTGACATTTAATGTCTACTCACCATGTCGTTGCTTATATTTATGGTATGTTTCTGAAGACTTCTTGGCTGCAGAAAATTTATCTTTTTCATAAGGAACTTTATCTTTTTCATAAGGAACTTTATCTTTTTCCGGCTTCTCAAATGTTACATTTTTTTCAGAAACTGAATCCAATTTACCTTCATTTGGAGATTCATTCTGAAATTTGTGAAAAAAAATAATATGGGTGGAAAAAGAGAATCAATCAATTTTTTCAATGAGGGGGGTCCAATGAGTTTTTGCAATGAGAGGGGTGGGGTGGTCCAATGAGTTTTTGCAATGAGGGGGGTGGGGCGGTCCAATGAGTTTTTGCAATAAGGGGGTGGGGTGGTCCAATGAGTTTTTGAAATGAGGGGGGTGGGGCGGTCCAATGAGTTTTTGAAGTGACCCTTTTGAAATAAAAACCCATCAGCACTTTTATTGTACTTCCTATATATACGTGTGTATATATAATAAACCAGCGGCTGCCAGGCAGGATACGCCCCCTTTCTCGAGAGATGGATAGAGAACAAGCTAAAACGAAAGTGATTTTCCCTACAATCAAGGGCCATAATTCAGGAAATTACAATTTGATATGCGCAAATATCAAAAGGAACCAAGATCTTTGGGTTATAAACTTACATTTCAAGTTTCAACAAAATCGGATAAAAATTGTGACCTCTATAGGGTCCACAACCTTGATATACATGTACCATATTTTTACGCTATTTGAGAACGAAGGGTGGCCATTTTATCTGTCAGTTGGCCATCCTTAGGGTGTAACGGTGAAATAATAATACGATTTTTTAAATCAGATAAAAATTATGACCTCTATAGGGTCCACAAGCTAAAAACATGATTTTTCGTACAATCAGGGGCCATAATTCAGGAAGTTATGGTTCGATATGCGTGAATATCGAAAGGAACCGAGATCTTTGGGTTATAAAGTTACATTTGAAGTTTCAACAAAATCAGATAAACATTGTGACCTCTATAGGGTCCACAACCTTTATATAGCATATTTTTATGAGAATTTGAGAACAAACGGCGGCCATTTTGGCCGTCAGTTTTCGGACGATTTTCATGAAATTCGAACTCAGCCGTCCTTAGGGTGTAACGGTGATATAATAATACGTTTTTTTAAATCGGATAAAAAATATGACCTCTATAGGGTCCACAAGCTAAAAACATGATTTTTCGTACAATCAGGGGCCATAATTCAGTAAGTTACGTTCCGATATGCACGAATATCGAAATGAACCGAGATCTTTGGGTGATAAGCATACATTTCAAGTTTAAACCAAATCGGATAAAAATTGTGACCTCTACAGTGTTCAAAAGCTAAAAACGTGATTTTTCGTACAATCAGGGGCCATAATCCATGAAGTTACAGTCCGACACATGCCAATATCGAAAGGAACAGAGATCTTAGGGTGATAAACCGATATTTCAAGTTTCAATGAAATCAGATAAAGAATCTGCAATGACCAGAGTTCTCCTTCACTGTCAGTGAATAAAAATAAAACAAACCATGTCTTTAACTGCCAGAACTTCATCTGGGCCGCTAGATGTCTTAAATTTCCATTCCAATGTTGCATCTCCACAAACATAATCCACAATATCTTTCTTCTCATTGATCCAACTGAATTCTTAATTGAAACAATACAAATACATATACTTGACCTGTCTCAGTCATCTACTTTATAAATCAGACATTAAATTGCAGGGACTCAATTAACTACTAGACCTGTAATGCTGTTACTTTATTAATCAGATTCTGAGCCTAAGTGGCTCAGTGATTAAGGAGCTTTCTCAGTAGCCGAGTTGTCCAGGGTTCCATACAGTTCCCTGGGATATTCTAGTGTGCCTTCTTCATGTCAGGGGGACCTGACAAGGAACAGTGACTAGTCTTTCAGATGGGAAACCAGCGGCTGCCAGGCAGGATACGCCCACATTTTCGAGAGATGGATAGAGAACAAGCTAAAAAGAATGTGGTTTTTCCTACAAACAAGGGCCATAATTCATGAAGTCACAATTCGATATGCGCAAATATCGAAAGGAACCAAGATCTTTGGGTTATAAACATGCATTTCAAGTTTCATCAAAATCGGTTCAAATTGTGACCTCTATAGAGTCCACAAGCTAAAAACGCGATTTTTCGTACAATCAGGAGCCATAATCCATGAAGTTATGGTCCGATACATGCCAATATCGAAAGAAACCAAGATCTTAGGGAGATAAAGCTATATTTCAAGTTTCGTTGAAATCGGATAAAAATTGTGACCTGTAGCGTGTCCACAAACAAATTGTGGACGGACAGACGGATAAACAGGGGCGACGACAATATACGTCCACATGAAAATGTGGGCGTATAAAAAAAAAAATCTGTTAAAACTAGTTTCTATTGCGCGCACAGTTTTTGAAAAGGGGAATAACTCTTTAATGAAAGGTTGGATAAATTAATAGGGTTTGTCTTTTTATGACCTCAATACATCACACCAAATCTGAAAAGCATCGTCATAAACTGTAGTCTCACAATGACATAGTAAAATGTAGGCATATCATGAAATAATACAGAATTACTTTTAAACATTTAATGTCTACTCACCCAGTAGATTGAACTGTTTATATTTATGGCACGTTTTTTTAGACTTCTTGGCTGCAGATAATTTATCTTTTTCAGTCTTCAATGTTGCAGATAATTTATCTTTTGAAGACGACGGAACAGATCCATTATTTTCAGCAACATTGATTTCTAATTTTTCATTTGGTTCTCGATCAGGTGGACATTTTTCTGATTGGGAGATAGAGCAAGAGAAATCTCCTCCTTCTGATGGGCAATCTACAACTTTATTCTTTTGATTTATATTGGATAGTGGATTAGCTACTAATTCATTTGATTTTTCAGACACTTTCTTCAGAGATACATTCTGAAAATTGTGAAAAAAGTAAAATGTGTGGAAAAAGAGAATCAATCAATTTTTGCAATGAAGGGGGCGGGCGACCCATTGGAAAAAAACCCCCAACAAAACATCAGCAGTTTTATTGTACATTCTATTAGTAAGTGCAGGGGGACTGCACAACACATAATTTACATAAAACAAATACATGGACAAGACATCATACTCAGAAACCACAAATGAACAAACAATTCAAAAAGAGTGAATGGATCCGGGGGCTAGCTAGCCGTAAGCGTCCACTGCGCTGTACAGTCCCGGGTCTGTAGTGACACAGACTTCACTCAAATTTGAAAAACAATCAGGAAATACAACCCAAAGATACATATACAATAAAAGACTTGTCAATCTGAGGGAGTCACAGTGGCTCAGTGAGTATGGTGATTGGCCTGCTGGCTCAATAAACAGGTGGTCCTGGGTTTAATCTCGGTGTTGGTTGAGAAGTTCCTTGCGATTTTCCGGTGTGGTTTCCCCTTAATGTGGTGCAGGATGATGGGCCTGGCAAGGAACAATGCCGCCTAGTCATTCATATGGGACAAAAAACAAGCTCCTATCTAGAAAAAAGTGCCCCCATAATACACTGCATGGTGTAGGCCCATCTTCATCAGCCCAGTAAGAGCAAAACAGTTGGATGTTAACCCTCCCATTTCATTTCACAAGTCAGATATCTAAGATAGCAAACAAGGTCCAGTGTGATAAGAATGTTACAAGTCAAATTTCCTACCATGAAATGACAGCGCCATGGAAATCCCAGGTTAGGGACAAAATTAAAAGATAAGATTGTCATCTTGTCTACTGCAAATTCACGAAATACTGATACACTGCTGCTGAAAAATATTTAAATATCAACATTATTAAAGCGCAGTCCTATTTACATAACTTATGCCTATGTACCCCATCATAGACCTATTTATTCAACCAAAGACATTTTTACTTAATTGTAAGCCCATATACCTTAATATAGAGCTATTTACTCCATTGTAGGCCTATTTACTCCTTTGTAAGCATGCTTACTCCATTGTAGAACAAGTTATCCATTGTAGGACAAGTTAATTCACACTCAGCAAACCTCAGCAGATTCCAGTACCCACATCTAGTCTCAGCTGTATGACGAAGTCCGCCATTGGAACTACTTTCAAGTTCCCAACATTACCAATGGCGTTGCGTTGGAGAATGTTTTATCATACAAATATTTATGAAGCTGTTTTTCTTTCAAGTTTATCAGATTTTCTTCAAACAAGGACAATTTTGCACTGAAAATTCTACACACCCTTCGAACAACGCAATTTTGATAACTTCTTTTCAAAATATCGATAGGGTTTGTATTCTCAATACCCAGTGGTTCCAATTTGAAGTAAGTCTGTCGTAAACTGTAGCCTTTATCGTGTTCAGAATGTTTTGGGAGGGGTAACTCAAAAACGGAAAGTTGCGGAATGTTGAAACATTGGCATTAATAGGGTTTGTATTCTCAAGACCCCAGTGGTTCCAAATTGAAACAATTCTATTATAAACTGTAGCCTCTATCGTGTTCAGAATGTTTTTGGGAGGAATAACTCCAAAACAGAAAGTTGCGGAATGTCCTTTCTTTAAATGACATCTAGAAATATTCATACAAAACACAACACACATTCTTTATCTCGACATTTTAGCAGAAATATTAAATTAAAGCTAGCTTTGGGTTATATACATATATTTCAAGTTTCATCAAAATCAGATAAAAATTGTGACCTCAAGAGGGTCCACAACTTTGATATTCCATATTTTTAGGCTATTTGAGAATGAGGGGCTGTCATTTCGTCTGAACGTTTTAGTCTGATTATCACAAAATTCGAACTCAACCATCATTATAACAGTGATATATTCAAACGTTTTTTTAAATCGGACCACAAACTATAAACAAGATTTTTTGTACAATCAGGGGACATAATTCAGGAAGTTACGATCAGATATGCATGAATATCGAAAGAAACCAAGACCTTTAGTTTATAAACATGCATTTCAAGCTTCATCAAAATCAGATGAAAATTGTGACCTCTAGAGTGTCCACAAGCTAAAAACGTGATACTTCATAAATCATGGGCCATAATCCATAAAATTATGGGGGGGGGGGGGTGGATGGCTGAATGGTTAGCGTGCGCGCTGTATCATAAAGTCTGTCATTGAGTCGACTGGCGTGGTTTCGAATCCCCGGTTGTACGTGACAAGGAGTAGGGTCGCCTGTCCAACCTCGTGGGTTTTCTCCAGGTCCTCCGGTTTCCTCCCACTGCTAAAGACCCCTATGCGCAAGCAAATTATTGAAATAAAATCAAACCATATGTTAGTCCCGAAATGACCTAGTTGTGTCGAGTGGACGTTAAACCCCATTTCTCTCTCTCTCTCTCTATAAAATTATGGTCCAATACATGCCAATATCGAAAGCAACCTATATTTCAAGTTTCGTCAAAATCGAATAAAAATTGTGACCTGTATAGTGTTCACAAACAAATTTTGGACGGAGGGACGGACAGGGGCGATGACAATATATGTCCACATGAAAATGTGGGCATATCAAAATTGTGGCCTCTGGAGGATCAATTCGCTTAGTAAAAATTTCATAGTTTGCCTTAAATGTTGTGGTCTGATGTGCACTAACCTCACAACTCATCTTGTAAAACTATTGTAGATTTTTGCTCTTTAAATTAGTAGCACTGTATTAATAATATATCTTTGACTAATTGTTGGGCTCACATACATATGTTGTATAGAAGTCAATCTCATATGTACTTAAATCAAAATGAGTGAATGACATAAATAGAATTATGAAATCAAAATATAGCTTTATTCCGTGGGAAGCAGAATATCATGTTTAACACCTGATTGGAAATATTCTAATTGCATCATACACTGTAACCATCCAATCAAATTCACTATTTGCAGAAACTTAAGTAAGCAAATCTGTTTAAAAGCCCCAACCAGCCATTTAAGATCAGATATCATTGGGTTACGGAGAGATTATCATCTGAGTTCCTAGACTATATAAACTAGCCAGGCTGGTTAGACTTTTACTGGACTTGAGGTTCAGAGAAAGACGTTAATTTTAAGAATGCTAATGTAATCTATTATGCATTGTAACCATATGTATCCAGCTTGACATCAAACTATAGAGCTGAACTGTTGCATGGTTATACCTGGTAAGACAAACGTCTAACTACTGAGATAGTAGTAAGAAGAATATACACAATGTGAAAAGAAGAGAATTACAAATACTAGACGATCACAAGGCTATTAAGATATATAGTAAGAAGAGAGAACATGGGTCATAGTAAGATATATAGTAAGAAGAGAGTACATGGGTCATACGTAGGATGTAGGATGTGGCGACCGGATTTGACGGCCCGCTTTCCACGTCTGACAAAAGACCAATGGTGCTACAATCCGAGTTTTTTAGTTCTTAATACATTTCTAAAATTACATCTAAATCAAACAGGCATTGTGACCTCTTGGGGATCCACAACCGTGATCTGATTAGCCTGCTCGTCCGTGAACATATATTTTAACTGTAATTAAAATCAAATAAAATTTTGACATCTAGAGGCTTCACAAGCTATGTAAATCATGTTAGGGTGGTCCATGGCCAGAAAAAATACAACAGACAGACAATATTTGGGCCCTTTTTTTAAACATATATAAGACTAACCAAAAAAAACTTCTTTCATCAACAAACAAAGTCTGACCATGTTTGCATTTGATTTTTTAGAATATATGTAACCATATGGACTTTTGTTTTAAATCCTTCAAAAAATAACTGGCCTCCCGCCATGGATGTGACTGAGGAAGTTAACTCTTAATGACAAAACAAGTTAAGGTCCTTGGTCACATTAAAATTTGAACCTACATCCTGTAATGAATACTTCATCTCAGTCGTGGAAACGCTACGAGACGACTGAATTTAACATCTGCGTGCATGCGCAATCGCTTATGAAAATATGGGCATATAAAAATGAATTCTTTATACCCACCGACATTGGTCTGTTTATAATACAGAGAGGGTGGTAAGGACGATACCTCTATAAATGCTTTATTCCTAGTCAAACAAATATATTGTGCAGAACGATCAAGCTTCAGAGAGATTTGATGGTGATTTCAATTCGCAACATTTACTCTCCCAATCACGAAAGATACCATATAGAATCAAACAGGTCCAGAGTTGATCTTGTTGAAAAGAGCAACTGACTCAAAAAAGACACATAACCGAAGGATGACAGGCCAAATCGTCCAGTTAATTTAACAGAAAATTATCTCCACAAAATAGAGACATATACCAGTTGCCTCCCACTTCCGATTTCCAAGGCATTTTAGTCCAAATCTCAGACACCATGTAGAATTACACTGTATTAAACATTAATAAACCTAATTACATCATGGAATCAAAGAGAAATCTAAACTTTGGTCAGGAGACTTTCTAAGGGTTTGTTTTAATTTTCATTAACCCGATTGATGGTTTGACTTTCCCAATTAGGGCGTACCCAAAAACTTTTCCGAAGCATCTAAAATGGAATAAGACTAAAACTTTCTGATTTGGAATTGAGTAAAATAGCTCAGTTTACAGTAGATTATATTTTAAAACTTGTATAACTTACAACTAGATTCCAACTCCTTCTGCTTTCTATCAACGAATCTCAATTAAAGTCAACTTTCTTACCAGCCCGTGTTAAATCTATGACAATGTGAAAAATGTGTCGGACGAGTTCATTTCAACCAATCAGATGAGTACTTTCTACTATATACACAGTAACCTGTTATACCAGTTTTCACCCAAGCAAATCCTACAAAAACGACAAAAAATCTATAATTCAATTGAGTGCACACGTTCATATAAACTGACAAGACGAGATGTGTTTTTAATTGTAAAGTTTTGACTACATTATTACCATAATAAAAAGCAAAACTATTACATGAATAAAGAACAACTATGTTATAATCTCACTCATCTGACTTAACAATGCAGCCGCATAAATATAGGCTATATAAAGGGCCATTTTTTGAGGTCAGACAAGAAATGTTATTAATGTTGAGGTAACATTTAATCAAAGGAGGGGTTGGTGGGTCGAGTGTGTGTTAGATCGATAAGGTCTGTCATTGACTCCAGTGGCATAATTTTGATTTCCCCGCTTGTACATGACAAGGAGTAGGGTCATAAATTATTAAAACAAGCCAACAGTGAGGCTGATGTCCCCCGCCGAAATCCAAAAATAAATAGATGACACATATTTATTAATCGCACATTTATGTAATGTAAATCATTGAACTCAGCCATGACATGACAGCAGAGAATATTCATTATCGAACTAAGTCAAGGTATTGATGTAATAAAGCTATACACCAAGTGTCCTCACTCTCACTTAATTCGAACTAAAGTTATCGTGTCCCAAAGCATCAACCAATCAAATTGCTTATCCCTGCTTACCCTAAGCAGAAAATTCTCATCTTCAATCTCCATCAAGGCATTCACCTATCAGACACCTACGCCAAGTGTGAACATTCTAACTCAACTAGAATGAGAGTTATTGTGTTCCAAAATCTTGACCAATCAAATTGCTTATCTCTGCTTAACCTAAGCATTTATAAGCACAAAATGCTCATGTTCGAACTCCATCAAGACATTGACCTAATTAACACCTACACCAAGTTTGAACATTCTACCTCAATTAGAAGGGGAGTTATTGTGTTCCAAAGTCTCGGCCAATCAAATTGCTTATCGCTCTGCTTACCCTAAGCAGAAAATGCTCATTATCGAACTTAGTCAAGGTATTGATGTAATGAAGCTATACACCAAGTTTCATCACTCTCACTTAATTAGAACTAAAGTTATCGTGTCCCAAAGCATCAACCAATCAAATTGCTTATCTCTGCTTACACTAAGCAGAAAATGCTCATCTTTGAACTCCATCAAGGCATTGACCTAATAAACACCTACACCAAGTTTGAACATTCTGGCTCAGTTAGAGAGAGTTATTGTGTCCCAAAAAGTGTGACGGACGGACAGACACACCGATTTTAATAGTCCCCTGCTTTCTTCGAAAGGCGGGGGACAAAAATACAAATATTATATAATAAAGAAGTTAAATAACATTTGCAGGAAAACGAAATATGAAAATCGATTCCCTCCTTCCACTACTTATTTATGAGGGCTATCCAGTTATATATCAGCTAAATTGCGATAAAATAATATTTTATATCAATAATTATTATAGCTTGTGCCATCGTGTATTCTATGCCGTTGATTGTGTGTCAACCGAATAATTATTATCTAGTTTATATGCTAAAAACTGTATCACCAAAGGGGGATAATTTAGATAACAAGGTATTACTGTAATGAAACTATACACCAAGTTTCATCAATCTCACTTAATTAGAACTAAAGTTATCGTGTCCCAAAGCATCAACCAATCAAATTGCTTATCTCTGCTTACCCTAAGCGGAAAATGCTCATCTTCGAACTCCATCAAGGCATTGACCTAATCAACACATACACCAAGTTTGAACATTCTAGCTCAATTAGGAAGAGAGTTATCGTGCCCCAAAGTATCAACCAATCAAATTGCTTATCTCTGCTTACCCTAAGCGGAAAATGCTCATCTTCGAACTCCATCAAGGCATTGACCTAATAAACACATACACCAAGTTTGAACATTCTAGCTCAATTAAAAGTTATCGTGTCCCAAAGCATCAACCAATCAAATTGCTTATCTCTGCTTACCCTAAGCGGAAAATGCTCATCTTCGAACTCCATCAAGGCATTGACCTAATCAACATATACACCAAGTTTGAACATTCTAGCCCAATTAAGAAGAGGGTTATCGTGTCCCAAAGCATCAACCAATCAAATTGCTTATCTCTGCTTACCCTAAGCGGAAAATGCTCATCTTCGAACTCCATCAAGGCATTGACCTAATAAACACATACACCAAGTTTGAACATTCTAGCTCAATTAGGAAGAGAGTTATTGTGTCCCAAAAAGTGTGACGGACAGACAGACGGACGGACGGACGGACAGACGGACAGACGGACAGACAGACGGACGAACCCATTTTAATAGTCCCCTGCTTTCTTCGAAAGGCGGGGGACAATAAATATGAACCATATGTTAATCCCAACATGACCTTGTTAATTTCAAGTGGACATTAAATCACATTTCTCTCACTCTCCATTAACCTTGTGGGGGGCCCGGGACATACCAACTGTGCGGGGGCCCCATTGTTGTTTATTCAAATTGTTCGTACTGACCGCGGATCGTACTAGTATATACTCCTCCCCCTTGAGTGCCTGGGGTGTTTTCCTCCAAGAATTGTTTTAAAAATTAGGATTAATTTCAGTGCATCTGAGACAATTTAGGCAGCGATTTCCTGGGCACCAAAAATTTGTTGGTACCTACAAGTCCCGGGGGCCCCCAATATCCCTTACTGCCCAGGACCCCAATCCTCGCCCCATCAGCCCAGGTCCTGGTTGGCTCCGTACAGGATAAAATATTAGTATGACCCAGAATTGTAGGGGGCCCGGGACATTTGTCCCACTTTGCCCCCCTACATGTAGATCCGGTACTGAGACACTATCTCAATTTTCAGAGCTTAAAGATGCATTATGTAAAATTTAGATAAAGAGCTAGCCATTCTTGCTATAATAGTTCGATAATAGATAATGTAAAATGAATAATTTGAAAATTTCAAAGGTTTGACAAGACATGTGCAATAATTTTAACCACCATCGTGCTGGTTGTTTGAAGTTAAGTCTCGCACCACCATTTTTAGCTTAAATCAAAATATGGCTGAACTGTTCGAATCTATTTAATATCGGAGAAATCTAATGCCATCGAGAGTTGATTATGGCCTGGATAAGTTAATTACTGTCTAATTAATAATTTAGATAACATATCAGGCCTAAAGAAAGACCTGCAATAGGCAGATTTATCTCTCGCATAATGTATGTTTAACAGATACTAAACTGTACTCAAATTGATTATCTAACATTTAAAGATGCCTTCCAACGTACAAACTTCCTGATTTGATTATATATTTGGACTAAAAACATATTCAAACTAATAAATTTATTAAACATTTGCTTCAAATCTCTATTAAAACATTGTATTTGTGAGGAAATACCCCAAGATACAAAAAATCTATTTTTACAAACTATGTATGTCATGTAACTCGATTGAGGGAGGGCCCATTTTCAGTGTGTAATTGTTGTTACTTTCTGTCCATTTGCCATACATATTGAAGCCTAAGTAAATTCTTGTGCCAACTTTTTCCACCGTTTAATTGCAGAGTCTATTGTACGTTTAAACCCCTTATTGTTCCCAAAACTGCCTAACCATTTAATAGGGTGACCCGTGCACCCAAAATTTTCAGTGCAGAAAGTTAGGGCCCAGCAACTAACTCAATATACTTGATACATTTTCAAAAAACTTAAACCTGTCAGTCTTCATCTGGAAATGGAGACCATTGTCACAAGCCATATTATATGGTGTCTGGATAAACCAGACTTTTATTTTATAAAAATTACGTGTAGGTTAAATTTACCTTTCATTATCAAGTACAGCATGTGGGTCATGTACTGAATAGACCTCTAAAGATTATCATGTCACCCAGGGGCGTATATAAGATTTTGTTTGGGGGGGTGTTTAGCCAAAATGCGACCGACTAATGCCCATACCCCTAGTACAAGTGACGCAGTCAGGAGCCGAGCACCACAGGTGCGAGTTTTGTAGGGGCCATGTGCAGTAGCGGATCTAGATAGGGGTGGGGGGTCCAAATCTAGGGCGCCACCCCAGCCACAATTCCACCCCACAATGAATGTCAACAAAATACTGGCTATAACATTAAGCGTCCCGGTAGAACATAGGTGGTATTGTATAATTATATAGTTGTTTGCCGATCGCTGTCTCGCTGGAAAGTTAATATCTTGGCATTTGAGGTCATTGCTTGGAGAAATTCTTGTGGACGAGAGGACCAGGAATGTGAGTCAATTAGACAAAATCTCGAGATCTGCCCCTGTCAATTCCGCCTGTTTTGCAAGAACTTTTGTATAGCCTGACGCCCCACGACCCACACACCAGTGCCAGTGGTACTACTAACATAACTAGGCAGATCAATATAACCGTGAATATGATAGTGCTGAGACAGTATAAGACAACAGAGGAGTAGAAGAATGATGTTATAATGGAATGGAGCGCTGCATGGTCGAAAAAAATTCAGATGTGTAACCGAGGTTTTAATTTTTGGGACTGGGCCTGACAATTTTATTCAATGTCATGGCAAATTGAGCGCCGATATGTAGCTGAGCTTTTAATTTTTGAGGACTGGGCCTGAGGGCACTTTACCTCAATGGGGCGCTTACTTGGTCTCTGAAATGCCCTGGACTTTGGGGAGAGATTTTGCAGAATTCTGATGGTCAGAAAACACCCCATTAATTCATTTAGTCTGAGACCGACTGCGGTGAGCACTTTTTTTTTAGACCGACATTTTTTTCAAACATGATAAGTTGACAAGGTTATTTTATACTAAAGTTTTGCGTGAGTCGAGTGACGTTTGCAGTGAGCACTTATTTTGATACCGACTGCTCATATCTTACGACCGACTGCACTGATTTTGCGACCGACTAGTATTTGAGATCTATTCTGGCATTATTTGTTACCTCATTAATTCATTAAGACAGTGATGCATGCTTTTAAGACCGACTGCAGTGACTGCACTTATTTAGAGACAGACTATTTTTCTACCTGGGGGAAATTTTGTTCTTAGACCTACATTTTTTCAAACATGATAAGTTGACAAGGTTATTTTATACTAAAGTTTTTCGTGAGTAGCGTGACGTGTGGAGTGAGCACTTATTTTGATACCGACTGCTCTTATTTTGCAACCGACTGCACTGATTTTGCGACCGACTATTTTTTTTCCTGGGGGGGTGTACAACCACATTTACGCCCCTGATGTCACCCAACGAAAAAATTGACCCGAAATCTTAAAAGGGTTACGTTTCCAGGTAAGGGGTTTTGACGTACACATTGTTATCTGGTAAAAATCAAAGGTTATTTTATAAAATATTTTTTTACAGCAAATATTGAATCTAATATAATATAAAATCAAGTCAGGAAGTATTGCTATGCAAGATGCGTTTACATGTTCAAGAGATGGACAGAAAGATGTGGGCAGCGACATATGTGAGCATATAAAAATTTTGACTTCTAGAAGGTCCACAGGCTATATATATATGCTGAATCCAAGATTTTGGGGGATATAAGCATTTATTCTAAGTTTCACCATACAGTGTGCTATGAGTGAAATTTTGCCCGCACAGCGGCACTACGGCCTACTCTAATATCGAATTCCAACGGTTAAGGGATCTTTTATGTGCACGCCCTGCCCTTGGTTTTTCGTCCCATCCGAACGACTAGACAGCTGTCCCTGTCCTGCACCACTGACAAGGGGCCAAATGGTTTAAGGCTTGCATGTTAGATCATAAAGTCTGTCAAGGGGCGTGGTTTCGGTTTTCTGCTTGAACTTGACAAGGAGTAGGGTCGTCTGTGGGTTTTCTCCAGGTCCTCCCATAGCTAAAGACCCCTACAAGCAAGCAAATTATTCCAATAAAATTGAACCATGTTAGTCCCAAAATGACCTAGTTTGTGTCAAGTGTATGTTAAACCCTATTTCTCTCCTTCTACATCCCAACTACGCTTTTCTGTTATCTTTGTGTGTAATATTGTTTGTAAAGCAACACAAAGATATTTTCTTACCTTGGTCATTAAAATATCCACCTCTTGATATGCTTCCACGAATATTCCTCTAATGCTGGGCTGGACACTGTGAGTAATTTCCAATTGTTAATCATGATTTAGTAAGGTTGTTGCTCTCTGGCATTGTTGAGTCCAGTTTTCAGGCTTGGAGTTGGTCACACTGTTTATCGCAGAAACATTGTTAACTGACGAACTGTTCAGCTTCCGTCACTTGCTCTGAAATTCTGAAACAAGTATTAAATGTCTGTTGGTACTGAAAGTTATTATCATAGCAATTCTATATTCCTTTCCCTGGATCTTTTTTGCATCGGGTGGTTGGATGGCTGAATGGTTAGCAAGTGCGCGCTGTATCATAAAGTCTGTCATTGAGTCAACGGTCATGGTTTCGATTCCCTGGTTGTACGTGACAAGGAGTAGGGTCACCTGTCCAACCTCGTGCGTTTTCTTCGGGTCATCCGGTTTCCTCCCACTGCTAAAGACCCCTATCGCAAGCAAATTATGGAAATAAAATTGAACTGTATGTTAGTCCCAAAATGACCTAGTTTGTGTCGAGTGGATGTTAAACCCAATTTCTCTCTCTCAGAATGCCTGAATTTACATTTTCAGTTTTGGTGAATATTCAGAATCTTGGGCCAGAAGCATCAAGAGGAAAACCGACATGAATTAGGGAAAACATATACCAGTATTAAAATGAGGTTACAGTCTGGCAGAAATAATCGCTTGGAAAGTTGATTCCATGGGAATGGTTATTTGCTAGTTCCAAAATAGAAACAGCGGTATTTGCATATTGAATAGGATGAATACGATCGATCTGAAGGCATCGTCCGATCAGATACCGTTCCTAAAGGAATTATAAATCAGCCATTATTGCCATCCTGTCATGATCAGCTGGCGGCTTAAATCCTAGAATAATGATAAAATATTTATTCACCTCCAGACTTCAACAATAAACCTTTTGTTCTAGGGTATTCACAAGGATAGTCGCCATTGTGTGACATGACTAACTTACTCGTCGGTTTCACGGTCCTATAGGCATAATTAGCTCTTGTAGTCTTGAATTAATAGATTCTGTTAGTACATTTATGTAGGCTCCATATAGATGTGCACGTTTTATCCAAAAATATTAGCTTTTAGCTGCACTACTTCGTTTCACGGTAAACGATGAAAAGATAAAAGATATGCCGACACAAACTGCAATGATTTCAACACTATATATATATATATATAAATATTGTTGCTAATAAACTGACAACTTTATGGATAACATTCACTAGGTTTATTAACTGCAACGTTTCAATGAGGATACTCTCACCGTTATCAAGCAAGTTGTCAGTTTATTACATATCCCGTTCACTAAATGCCCTTCAAAGATACTATTTTGTTGTTGTTTGTTTGTTCTATTAGCCATTGTATTTAATGTTTTGTTTGCATGAATTATAATATGGCCCATGGTATTTGTATGCTCTCTAATGGGATGTTTAGATACAATAAAGTGTTATGTTATCTTATACAACAAGCGTTTTGCGGAATCAAATCTTTGAAAGCTTGACCAAAATCGACACTAATTTAACAATATTTCAACTTTATTGCTTGAATGTTGCAGATGCCAAACATGTCCTTTTGAGTTAAATAGTATACCTTATTGTGAAAGGGAAAGGACATAAATATACGGTAGCTCGCTAGAGGCTTTTCATAATTTCCCAATGTGAAAAAAGTTTGTTGCTCGGGGATGAAACATGCATTATGCAAGAGCAAAATCTGTTTATTACAAGTCTTTCTTTAGGCCTGAAATGTTATCTAAATTATCAATTAGACATTAATTAACTTATCCAGGCCATAATAAACTCTCGATGTCAAGGCTAGTGTAGCGTCTCAACATTTATTAGAGACTTTTTTTTTTTTAGGGGTTCGTTCCAGCCTGGCACTTCAATCGAAAGAACTAACAAACTCGGGTGTAGATAAAAATAAACATCTTTATTTGGATCAATTTATAATTGGGATACATCGCATTAAGGGGAGATAATTTGAGTGTGACGCCAACCCTTTGGATAAATTCCCAGGTATGGAAACAGGAATTAGGTAAATAAATACATTTGCCCTGTCAGGCCGGTGGATATGGTGACATAAGGAATTGGTAAGACTTGGGGGAATGGGTGAACCACAACTATCTAGGCCTATCTTGGATCAAGCCAGTCGATTAAACCAACCTATGAGTCTTTAAATAGGAGACCAGTTATGGATAAATTACCAAAGCCAAAGCAAGGATATAAATTCCTTACCCATTTTTGGTGATCCATATCCAATTTAAAATAGCTGGATTGCTGCCAATTACGTAAGGAGCTTTCCCGAGTGCACCGAGTGTCCACTGAGGATTTCCTTATCGTCTGCTTCTATTTATAAGGGGATTCCGATGACGTCAGTTGTCGACCAATCAATGCGAGCGTTACTAACAATGACGACGTTATAGCCTTGACCGCGCCAAAGTGTCATGGCCCCCGGCTGTTTGATGTCGCTTGTTTCGCTAACTGATTTGTGTCAATTCATCGGCCTAACGGGAATGTTATAAATATAATTATATGAAAAGGACAAGATGGATATCGGGCATTATATTGTGATGCATGGTAATGTATGACATTGTTATATAAATGTGTTTCGGGCGTGAACTCTACAAGGGAGCTGGTCTCATTTTTTGACACTCTCAGTCGGAAACGACGTACGAAAGACTGGAATCGCCTGGACCGTAACATTGCCCCCTTCCTCAGAGAAGTTCGTCCCGAACGCTAAAACGGTTATCCAACACACACTGACTCTGACGTGATTGACTTTGCCAATGTTATCTTCCATGTGATGACTGGAAATAAGGAAAGAACAACTCACTTCTGCAGTGGTAAACGTGGATATTATTGTCACAAGATTAATTTTTATTTTAATACAGGTGAGTGGCTCAATATAATATTATATTATAAACATTAATATTAATATACGGGGTAATAATATTGAGTAAAAATAGTATATGCAATTTCATATATGTTAAAGTTTAACATCCTCACTTGAAAATTACATTTAAGTTAATTACAATTTTGAATTAGATATGTTTATATTATTATAATGATAACAAAATTCACAATGATAAGAGCATTAATATTATAATATGGAATTAACATAATTTTATAACAATATTTTAATAACAGGTATAATACATTAATATTCGCTCATTTTCTCTTTAGTGAATTCTAGTAAGGCATCTAGTTCATAGAATTTCGCTTCCTGGATTATGGCAGCGAGTTTAAGACCTTGGATAGGTAACAAATGTTTAAAAGATATGGGGGAGTTTAAATTTCGAAGGTACTCTAAGATAATGGAGAAATGATCAGGGCTACGGTCTAAAAAATAATAACTATAATAGTTGTCTTGTTTGTAGGGTTGGAAAGGGGAGTCAGGGGTTATCATCTTGGCCAGGATACAGGATGGGTCTTTGCTTAAAATGAAATTGCTTGTGTAAAATAGGGTGCCTCCAACATTTAACGCAATACGGTTGTCCTGGGCGGTTTGAAAGGATTTCAGTTTTAAGGTTATTCTGTTCGTAGGGATGTACGTGGGGGATTGGAGTTCGCTACTGTGGGGGTGTAAGGCAACAGCCCCAGGAATGGCTGGGTTAATTGTATTACTATTATTGTTACAATTATTATTAGATTTCGACACGGATGACAATGATGATGATGAAGATGATGATGACGACGATGACGATATTGATGATAAAAGTAGATCTTGGATTATGGAAACTGGTGTCTTCGTCTTCTCTGGTGAAATTGGTGATTTCTCTGACAACACTGGTGTTTTTTCTGACGAAATTGGTTTTTTCTGTAAAGGAACCGATGTCTTGTCTGATGCAGCTGATATCTTCTGTACGGTATCGGGTATCTTCTTTAATGTAATTTTTGGTATTGTAGGAACTGGTAATTTAACTTTAGGATGAATATAATTTTTATTTGACTGAATAGGTGGGGCAGGCGGGTCAATCGATAGTTTCAGGTGCTTCATCCCATTGTATGGTTTTTCTGGTATCGTACGCTTTCGAAACGGGGCTTGTGGATGCTTATCTGTAGGTAAAGATTGTCGTGTAATTATTAATGCACTTCTCCTTCCACAGAAAGCTTTATATTCATCCTCGTCGTTTTGATTGAAGGTCATGGTTGCTTTATTGATCAGTTTCATCCTGGCAGTTCCAGGACATTTTGGATGTTTTACGTCCGCTCTCGCGGCCAGTCCAAAACAGTGCGTGCACTGATAGCCAAAGTTACTATGACATGAAGTGACATGCCTCTCCGCATACTGATATTTGGCGAATTCTGCGTTCATACATAGTTTACACCCATAAAAAAAAAATAAAAATAAAGAGTTGATAATTTATGACATCTTTAACCAATTGGGTATATTATTTCCCGTATACGGTTTCAGATGATTATGGTGGACCACTTTAGGTTGGGTCTTTGGGGATTTTTGTATTTTATAGACTACATTATTAAGACATTTTGTCACCAGGTAGAGTCCCTCCCATGGACACCTTAACTTTGAACCTCCACCTTTGTATTTGTGGTTATAATACCATACAGGACTGCCGGCATTGTATGGATTTAATTGAATAGATCTATCGTGATCAACTTTCATGTTTGCCGTGGCTTGTTTTAAACGCCCTCTAGCAAAACTATGTATTCGTTCTATTTTATTTTGTAAGTCAAAAGCATAGTCTGACTTTATTTTTAAATTTGTAGGTTCCACTGATCCGAGAATGAGATCTACTGGAAGACGGATGTTGCGGCTGAAGACCATTTCACATGGAGAAACGCCCAGTGATTCGTGTTCTGCAGAACGATACGCTGACATGAGTAAGTATATGTGATCATCCCAACCATTTTTATTAATATTTACAAATGCTGACAACATGGCACTTATGGTACGATTGGCCCTCTCAACCATTCCATCGGATTGGGGTCTTTAGGGGGTGGTTCGAGTTTTCTCAATATCTAAAATTTTACACATTTCTTGGAACACCTCAGACTCAAAGCTTGGTCCTTGATCGGAATGGATTTGCATGGGGGTACCAAAAATTGTTACAATTCGGTCAATAAAGGTTTGGGCTATTGTTATAGCTCTTTGATCAGGTATTGGCATAGCCTCAACCCATTTAGAGAAATAATCGGCTGCCACTAGTAGGTATTTATTTCCATGCTTTGTTTCCGGTAATGGACCCAGGACATCTATAGCCCATCTTTCCATAGGTAAACCCACGTTGTAGGTTTTTAAAGGGCCTTTGGCTACCTTGGCAGGGGATTTGCGAGAGGCACAAATATCACAAGTCTCACACCATTTCCTTATGTCATTATGCATTTGATACCAAAAGTATCGGTTTTTGATCTTAGATAATGTTTTTTTATAGCCTAAATGACCCCCTGTTCTGTGTTCATGAAGTTGGGACCATGCAGAATTTCTCAGGATATGAGGGAGAATAATTAAGACGGCTGGATCTTGGCCTTTCCCCTTATCCCAGATATAGCATAACCGATCGTGATCAATTAAAAGGGATTCGAACCGCATCCAATAGTATTTGGTGCGCTGATCTCTGTCCGATATGTTTGGCCACGAAGGTTTATCGTTATGCTTAACCCACTGGATTATTTCATGGAGTGTAGGGTCTCCCAACTGTAGGTTGATTATTAATTTGTCGTCATATATATTTATTTCTTTATTTATATTTTCAGGAAGGGAAGAGGAAGATAATGGATTTTTGTTTAATCGGTCTATTGGAGCACTTGTGCAAGCCAAAACATTAAGGTTTTCATTGGAGGTACGTGGATCTTCGATAATACTATGCTCGTATCTCTGTTCCGCTTTGGTACAGTGGAGACAGTCAACTATGCATGGTCGTCGAGATAGTGCATCTGCATTATTGTGTACTCGTCCTGCCCTGTACTGAATGGTGAATTGGTAGGAAGACAGGAACTCAAACCATCTAGCAAGTTGTCCTTCAGGATTTTTAAAATTTATAAGCCATGTTAATGCACCGTGGTCACTTCTGACTGTAAACGGTTGACCATAGAGATAATGGTGGAATTGTTTCACTGAACTTATAATTGCTAGTAATTCTCTTCTGGTTACACAATATTTCCTCTCCGTTCTACTAAAAGCTTTAGAATAGTAACTTATCACTCTTTCTACACCATCTTTAGGGAATGCAAGTATAGGCGGACTGGTTAAAGCTTCTTTGAGATTATCGAAGGCAGATTGGCATTCATCGGAACATTGGAATTTAGTTCTTATCTCTGTTAGTTTATGAAGGGGTTTAGCGATATCTGCAAACTTATTGACAAATTTCCTATAGTATGAGCATAGCCCAAGGAATTGTCTGACCTCTTTAACATTTTGAGGAATAGGCCAATTGCGTACTGCGTCTGTTTTAGATGATTCAGTGGTAATTCCATCCTGATTAATTATATGACCCAAGAATGATACTTGTTTTTTAAACATAAAACATTTCTTTGGATTCATTTTCAGGTTTGCTTGTTGGAGCCTCTGGAAGACTTTTTCTAAATTGGATAAGTGCTCGTCAAAGGATTTTGCAAAGATAATGATATCATCCAGGTACACCATACATATTTCCCATGATAAGTTAGCTAAGACCTTCTCCATCAGTCCTTCGAACGTGGCCGGCGCGTTGCACAATCCGAATGCCATGTTTTTGAACTGCCACAGTCCACATCCGGGTACAGAAAAAGCAGTTTTGGGCCTATCTTGTTCGGCAATCTTGACTTGCCAATATCCCGATCTCAAGTCAATCGTTGAGAACCAAGAGAAACCAGACAAGGCATCAAGAGTAGTGTCAATCCGAGGTAATGGATGACTATCTTTTATGGTGACATCATTTAGACGTCTGTAATCAATACAGAACCGTAGTGTATTGTCTTTCTTTTTAACTAAAACGACATGAGAACACCAAGGACTATCAGATTTTTCTATTATATTTTTCTGTGCCATGCTTTCTATTTCCAATTCAACCTCTTTTCTGCTTGCCAGGGGGACGCGACGAAGATGCTGACGAATTGGTGGAGCGCAACCAGTATTAATCCAATGCTCAGCTTCATTGGTGATGCCTATATCAGATGAATCTTTGGAAAAGGTATGTTTGTATTTTAACAAAAGGGATTTGAATGAACGTTGCTCGTTCTCAGTTAATTCATCTATTGAATAACTATAAACTTCCATCAAATAATCAGGAAGGATGTCTGAATCCAATGCAGGAGATTGATTAGTGTCTATTTCATTAATGGGAATATTACTTTTCATTTCTGAGACCAGCTGAACTGTGTCAATACGGGCAATAATTGTGTTTTTTCGGACTCTTACTTCTGTGTTGGTAGCGTTCATTAAACGTACGGGCACAGACCCCGAGCTAGGGTTAACAACACTTTTTGCCATTAACAGTTCTGTCTTTTCCAGAAAATTCTCAGTAGGTTCGACAATTGCGACACCACCTCTAGGTATCGGATCCATTAAGATCCCAAAGACAAAAATCTCACTATTAGCGGGTATAGTAATATCCTCATTCATGCAAATCCTACTGCAAGTTTGCTCCATAGAACTTTGAAATCTATAGCATGGTAGATCATCTCCTTTAATATTCAGGCAATTCCTGTCAAGAAATATATTTATTGAATTGGATGTAAGTAGGTCAATGCCAATAATTCCTTGCTGTGTAATATCAGCTATTAAAAACTCATGTTTTATCCTATGAGTACCAAGGGTTATATCGATCCAGCATTTACCATGGAACGATTTCTTTTCGCCAGTGGCAGTTACCAGGTTAAGATTAACAGGCTTTATATTTAATTCATCCAAAGCCCCTAATGTTTTCATAAATTGCGTACTAAGTATAGACACATTAGCTCCAGTGTCTACAAGTAAGGATATAAATTTCCCCATTATATTTGCATTAATAAAAAATCCATGTTTATCATCATTAATATTACTTATTGTTACATTATTGGGCCCTTTGTTATTTTCAATTTCTGCTGAATTCTGACCCTCGAGTTCAGCAACATTTAGTTTTCCTGGTTTTGGAGATCCCTTTCCCTCTGTAAATGGGGATTATAGGTTGTCTCCCTTGGTTTGGATTGTGACTCCTCATCAGGGTTTTGATGATTAGGTTGATTCCAATTATATGGTGGACGAGACCATCCATTTCTTGTGTTTGCCATATGCTGGGGCCTATCTGTTCTCCTATTGGAGTTATATTGATACCCGCCATAATTATTATTAGAGTTTGTATGTTGTTGGTTATTTGGCCAATGACTCCGACTGTAATTGGGATTTTTATTCCAGGAGCTACGTGATGATTGCTGCAATGGTTGTCCCTTATTTAGGGTATTTATCAAGTGTTTGGTAGTTTTATCCAATGATGTGATTGAACCATTCAAGGTAAGTATATCAATTTTGCTTTGACCCATATCATCAGATTTTACAGCTCCAGCTCCGACCTGGTTTATATTATGATTTAGATCTACAGAATGAACTGAACGTCCTCTTTGTTTATCTGCCAGTCTGTGGGCTTCGAGTCTAATAGAATGTATCTCAGCCTCATTGATATCCTTGGGTCTTAGTTCCCTAATTCGTAATCTCATTTCTGAGTCTGGTATGGAGTCTATAAAATGTTCTAAGGCTAAAATATTGGTGAGAGATGCATCTGCCGTGGGGTAGGCCTGTCTTGTTAGTTTGCGAATGGATTGAGCCAGCTCAGATAAGGATTCGTTTCTTCCTCTAATACGAGTTTGTAATTTTGCTCTATATATTTCAGATTTTTCCGTTGATCCAAAACGAATACTTAGGAGGGTTGTGAGGGTATGGAAATCCGTTCTCTGGATAGTATTTAATTCTGACAAGATTGTCCTGGCGTTTCCAGACAAACTACTGGCTAGGTAAAGGGATTTTTCTTCGTAGCTCCACTTGTTCAATGTGGCTATTATATCAAATTGGGAGATATATTCCTCAAAATCTTCACTTCCATCATATGATTGTGGTTTGATCCTAAGGGGGTTATTAATTCTAGGACTGGTGGGAACATGTGCTTGGATTGAGGTATGATTAGAATTTTGATTATGGCTTGGTGTGCTTCTGTTTTGAGCATCTCCATTTCCATTTGAGTAAAATGTGGCAGGATTTGGATCATTTACTTTTTCATCCAATTTATTAACATGGTCTTTTAGTAATCTAACATCCTCCTTTAATTCCTTTAAATTGTCTAAAAAATCATTTTGAACCTGAGCATTTTCCAGGAAGAATTGATTAAATTGTCGGCTAATTTCTTTAAGAATTCCATCGTCACCCATATTCTGATTTTCTATTTCAGTTCCTGAGACATCACCATCAACTGATTCTACCGAGGGCATATCCGGATCAGTGTCTGGGATAATTTCGAACTCTGGGGACAAGGATTTGGTGGCCATTTTTATAGATGTATTTAGAATCTATTACTACTATTATTAATATTAATAAAGGAACCTAATTCATTTATTTATTTGGAGTTTGTGTTTATTAGAACTTCCGATCCACTAGACACTGGAATAAGTTTCAATGAAATCAATTTAATTTGAATCCCACTTCTGACACCAATGTAGCGTCTCAACATTTATTAGAGACTTTTTAGGGGTTCGTTCCAGCCTAGCACTTCAATCGAAAGAACTAACAAACTCGGGTGTAGATAAAAATAAACATCTTTATTTGGATCAATTTATAATTGGGATACATCGCATTAAGGGGAGATAATTTGAGTGTGACGCCAACCCTTTGGATAAATTCCCAGGTATGGAAACAGGAATTAGGTAAATAAATACATTTGCCCTGTCAGGCCGGTGGATATGATGGGATTAAATCGGAGATTTGGTGACATAAGGAATTGGTAAGACTTGGGGGAATGGGTGAACCACAACTATCTAGGCCTATCTTGGATCAAGCCAGTCAAGGTTAAACCAACCTATGAGTCTTTAAATAGGAGACCAGTTATGGATAAATTACCACAGCCAAAGCAAGGATATTAATTCCTTACCCATTTTTGGTGATCCATATCCAATTTAAAATAGCTGGATTGCTGCCAATTACGTAAGGAGCTTTCCCGAGTGCACCGAGTGTCCACTGAGGATTTCCTTATCGTCTGCTTCTATTTATAAGGGGATTCCGATGACGTCAGTTGTCGACCAATCAATGCGAGCGTTACTAACAATGACGACATTATAGCCTTGACCGCGCCAAAGTGTCATGGCCGCCGGCTGTTTGATGTCGCTTGTTTCGCTAACTGATTTGTGTCAATTCATCGGCCTAACGGGAATGTTATAAATATAATTATGTGAAAAGGACAAGATGGATATCGGGCATTATATTGTGATACATGGTAATGTATGACATTGTTATATAAATGTGTTTCGGGCGTGAACTCTACAAGGGAGCTGGTCTCATTTTTTGACACTCTCAGTCGGAAACGACGTGCGAAAGACTGGAATCGCCTGGACCGTAACACTAGCCTTCGATGTAGGCTGGATTAGATTCCTATATGCCGCTAATGGCCAAAGATAATTAAATCAGAAAAAGTGGATAATTGAGACTATGCTGTTTATATTAATGATTTTAGTAATGATGACCGAGACTATGCAAAAATTTCACCCGCTTCTTTCTCGGCTCATAGTGGATTAATTTGACTGAAAGTTTCAGCAAATTACCTTTACACTATCTAGTTTTTAACTATTATAGCGAGAACTGCCATCTCTTTATCTTAACTCCCATAATGTATCTTTAATTTATTTGGATTCTTTGTTATTAGTTCTGTTCCATTAAAGTCAATAACACAACAGTATATTTATTTATTTATTTACAACCTTTTCAATGAAATATGACAACATTATCAAATAAAACATGACTTTTTATAGATTTATTGCATACATTTGTGATGTAATATATGCATGATATTTATGATGCAATTTCACAGGTAAATAGAAAGTGTCCACATGCTTTCATCTTCAATCTCCATTGGGACACTCTATTACAAGACCCAACTTGACGGAAATTGCTGAAATTCAATGTGGTCCTTCGTCTCACTAATTCAAATGATGCATATAATTTCCATACAGATCAGATGATAACTTTTGTCGTTTGAGCGTTCACAAGAGTCATAACTCCAGAAGAAATAGATGAAATTAAATATGGTTCTTCATCTGACTAAGGTAAACAACATACACACATTTCAAAACAATCAGATGATCATTGTAATCTGTGGAGTATTCACAAGAAATTGTGGATGACCGACAGACAGGGGTGGCGGCAATATACAACCAGATGGATATGTGGTCCTATGAAAATAGTAATTATGTACCATATTATGTCTGAGTTTAAAACATTGTTTATGGAGGAACACATATTTCAAAGAACACAGAATTAATATTTATACTGACTGTACAATTATAATAAAATTATAATAGATACAAGAGCCGAAGCAGTTTAAATGTACAAATATATTAATCTATTATGTTATAACATAAGTTTGGATTTTACAATCTGTTCACCAACCATATCAAACTGTATTACACAAAATTAATAAAACCTCACAATATAAAATTGATTGAAAAACACCTGTATAACATACATGTACAAAACGGTTGTATAACAAAATCCAAGCGATCTGTTTAACAATATACAAACACTTGTATAATAACATACAAACACTTGTATAACATACAAACCTTCTTATAACATACAAACACTTGTATAATATACAAACGGCTGTATTAACAACATACAAACACTAGTATAATATACAAACACCTGTATAACACACAAAGTGGCTGTATAACAAAATACAAGTCACCTGTTTAAGAGTATACAAACACTTGTATAACAGTTTTCATGAATTAGGTCCATGATAACAATATACAGATTAGACCTCAACAAAACAATGTTCAATCTAAAATTGTACAAACTTAAACAATGACAAAAAAATGAATTTGTATCTACTAACAGAAGATATGTAACCAGTGTGTTTTAATTGCAGGAATGGCTTATATTGTGTTTTACTCTCTTGAACAGCTTATATTGTGTTTTACTCCCTGGAACAACTTATATTGTTTGTTTTAATTTCCATTTGCTGGAGGATTCTCAACAGGCAAAAGAGAGAGAGAGAGAGTTTAAGTCCACTCTACACAAACTAGGTCATTTCGGGACTAACATATGTTTAATTTTTTTATTTCAATAATTCACTAGCGCGTAGTGGTCTTTAGCAGTGGGAGGAAACCGGAGGACCCGGAGAAAATGCACAAGGTTGAACAGGCGACCCTATTCCTTGTCCTGTACAACTGGGAAATCATGCCAGTTGACTCAATGGCAGACCTTATGATACAATGCGCACACGCTAACCATTCGCCGATCCAACACCCCCAACAGGCAATATGTCCTGCTTATGAGTTGACAGCTTTAGTCACACCATCAATACATGTATGACCCTTATAATAAATCTGTTAGATAAACTACCTGAAGAATGTTGTTTAAACACAATACATATATTGATAAGACGCCCACTTGACACAAACTAGGTCATTTTGGGACTAAAAAAAATCATGGTACAATTTTATTTTAATAATTTTCTTGCATGTTGAAGTCTTTAACTGTGGGAGGAAACCAGAGGACCCGGAGAAAACTCACAAAAGATTATGCAGATGATCCTACCTCTTGTCATGTACGGACTTGTGATTGAACACGTGCCACTAGATTCAATGACAGACCTCACGATCGAAAGCAAACAATTTAGACCAATCATCAACCCCTTCACACAATAAGAGAATTCGATTCGTTTCAGTTTTGAGTGTCACCATGGTTTCTGATAGTCTTATAGCGAAGTCCTTGTGTATAAACATTTGTCACTTTTACGTGTTTAAGAGCACATAATGATACATCAAACTTGTGTTTCAATGTACATTCACTTCTGTTTCAGGTTACATTCACTTTCATCAACAACTTTTAATAAAAATTCATGAACTCTCCACCATCATAGCGGAGTTACTCACTTAACAGATATAATGCCACGTATAAAATCACATTAAAAGATATCCTTTATAACATTTATTCATCATCACTGTCATCATCATCATCGTCGTCGTCGTCTTCATCATCGTCGTCGACTTCATCATCGTCGTCGTCATCATCGTCATCATCATCACCCTCTTCATCATCATCTTCGTCATCATCATCGTCTTCACTATCATCATCATCTTCCTCCTCCTCCTCTTCCTCAGCCTGTTTTTTCACTGGTGCTTTTTTATTCACAGCTTGAACATTTTTAATGTCTGAAAAGAAAAGATCATTTCATTTCAAAGTTTTATATATATTATGACCGACATAAGTCATAGTTGTTCTATATATTGAAAACCTATGTTAGGGTGACCCACCATAAATAAATATCTCCAAATATCTCGACAATTACGCCACAATATTTATATATATGCCAAGCCTCAAATCAGTTTCACACAATTATAGTCACTAAATAAACGATCATGTTGTACTTAATAAGCTATGACCATTAATCATCTATAAATAATAGACTGAAAACTGGTTCCAAGTTGCGTCCATAACATCCAGACACTTTTGAGTAAAAGATAGGTTACGTGCCCTTGTTTTGAAATTAGTCTCGCTTAACCAGTCTATCGACCATTCTACGTCTGATTGACAGGTCGGGATAATCAAGACTACTTTTTTTACGAAACATAACAGAAAGCTAGAACAAGAAATTGAATTTAGAAATAAGCACTTTAGACAACTCAACAATTGTTTTAAGAAACTTGTAAAACTAAAATGAAACTACTGCTAGTATCATGTTCCTGCTAAAGAAAGTGATTCAGAGATAGTATTTGTACTAACCCAAAAGTTGCCGCTCTTAACGGTACAGTTAAAGATAAAGCAATTTAAAAAATAAAACAAACGTAATTACTAAAGCTGCTGTAATAACCAAGAAGCTAAATTTTACTGCTGTTCAAAATCGTCAACAATAGATTTTTTACGGCTGTAATAGTTGATATATTTGTAGAGAATTGCACGTGCCATGGCTATTTATCGACTCAAAGCGAGTGCGGGGTAGTCAGAAATCAGTTCGAGACACGCAACTGAAGCGTGCACATTTAGCCGTGTCGAGACCAACTTTCTGTAAAGTGCACGGGTCATCCTACCTATGTTACATTTCCCATTTTGGTCAACATATCTTTGAAACATTAATATATTTTAAATCTATTTTTATTTACCTATTTATTTCTCATGTAAGATACGCGTTGAATTAAAGAGAGAGAGAGAGAGAGAGAAATGGGGTTTAACGTCCACTCGACACAAACTAGGTCATTTCGGGACTAACATATGGTTTAATTTTATTTCAATAATTCGCTTTCGCATAGGGGTCTTTAGCAATGGGAGGAAACCGGAGGACCCGGAGAAAACCCACGAGGTTGGATAGACGACCCTACTCCTTGCCACGTACAACCGGGGATTCGA